ATATCAAGGTTGTGGACCCTCTAGAGGCCAGAGTTTTTATCCGATTTGGATGAAACTTTAAATATATCTTTTTATCATAAAGATCTTGGTTCCTTTGATAATCATACATATCCGAACGTAACGTCCTGGATTATGGCCTCTGATTGGTCGAAAAATCGCATATTTAGCTTGTGGATTCTCAAGAGGTCATTTCGGGACTAACATATGGTTTAATTTTATTTACATAATTCGCTTGCGCGTAGGGGTCTTTAGCAGTGGGAGGAAACCGGAGGACCCGGAGAAAACCCACGAGGTTGGACAGGCGACCCTACTCCTTGCCACGTACAACCGGAGATTCGGAACCACGAAAAATAATAAGTATGTCATCAGTTGAATATTATGGTTTCTTCAGTGCTCAATATAAATGAGTTTTCAGTTTAATCTTAAAATTTTCAACATTTTTACACATCTTTATATCAAAAGGCAGATTGTTCCATAAAAGACATGCAGAATAATGAAAAGTGCGTTTCATGGATTCCGTTTTACATTTTTGAAGAAAAAGAGATTTACTGGTCTGTGAATGGAGCAAGATATCAGTTTTGAAAACAAGAGATTTTTCAATAAAATAGGAATTTAGATGAAGTGGAGTATTAAATGGTAATAATTTTGAATGATAAGACAATTTTATTATAAAGAATCCTCTGTGTAAGGATAAGCCAACTGAGTAGAGGTAGACAGAGTTTCAATTGGTGCATCAAGAATAATTCTTGCTGCCCTCTTTTGTAATTTTAAAAGAATGTCTAATCTACATTTGGTAGTATTTCCCCAAATAAAAGTAAATGTGGTAAAACGTCCTACTGTTCTGCACCAACTGGGCTAATGAAGACAGGATAAAAACAACAAAAGCAGTACAGGAATATATGACAGTCCAGAAAGTCAATGGAGGGACTGACAAGGACAGCTGTCTAGTCGTTCAGATGGGTCGAAAAACCGAGGTCCCGTGTACATATTGGCGTGCACGTAAAAGATCCCTTGGCAGTTGGAATTCGATATAAGAGTAGGCCGTAGCGCCGCTGCCCGGGCAAAATTTCCCTCATAGCACACTGTATGGCATATGCCCGTCTTCATTAGCCCAGTTTAGGAGCAGAACAGTAGGACATTAAACCCCATTTCATTTCATTTTCCAGAAAGTCAAGGGGAGGCGGGGGGTGTGGCCGAGTGGCCTAATGCTTTAGATCATAAGGTCTGTCATTTAGTCAACTGGGGTGGTTTCGATTCCCAGCTTGCACATGACATTGAATAGGGTCGCTTGACCAACCTAATGGATTTATTTCCTTCCACTGTTTCCTTCCACTGTGCAAGCGAATTATTGAAATAAAATTGAACCATATGTTAGTTGCGAATGACAGAGATTGTGTTGAGTGGATGTTAAACCTCATTGCTCTCTCTATTTCTGGGGGTTGCATGGCCGAATGGTTAGCATGTGCACGCTGTATCAAAAGATCTGTCATTGAGTCAGCTGGCTTGGTTTCGATTCCCCGGTTGTCCTTGACAAGGAGTACGGTCGCCAGTCCATCCTCGTGGGTTTTCTCCGGGTCCTCTGGTTTCCTCCCACTGCCAAAGACCCCTACGCGGCAGTGAATTATTGAAATAAAATTGAACCATATGTTAGTTGCGAGATGACCTAGTTTGTGTCGAGTGGACTTTAAACCCAATCTCTCTCTCGCTCTCTCTCTCTCTCTCTCTTTCCAAGATATCAAAGTGACTGGAACTGTTAGCAACATAAACACATCCCAAGATAAAGCTCCTCTCTTTAACTTGAATCAAAGGACATCAAAGTAAAAAATACCTTTTGAAACTATTGATATTATCTAAAATCTAGAATCAATTTTAGTCCCAAACCGTTTTCTTTTTGTAGTAATTAAATTTTTTTAAAAAATCCAAATCAAATCTATTTTATTACCGCCTTTAATTATGGGAACCAAGACGAAATAGATGATAAGACGGCACTTTATTTTATTAAATTAAGATTGTTGAATAATGTAGTCTTGTTCATAATTCATTGGTAAACTAATTGGTTGACAGATGTGGTGAGACGTGATAGCTCCTTGATTCAAACAGGGAGCAATGCTTAACACAACAATTCATTAACAAAATTTCTTTATTCATATATATATTATCTCTGCTTACGCTAAGCAGAAAATGCTCATCTCCGAACTCTATCAAGGCATTCACCCAATACCTACACCAAGTTTGAACATTCTAGCTCAGTTGGTAGAGTTATTGTGTCCCAAAAAGTGTGACAGATGGACAGACAGATCTATTTTAATAGTCCCCTGCCTTTCGAATGATAACATGATGTAAAAGGCCTTTTAGTGGATATTCATATTTGAGACCTTCCGTTCTGCGAGAACATTTTTTAACACAATAGATGCTACAATTTTTAACAGATTTCTTATATATTTGGTGTGAGGTAATGGGGTCGTACAAGGATGAGCCCTATCAATATTCATATTAACCTTATATCTTTTCAAATTTGGTGTGAAGCATTGGGGTCATAGAGTATTCGAACCCTGTTCATTTTTAGCAATCGCAAACTTTCTGTTCCAAAGATATATTGTGTCTGAATCTGAATCTGTACCTCATGGTAGACCAGTTAAAGCTGGCACCAGATATTCAGCCACCTTGTAGGAGAGAGAAAAAGAGAGAGAGAGAGAAAGAGAGAGAGAGAGAAAGAGAAAGAGAGAGAGAGAGATGTTTAAGGTCCACTCCACACAAACTAGGTCATTTCAGGACTAACATATGGTTCAATTCTATTTCAATAAATCGCTTGCACATAGAGGTCTTTAGCAGTGGGAGGAAACCAGAGGACCCAAGGAAAACCCACGATGTTGGGCATGCGACCCAACTCCTTGTCACATACAAGCGGGGAATCGAAACACACCGGTTGACTCAATGACAAACCTTAGGATACAACACACGTGCTAACCATTTGGCCATCCAACCCCCTCCTTGTAGAAGAAAGTGAGACAGATACACTGATAGGCTTGTCAACAGGATAAAATGGAATAAAATTGGGGTGCAACTTCCTACTTTTGTGCTCCGCCTGGGCTACCAAAGGCAGGTGTGAAAATAACTCCGTTTACACTTGGCCGTTCTCTGACCGGATAGCGTTTACGCTATGAAAACTTAACCCTGCCGTGCCTAGCACAGTGCTGAGACCACCTCACTTCAGTGGGCCAAATTGGCACGATACGCAGTATGGCACATTTATGTTTGACCCATTTACACGTCAAAAAAATTAACCATGACATGCCTGGTACGGTGCCTGGCACGCTTAAGATTTGTAATGTAAACAGGGTTTGTGATTTCTTGAAGGCATAAAGAATCTTTATCAAATTTGGTCAATATCCAAGTTTTCTTTTGGATAAGGTGCTGTTAGGATATATAGCTGCCATTACCTGTAATTCCACGCTTTGTGTGGCTATCTTTATGGAAGGAATAAAGGATCTTTATCAAATTTGGTCAATATCCAAATTTTCTTTTGGGATAAGCTGCTGTTGGGTCATATAGCTGCCGTGTGCCTGTAATTCCACGCTTTGTGAGGCTATCTTTATGGAAAGCATAAGTATATAAGGATTAAACTTGGTCAATATCCAAGTTTTTTTTTTGGATAAGCTGCCGTTGGGACTTAAAGCTGCCGTTTACTTTAAACAATGCAAGTTCTTTCTTATATCTTCTTTATTAGCTGCTGTGTGTGTGCGTTAGTCAAACATTTCTGCACACTTTCAATAAGGGAGTAATCATATCCCACCACACAGTATAAGAGAATTATATTATTGAAACTTATATATCAAGGAATTTATACAGATCTTATCTCAGATTGGCCCATGCCATTCATCTAACAAAAATTAAAATTTGATAACAGATTGCTAAAATAGTTGATATCGAGTGGGTGTGTTAATTATCATGTTACTGTTAGAGTCACAGGGGATATGAAATTGGGGTTTAACGACCTAGACCTACTTTTCTACTCCATTCGTCTAACAAAAATTGAAATTTGATAACAGATTGATGAAATAGTTAATATCTCATGGTTGTTTTACTTATCATGTTCCTGTTAGAATCACAGTTTGACAAATTGTTGATATCTCATGGATGATATTGGGGTTTAACGACCTACTTTTCTACATCAAGCGGATAAATAAAGATGGGCATACCCCATCAGTTTGATTTGAAGGAAATGAACTTGGCAAATAAAAATAGAAATACATCTTAAGTTTGCGTTCAGGGAAATTGCGCCTGGACAGCTGCGCTACGACCAGGCACTTTCCCGCGTGGTTCCCCCTTGTCAGTGATGCAGGACGGAGGGTCTGACAAGGACAGCTGTCTAGTCCTTTGGATGAGACGGAAAACCGAGGTCCTGTGTATACATTGGAATGCATTAAAAGATCCCTTGGCAGTTGAAATTCAATATAAGAGTAGGCGATAGTGCTGCTGCCCGGGCAAAACTTCCCTCATAGCACACTAATGGCATATGCCCGTCTTCATTAGCCCAGTATAGGAGCAGAACAGTAGGATGTTAAACCCCATTTCATTTCATTTCATTTCATTTCCCAGCTGGTGCAGATATGCATGAAGTTAAACCCCATTTCATTTCATATCTGACATTTCTTCAAACTTTATAATCTATGGGGGGGTTGGATGGCTGAATGGTTAGCGTGCGCACGCTGTATCATAAAGTCTGTCATTGAGTCGACTGGCATGCTTTCGAATCCCCGATTGTACGTGGCAAGGAGTAGGGTCACCTGTCTAACCTCGTGGGTTTTCTCCGGGTCTTCCGGTTTCCTCCCACGGCTAAAGACCCCTACGCGCAAGTGAATTATGTAAATAAAATTAAACCATATGTTAGTCCCGAAATGACCTACTTTGTGTCGAGTGGACGTTAAACCCCATCTCTCTCTCTCTCTCTCTCTCTCTCTCTCTCTTCAAACTTTATAATCAATGTTTATCTGTTTCAGGTTTACACTTCGGGTGTATTTGAAGTTAAAATACGCTCCTTATCAAATCACCACGGTCGCACGGTCAGTGGAAGGTGTTGTTCCGGACCAGAAAATAACGAAGATTGTGTCGCCACATGTCGAACGTTTTTCACACTGTGTTTATTACATTATCAAAAGCCTGTTCCGAACTATCCGACCTGTACGTTTGGAGAAGCCGTCACCCAGATTGTTGGCGAAAATAATATAGGACATGAACTCGGAGCAGAACCACCTTTCACTGTTCAAATCCCTTTTTCATTTTACTGGCCGGTAAGTTAAAAATATTTCTCTGATGTTTGTGAGTGGCATTTTATTACATGTACATAATAGGATTATGATTAAGATTATAGCGGTGAAAACAGCATTGAAACCACATGAATTTGTAGTGGTAGTAGTAGTAGCTGTAGCATTAGGACAGCTAACCTACGACGGGGATCACTACGATTTTTAAGTATATTTGTTCTCCTTTCCCGCGAGAATATATGGGGCTAAAAATTGTTCGCCACCGCAAAAAATATATGTAGTAGTAATGGGGGGGCGGGTGCCGGGTGCTGGGTACTACTACTACTACTGCCATTACCCGAAGCTGCTACCATTACTACTACATATATTTTTTGCGGTGGCGAACAATTTTTTGCCCCATATATTCTCGCGGGAAAGGAGAACAAATATACTTAAAAATCGTAGTGATCCCCGTCGTAGGTTAGCTGTCCTTGTGTTCTGTCTTGTCCTTGTGTCATTATGCGCCCTTTTATGCCTACAAAGCATCTTCAACTTCTAAAATCTGTTGTTTTGTTGATCCCCATTAGCTGATCAGCTGAGTTGTACTTACTACCCTCTACCCTTGTGGCGGCGCTACTGCTCAAACTGGGACGAACTCCCAAAGACCCCTAAAGAAATGTTAGACCTGTTAGGGGATGAAGGGTAAGGGAGTGAAATGTTGTAAGAAAATATCGCGGCAATACTCAGGATTGTTCTCACAAGTGCGAGTGTTGAGCGCACAAACTCGGCTTTGCGGTTTGTTAAGCCGTCATATCGTTCCACCATGGAGGAGGAACTAGGGCTTCCACTTCCAAAATTTTCCCAGCAGGTCATTTTTCAGTGGAGAAAGTGGTGCTATTTTTAGCACATAATAAGAAGACACAAAACAACATGATATTGAAATGTCGATCTGGTTTAATTGGGTCAAGGACAGTCGCAAAGAAATTTTATCTTGCGTCGGCATTTATACCCACCCACCCCCTCAATAAAAGAACACATGTAATCAATTATCATTTATTTATTTATTTATATATAAAAAAAATATAACAACAAGAAACATTCATTCATCGCAAGTACACTATTTTCTTACTTTATTTACAACAGCACCCGGTTTAACACATTGGTACTGCTTATGACAAAATCAACTTGGACAAATATGCTCGGAAATATCTGAGACGTATGCTGTTCATGAATCCACTCACTGAGGGATTTGAATGAGTGAATTTTGGATGTGGTGACATGGACGTTGAAATGAACCAATTTTTGTCAATTGTTGATTTCTTTCGTTTGATGGCATGATCTCTGGCGCGGTGCCATTTTTAAGGGAATGCAGCATCAATGATCACCCCTCAGTAGGTAGGTAGGTACCGAAACTCATGTTGCTAAACCAATTAACAGTCAGTTTAGGTTGGAAATCGTAATTTACTCTGATATGAGCCAGTTGGTGACTTGGTTGATTGCCCGTCAGTCCGCTTCGCATGCCCCCCCCCACCCCTTTCTGAAGATCCCGGATCTGCCCCTGGTAGCATTTGGTAGTAGAAGTAGTAGTAGCATTATTTCCGGGGATAATGAAAATGTCAAATTAGTTCTATGAAATCATAAAAGGCATCACATAGTAAAAATTTTATGAAAATGGAATAATAATTGACACTTTTATACACCAAAAACCTTGAAAAGTGACTAGCAGAAAATCGTAAATTTCTCTGCAACCGTATAAGTTAGTTAGAAACCATTTTGTGGTATCTGTATGATCGTATAGGGTTTATTCTATTTGTTGATTTGAATCAAATATTAAAATGTTTAACTGCTATCGTTCAGGAAAAGCCTCTGGGTTTCCGGTAATGTCATTTGTACGAAAATAGGGAAATAATTGACGAAATTACGGCCGCTTTTTTATTTTTTGGCACTGTACCGAATTCGACCACTTCCGGTCTGTGCAGAAGTTTCAAAAGCAGTTGATCAAGTAACCACCACATGGTTTCCCAATAGATAATTTGGTCGCAGATCGGTATCTGTTACAGGAACTGAGAAATCAGCTCCCAGAGAAAAAAAAAGTCAGAAAGTCTAATAAGAATAATAATCCGAACAAATACAGTAGCGTTTCATACAAACTACGCAGTGTGACGACCTAAAAGAACAAGAACTGAAAAAACATCAATTAACACTAGGCTATATTAGTAGCCTTAATATATGGATATTGGTTTGTCTTTCCCCCATGGGTCTGTGACTTAAGTTAACCCTGAAAGTGATAGAAAGCATTTAACAACTAATTTACATTATTAACACTAGGACACGCAGAAAGCTTTAAGTCACAGTTATAGATGTGAAAAAAATCAAATAATAATTGACAATTATGAACAAGTTAGAAGCCATTTTGTTATTTCTATATGATCATATGAGTTCCTTCAATTTGTTGAATAGAATTAAATATCATAACAAATAAGACTCATTTGAATAAAATATCTGTTTTGAAGGTTAAAAATACAGTTGTGGATAAAATGGCGCCACTTCTGGTGTCAGTGTTAAATTCAACTCAAATTGATATAATACACATTTGCTGTATGAATCAAACGGTGTTATTTTTATCAAAATCCAGCAAAATAACTTGAAAAGTGACTCATGCAAAATTGCCCATTTCTCGGCAACTGCTCAGATTACAAACTAATTTCAGCATAGATTGTCTTAGTATAGATATGAATGAACATTACATAGAAATATTTTAAAATATGAAAAGGCTAAATGGGTTGTAAATTGCTTAATTTTACACCCTTTTCACATTTAAATCATAATGGCACAAACACAAAACCAAATTAAAAAAATTGAGTTCAACTTTTTTGCGCCTGTCATAGAGGCATTCCTCTTGATCAATTATATTTGTAAAAATTAATATTTGCTTGCAAAAAGACAGGTCAAAATTGTAAATGCTGGAAAAATTATGTCACTTCTGGTGCCGACTGAAAACTTTATCGGTAACAAGAAAGTTGTGCACCATGAAACATATGAACTTTGTTTTGTTATACATATCGGTCAATAAATAATTAACCTAGAACCCATAAGCTGAAATTAAAAAGGCAAAAATTCTTAAAAAGTGATCATTTTTCTCCCTTGCCTTAAAATTGAAAATCGCTCTCCTGATTTGTAAATCATGGACACATGTATTTTATTTTTTTAAAAAGTGGGAAAGACTCACATTCCGTTCACTGTCATTGTGAACATTTATTTGGTGTATTTGATCAGTGTATAATGTGATCGCACATGGTAATAAAATTTCGATGAATATGTTGCTAAAAATAGATGGTGCCTATGCATCATTGGTTAATTGAACTGAAATGTAAAGTTTCGCGAGGCGAGACGTGAGAGATGGCATGGTGAAAATTTCAAATGAGAATAATTCCAGAAGAAATAGATTTTGATGAACTTTTCAAGCGTTTATGATTATGTTTTGAATAGGGAATATGTTTTAAATAAAATTTATATTTAGAAATGTTGACAAGTAATTCTATTAGAATACCGTACGTTGTTTTAGACGGAGGGTACTATTTAGCAAGCAATGTTTATTATCATTTATGTAATCATGGGCCTTATATATGATGTAACCAGAAATGACCCATTACACGCATTTATTGATCTTCAGAACCATTTCCCATACATACAACTAATCACTTTCCTTAATATCAGATCATTCCCCGTAATTTCTAAATCACTCTTCCTATCGAAACTGGCAGAGCTTTTTTAGGGGGGGATCACGTGGCTAAGTGGGTAAGACGCTGGCTTGCGAGCCTGGAGGTCGGATGTTCGATCCCTGCATTGGCTGAGAAAGTTCATCCAGATTTTCCAGCGTGGTTTCCCCTTGTCAGTGATGCAGGAGAGAGGGCCTGACAAGGACAGCTGTCTAGTCGTTTGGATGGGACAAAAAAAAAAAAGAGGTCTCGTGTACATATTGGCATGCATGTAAAAGATCCCTGGTCAGTTTGAATTCGATATAAGAGTACCGGTAGGCCGTAGTGCCGCTGCCCGGGCAAAATTTCCCTCATAGAACACTGTATGGCATATCCCCTTCTTCATTAGCCCAGTTCGGAGTAGGAGGTTAAACTCTATTTCATTTCATTTCATTAAAAAATTTGGACATCCAAAGTTAAATTAAGGAGTAAGAAATACACTGTTTGATTCCCATTATTGGATCTATAGGAAATTCTGTTCTTCGAGCTGTACTAATGGGAAAGAAATTGTCAATTATATGTTGCTCACTAACTCTATAATGCCAAGTTAAACAAGACTATTACATTAAGACTCTTGAGTTTATTAATACAAATATTCACATTAACAAACTCATACAAAGATCTCAGTTGATATCCACAAATACAAACCTCTTTTATACCATTTCTTACTTTGATTATTCCATCAAAATATCGTTAACTCGGTACTTATTTATCCACTTCTATCATTAAATTATCGTTTGTATATTGAACCATGGTTGTAAGGGAATTACTGTGTACGATATGAAAATTAATTAAAATCTGAATAATAAAAAATGTTCTTTGTAATTACTTAGGCCAAATGAAAAAAAATAGCTGCGTTTATGTAGTTTATGAGAGAGGGAGAAATGGGGTTTAATGTCCACTCGACACAAACTAGGGCATTTCGGGACCAACATTTGTTTTAATTTTATTTCTATAATTCGCTTTAGCAGTGGGAGGACTCGGAGAAAACCCAAGCACGTTGGACAGGTGACCCTACTCCCTGTCACGTACAACCGGGAAATCGAAACCAATGACAGACCTACACCCCCTTATGCAGTTTATGGTTACTGGACCACAAAAACTGGTGTCGGTCGGTTGGAAATCTTTTTTTTTTTTTTTGTTGTGGAGATTGAATAGAACTAATGGAAGTGATGAATAATCATTTTTATTTTTGTTCTATCCCTGAGAGTTCCAACTTTGGATTTATATTTAGCCTTATAATCCTCTCAAAGGTGTTACCGCAACACCCCCGTCTGTATATACTATCCCTTTATTGTTATTTTAGATGTGTAGATTCTCTCTTCGGATATAACAAGATTTCGAACGATTCTTCAATTCTTTAATATACTAGAGCATAAATATACATATATCGTCATACAGTACTGACAGGGCAGTTACTGCACTTAGTAAGGTATCCTAACTAGTGACTGCTATCAATGTACAAATTTGTTATATATAAGGAAAATCAGATAATAGGATAAAAGTAAATGTTGTAATTAAAACTGACATCTCGATATATAGATGAACAATGCATAATGGGTTAAATAATATAATAAATCAACAAAAACAATAGATCGGATTAACATCGTTACCCAATGACGAGTTGAAAAGTGATCTCAGGTTAAAGACTTACTCGCAAGGTGACCTGAAAGTGTTTTATTTAAGAAAGATTAATTATATTAGTGATTGATAGTTCATCACACCATTATATACTCTTCAAAAAAAGTAGGGGATATTGAAATGCAAATACCTATGCAGGTTGTGATATAATAAATAGTCATGGAAATTTGACATGCTATGTTCACAGATAAAGAACTTATCGCCCCAACAGAACCACTGAGCTGCATGTGTGACACGCAACAGCGCCATACACGTGGGAGGGGTTCATTGTCAAATTTGACACTTCCAGGAAGGGTTGATGAAAACTGCCGCGTGCTGGTTTATCCTATCCATATTTGATTTCCTATCGGTTCTTGCATAAGATTTACTGTTTAGCGTATCTTTGCTTTAGTGTGTTACGTTCAATTTGATCGGGGGACATGTTTGTCGACGTCAACGTCAACCGACAACACTACAAGAATTGGCCGTGGCACTGTAAAAGAAGTGGGTCAGATTGGCCCAAATCGTGATTAGACGGTTGATTAGGAGCATGCCAAGACGAATTGCTGATTGTCTGAGGATTTTGACAGTGTATCTCTTTGGGAGTGAAATTGGGCCGTCAGATAAGTTGCCCATATGAACTGTTTATGTTCAGGTGTATGCAATTGGCCTGTTATTAACATACACTGGTTACCTCTAATAAAAACAGCAGTGTATTTCCGCAGTTTTGTATTGTTTCTGAATATCCCCTACTTTTTTTGAAGAGTATATTACAGGGCCGCAACTAGCTCAGAACAACGAGGGGGGCGGGAAGTGTTCGCGGGGGTGCTGTAATATTGACGGACAATGTATATCTATTTTTTTTATGGCTGAAACTTTTTTCACGGGGGGGGCGAAAATTTATGCAGGGTCGCCTGTCCAACCTCTTGGGTTTTCTCCGGGTCCTCCGGTTTCCTCCCACTGCTAAAGACCCCTACGCGCAAGCGAATTATTGAAACAAAATTAAACCATGTGTTAGTCCCGAAATGACCTAGTTTGTGTTGAGTGGACGTTAAACCCCATTTCTCTCTCTCTCTCTTTTGCATGTGGTGCAACAACACAATAATAGGAGGCAGGGTGGCTTTTTACCTGTGGCACTGGCTCTTTAACCAGACATTTCCTTGAGATTTTCCATCCTGGTTTCCCCTTGTCAGTGGTGCAGGATGGAGTGACTCCCCTTGTCAGTGGTGCAGGATGGAGTGACATCCCCTTGTCAGTGGTGCAGGATGAAGTGACATCCCCTTGTCAGTGGTGCAGGATGGAGTGACTCCCCTTGTCAGTGGTGCAGGAAACAGCATCAAGTCTAGTTTGGTTAACAGTGGTGCAAGAAACAGTCTAGTTTGGTTGCTACGAAAAGCCATCCACGTACACTTGACAGTTAATATTCCATAAATATTAGGCAAAGCACTGCTGTCTCCGGGTAAAATTTTCTTCATTGTACACTGCGCAAGGTATACCAGTATTCAGTAACCCAGTTCGTGCACAAAAGTAGAACATAAAACCCCATTTCATTGCAATTTAATTAATGTCTTAATTTAGGGGTGAATAACCCTAGATGCAGTGGGGGTGTTGGATGGCCGAATGGTTAGCGTGTGCACGTTGTATCATAAAGTCTGTCATTGAGTCAACTGGTGTGGTTTCGATTCCCCGATTGTACGTGAAAAGGAGTAGGGTTGTCTGTCCAACCTCGTGGTTTTTTTCTGGGTCCTTCGGTTTCCTCCCACTGTTAAAGACCCCTATGCCCACGCGAATTATTGAAATAAAATTAAACCATGTTAGTCCTAAAATGACCTAGTTTTTGTCAAGGGGACGTTAAACCCCCATTTATCTCTCACTCTCTCTACAGGCTGTGTAGCAACCTTGATCTAACTCTGAATTCGGGGGCGGATTAGCCTATAGGCATTAGATGGTGTAGCTGAGAGAGAGAGAGAGAAACGAGGTTTAACGTCCACTCGACACAAACTAGGTCATTTCGGGACCAACATATGGTTTAATTTTATTTCAATAATTCGCTTGCGCGTAGGGGTCTTTAGCAGTGGGAGGAAACCAGAGGACCCGGAGAAAACCCACGAGGTTGGACAGGCGACCCTACTCCTTGCCACGTACAACCGGGGATTCGAAATGGTGTAGCAGCCTTGATCTGACTCTGTCTGAATTTGTGATAACCTTTTTGTTTTGTTTTCAGGGTAATTTTGCACTAATTATTGATGCCTGGCACGATCACCATAGAAACAGAAGTACATCTGGTAAGTTTCTATAATTCATGATAAAAGTTCTGTTCTTGGTATGATGAAATTTGAGTGGCAGTTGTGGCAGTTGTCCAGGATGTTATATAACGACCTACGCACTTAACGGGTTAATATTGTGAAGGGATAGATAAATCTACAGGTCGTGGAGTGAGACCACTAATCATTACTTGTCAGGATGGAGGGTCTGGCGAGGACCGTGTCTAGTGATACAGGTGGCGTGGAAACTTACGGTACGCCTGACAGTTGGAATTTGTAATTAGAGTAGGCTGTAGCACTGTGTCGGCAAACGTGACAAGGAGTAGGGTCGCCTGTCCAACCTCGTGGGTTTTCTCCCGGACCTCCGGTTTCCTCCCACTGCTAAAGACCCCTCGCGCAAGCGAATTATTGAAATAAAATAAAACAATATGTTAGTCCCAATATGACCTAGTTTGTGTCGTGTGGACGTTAAACCTCGTTTCTCTCTCTCACCCTCTCTGTGCCAGCACACAGTGTGGTGTATACCTGTTTTCATTAGCCCTGTTCGTTAGCGTGGTCTTTATTATGCAAAATTTATAAAAGTTATGGGGCTACCCTCAATTTATGTTCGAATTGGTAAAAATTTTCTTTTAAAAAAATGAAATTCTTAGACTGCGACTTTTTGCCATTTTTTAATTTTTTATTTTTATGGAAAAAAGTTATACACAGGAAGCCACAACAGAAGGGCTAGAAGTAAACCCGCAAAAATCTTGATTTCACCAATTTTTGAACCTCTGTATAAAACACTGGAATCAATTGTGTAGCTTTATAAATATTATTTGTGTCTTGTTCACATTCTAATTAACAGGAAACAACATTAATATTTCTTTCCATAAAAATAAAAAAAATTGAAAAAATGCCAAAAAGTCACATTTTGTTCAAACTATGATAGACATTAGCACCCTCTAAAAAAAATTTTTATTCTTATTTTTTCATTTTGAAATATAAGGACAACCCTACTGTCCATGCAGAACACTAGGATGTTAAACCTCATATACATTCAGGCCGTAATTAGGGGGGGGGGGGCAAAGCCCCCCCCTGCAAAAATTTTCGCTCACCCCCCCCTGTGAAATTTTTTTCGACCAATAAGAAAATAGATATGCATCGTCCGTCAATATTACAGCACCCCTGAGAACACTACCCGCCCCCCTGGTTGCTCTGAGCTAGTTACGGCCCTGTATACATTACATTTCATTTCATCTTCAGATACAAGACATATAATAATTCGAGTAAGTCGAGCCAAGAGGTTGAAACCTTCGAGGATATGGCAGGAAGATGAACGGTTAACACGAACCTCCCAACTTACATTTAGCTACCGTGTTGTCTGTGATGACAACTACTATGGTCTGGGTTGTGATCGCTGGTGTAAGGAACGAGATGATCCGTTCGGTCATTATCGATGTACGTCTAATGGCGAGAAGACATGTCTATCAGGATGGCAGGGAGAATTGTGCGATAAAGGTAAATAAAAATAATTCTTGCATTGTAACCGAAACGACTCCTTGGCTAATATTCCTATTAGAGATTCAACTTTCATGATATTAGGGGGTTTTGATGGCCGAATGGGTAGTGCATGCAAGTTGTATCATAAGGTCTCTCATTGAGTCAACTGGCGTGGTTTCGATTCCTGGGTTGTATGTGACGAGGAATAGGGTCTCACCGGTCGACATCTATATTACATTATAAACCTGTAACGGTAAATCTCTTTGATTTTTGGAGTATATTCTATGCCCAGAATAACTTGCGGTCTGAAAGTCAGGGGAGGTTTTGGATATATACAGGGAAATTTGGGGTTGTTTTTCTGAAAGTTTATCTTTAAACCTGGAACAGGTTATTCTTCCAGGGTAGGTTTTTTTTCCATAAGAAAACATGATATAAGGTTTTTCTTGCGGGAACTCTGGGATATTCTCATCTTGCGTACAATGAAAGTCCTCGACTTCAGAAAAACCCTTGACAGAAAAACCTCTGCCTACTTTCTTTTTCTCAGGTTATTTTCTTCAGTCTTTCTTTCCCCAGCATAACCTCGGTCTCGTTCTTTATCCTACACGTAACACGTGAGTTAGGCAGCTCAACGATTGTTCTGAGAACCTTGAAAATATTAATTGTACTCAAACAAAAGATGTCTCTCCTTATAGTATTGTTAATAATAAAGTAAATTAAAAATCAAAACGAAAGTAGATTTTCTAAACTGCTGTAACAACCTAAAAGCTAAATATTACCGTTAATCACAATCCTTATCAATAGATTTGTTACAGCTTGATAGACGTGTAGAAAATTTCTTGCGTGATAGCTATTTATAGGTTATGCACATGCTCCGTGTCTACCCTGTAATCACTTGGAAACTGTTCATTTGAGCGTGAACATTCGCTGTGGTTAGTTCAACTTTTAATAGAGCAAATTTTGACTGCGTGGGGCACCCTACTGTTAAGATTATTATTGTTAGGGCTATACAACGACTTAGAGTGTGGTTTCTATCTGGGGTTATTCCCCTTCGGTGGATTCCCTGTGAACGCAGTATTTAATGCATTGTTTTCAAATTTAATGTGAAGCATTGTGGCCATTATATCACCAATTCAATCAATATTCAACCTTTAGTTCCAGAATCACCCCCCTTTGGACGAAATATACTAATGTCCAAAAGAAAGTATAAAATGTGCATTTCGTGCTGCATCAACCAAAGTCGTTTTCCATCGTATGCAGCATTTGGGTACAATGTCAATTTGTTTCTCTTTTTTTATTTTGCTTAGAAATGTTGAGTTTTCACGCAAGGGGACAAACTCAGTAATGTTTTATCAAATATTTTTAATCTAAATAAAACTTAAGTTATATTATTAGTGTGTATACTTTCTTTTGGACATTAGTATATAAAATTAGATCAACATCCAAAGCTGCTTTGTGGGTGTCTTTCCATGTTTCTTTATATTTTTATCAACGGTTTCCTTTTGTATATATGTTTCAGTTGAATGTGCACGATCGTGTCTGGAATCAAATGGTTTCTGTGATAAACCGTCAAACTGCAGGTAAGAAAAGAGAGAGAGAAATGGGGTTTAACGTCCACTCGACACAAATTAGGTCATTTCGGGCTTAACATATGGTTTTAATTTTATTTCAATAATTCGCTTGCGCATAGGGGTCTTTAGCAGTGGGAGGAAACCGGAGGACCCGGAGAAAACCCATGAGGTTGGACAGGCGACCCTACTCCTTGCCACGTACAGCCGGGGATTCGAAACCACGCCAGTTGACTCAATGACAGACTTTATGGTACAGCGCGCACGTGCTAACCATTCAGCCACCCAACCCCCGTAATGAAAGAAAATGAAATCAAATTGTGTTTAACGTCCTACTGTTCTGCACGAAACAAACTAATGAAGAAGGGCATATGTCATACAGTGTGCTATGGTCTACTCTATGGTCTACTCTTGGGGATCACGTGGCTAAGTGGGTAAGACGCTAGCTCGCTAGCCTGGAGGTCGGGTGTTCGATCCCTGCATTGGCCGAGAAAGTTCATCCAGATTTTCTGGCGTGGTTCTCCCTTGTCAGTGATGCAGGACGGAGGGGCTAACAAGGAAAGCTGTCTAGTCGTTCGGATGGTACGAAAAACCGAGGTCCTGTGTACACATTGGCGTGCACGTAAAAGATCCCTTGGCAGTTGGAATTCGATATAAGAGTAGGCCGTAGTGCCACTGTCCGGGCAAAATTTCCCTCATAGCACACTGTATGGCGTATGCCCGTCTTCATTAGCCCAGGTTAGGAGCAGAACAGTAGGACGTTAAACTCCATTTCATTATCATTTCATTTCATTTGGTCTACTCTTATATCGAATTCCAACTGTCAAGGGATCTTTTACATGCACGCCAATGTGTACATGGGATCTTGTTTTTTTTTGTCCCATACAGTGTGCTATGAGTGAAATTTGTCCTGGACAGTGGCACCACGGCCTACTCTTCCATTGAATTGCAACTGCCAAGTGTTCTTTCACATACACTGCAACGTGTATACAGGATTTCAGTCTTTCGTCACATCGAAAAAAGTCTAAAAACCTGTCTGTGATGTTATGTTGTGAAGTGTATTGTGTATTATTAAATTCATAATAAATTGAGCAAAATCGGCCTAATGCAGATTCGCAGATTGACTATGCCACTGAAACCGGACAAAATGTCCAAAAGAACGGTTTTAAGGATAACTGGTCGAGTTTTAAAATTCATATCAGCTTTCTTTTATTAAACATGCATTATGCAAGATGTAAATCTGCCAATTGCAGGTCTTTCTTTAGGCCTGAAATGTTATCGAAATTATTAATTAGACATTAACTTATCCAGACCTTAATAAACTCTCGATGTCATCTTATGTGTCGGATTTTCACTGGATTTGAATCCGATCTCATTGATGATTAAATCCAAAAATGGATAATCGAGACTGTTTTTATCTACTGACTTTATTAATGATGATCGAGGCTAGGCTTAAAATTCAAAAGCTAATATCTCGGCTCAGAGTGGAGCAATTGGACTGAAACTTTTCGTATTTTCTATTTACGTCATCTTTTTTTTAACTATTATAGCGAGAACAGTCAACTCTTTATCTAATCTTCTATAATCTATCTTTGATAAAATCTAATTTTTTTTACAGTGTCTATATAATGCCTTGTATTATTAACCATTATTGGTTGTTTATTATGATTATCATATTTGAAGATTTCCCAAACATTTTCAGAAAAAGGGGATATTATTTTGATGCTAACATCGATACTAAGGAATTATATAAGTTTTGTTCTGAATTTCCTCAAAATCAGAAAGGTGTTATTGTCCAATAGTTGATGACTGTCAGCCAATTAGAATCAGGGGAATTTCAAATCTTTGCTGCGGTGTATATTAATTATATATTAATGGGGGTATCATATATTAATTTTATTGTATTGTTTATTGGTAGATTATTAATTGTAATATTTGTATATTGTATTTTGTAATATGTATTGTTTATTGTAATGTGTATGGTATATTACAATGTGTATTGTATATTACAATGTGTATTGTATATTACAATGTGTATTGTAATGGATGGTGTGTATTGTAATGTGTATTATATTTTAATCTGTGTATTGTAATGTATATTGTGTATTGTATTATGTATTAATAACGGTATATTCTATATTATAAGGTATATTGTATTGTGTATTAATAACTGTATATTGTAATCTGTATTGTAATGTATATTGTGTATTGCCTTATGTATTAATAATGGTATACATGTATATTATTAGGTGTAGAAGTGGATGGAAAGGACCAGATTGCCAGGAATGTATACCAGATATGAAATGTTTACGAGGATATTGTAAAACAGCTTGGGAATGTATCTGTAATGATGGTTGGAGTGGATCCTATTGTAATATATGTAAGCATCTTAATATTCATGTTATTCAGGTCATCTTTAGTAATATATGTAAGGACCTGTAACTCTTACACGTTGTTTGGGGGTTGGGTGGCCGACAATCTGGTTAAAACAGACCCTATTTCGTTTCATTTTTATAGTTCAAAATTTCGTTTTACCTGTCTTTACTACACTTGGATCTGGAAGACTTGTTATTTAACTTGTGTTCTGCTTTAAATGAGGGGTCAGCCAATCAAATGTTCTGTCGAATCAAGTGTTTCACCTTTTTTTGCCTGGAACTGTGGGTAATCCACTAGTAACATCAATGCTGATTGGTTAATCAAATGTCTGACGTCATAAGTCAAAAGTCGGTCTTTTGACCCCTGACGTGACCCATCGCTATAACTTGTCAGATCTTCATGTAGTGTAGGCCATCGAAAGTATAAAAAACGAAACGAAATATAGATCTGTATTTTAATCAGTTTGGGGTGGCCGATTGATTAAATCGTGCGCATTGCATCACAAGGTCTCTCATTGAGTCAAGTGGCGTGGTTTCGATTCTCCGCTTGTATGTGACAAGGAGTTACCATATAATTTACCATAAATGCTTGTGTACCAGTGTGAGGGATCACGGTGGCTAAGTGGGTAAGACGCTGGCTCGCTAGCCTGGAGGTCGGGTGTTCGATCCCTGCATTGGCCAAGAAAGTTCATCCAGATTTTCCCGCGTGGTTCCCCCTTGTCAGTGATACAGGACGGAAGGGCCTGACAAGGACTGCTATCTAGTCATTCGTATGAGACGAAAAACCGAGGTACTGTGTACACATTGGCGTGCACGTAAAAGATCACTTGACAGTTTGATATAAGGGTAGGCTGTAGTGCTGCTGTCCGGGCAAAATTTCTCTCATAGCACACAGTATGGCATATGCCCGTCTTCATTAGCCTAGTTCGGAGCAAAACAGTAGGACGTTAAACCCCATTTCAGTTCATTTCATTGGTTGTACCAGTGCGTGTGCCGGTGTTTTTTTATTACAATTTGAACACAGCGTTTAATTTAGATTAATGAATCTTTTGATCATGACTGCAACTAGATGAAGCTTGCTGGGGACTAGGACGTTATTCTAGACAGAGTCAAACTTTTCTTTAACAAAAAGTTTTTCTGACGAGGGGAAGGAAAATAGAGGTCCCATGTACATATTGGCATGCACGCAAATATCCCTTGACAGTTGGAATTTGATATAAGAGTAGGTCATAGTGCTGCTGCCCGGGCAAAATTTCCCTCATAGCACACTGCATGGCATATGTCTGTCTTCATTAACCCAGTCAGGAGCAGAACAGTATGACATTAAACCCCATTTCATTTCATTTCATGTGAACAAAAAGAAGTTTTTCTGTATAGAATAAAACCCTAGGTAGTTTCCACCAACCTTTGTCTAGTTGTTTACTCATTTCAGATTTTTAATACTTTTGTTTTAAATTTAAGATAAGAGTTATTGTGAAGAATACCAGCCTTGTTTTAACGGAGGAACATGCGTTCATGATGACGGCAGTAATTATACATGCACGTGTAAGCCTGGCTTCAGTGGCCCAAACTGCGAGAAGGAATATTGTTACAATGGATTCTGTTTGAATAATGGTCTTTGTGAGGTATGATCAAACATTTTACATGCTAACAACTACGGTCAGAGTGAAAAGCCTTTTATCAGGTGGGGGGGGGGGGGGGCGGCCGAATGGTTAGCACGTGCACGTTGTATCATAAAGTCTGTCATTGAGTCAACTGGCGTGGTTGCGATTCCCCGGTTGTATGTGACAAGGAGTAGGGTCGCCTGTCCAACCTCGTGGTTTTTCTCCGGATCCTCTGGTTTCTTCCCACTGCTAAAGACCCCTACGCGCTAGCGAATTATTGAAATAAAATTGAACCATATGTTAGTCCCAAAATGACCTAGTTTGTGTTGAGTGGACGTTAATCCCCATCTCTCTCCTCTCTCTTTCTCTCTTCGGATATAATAGACTTCCGACGATTCTTCAATTTTTTAATTTCTTCTCTTTTTGTGTACCATGTTTTGGTGGGATGGACTGGAAACAAATGTTTATGATCCATTATTGCATTAGGTCTGTCAAGGATTGACTGAATTGTTAAACAAACGCGCCTCAGACAATAAAGTCTGTCATTGAATCGGGGGTTGGTTGGTCGGGGGTGCTGAATGGTTCAACGCATGTATCAGTTCATAAGGTCTGTCTTTGAGTCAATTGCTGTGATTTCGATTCCTCGCTTGTACGTGACAAGGAGTAGGGACACCCCTGTCTAGCTTCGTAGGTTTTCTTAGTGTCCTACCGCTACCATCCACAGCTAGAGAACGTGCAAGCCAATTATTGAAATAAAATTGAACCATATTAGTATTTACTGAGTGAAAATGAAACCCCATTTCTTTCTCTCTGTGTCATTGAGTCAGTGATCTGGTTTCCATACTATAAGTGACCAGCAGGAGTGTGGAGAGAGAAATGGTGTGAAATTTAACAGTTACATTTTGTTTCTATAGTTTCATTAATTGATCACATTTCTTATCAAATAACTAAAAACATCCTAACTGAAGAATATAAACACAGGATGTATAATTGTAAAAAATAAAGAAAATGAGTTAATTAATAGAAGTTGCTAAGTTCCAACTCTTAACACCGACATAATTTATTAACAAATAATATTACCACCATTTTGTATCCGATTTAAAAAAAATACCAAAAAACAATTGTAAAAAATCAATTAACACTAGGCTATATTATTATATAGGCATATTGCCTTGCTTACCGGATGGGTTTGTGAGTTAAGTTTAATAAAATTAATTGCGAAGTTACCATGCCCTTAATAACCAGCGGCTGCCACATTTTGCAAGAGATAAATAGAGAACAAACTAAAAACAAATGCGCTTTTTTTTACAATCGGGGACAATAATCCAGAAAGTTATGGTCTGAAATGCGCAAATATCAAAAGGGAATGAGATCTTTGGGATATAAAGATATGTTTTAAGTTTCATCAAAATTGGATAAAAATTGTGACCTCTAGAGGGTCCACAACCTTCGTATTACATAATTTCACACAATTTGCATACAAAGAGCGGCCATTTTGTTGGGCAGTTTCATTTCAATTTTCCCGAAATTCGAATTCAACCTTCATTATGGTGGAATGGTGATATATTTAAAGGTTTTTTAAAATCGGAAAAAAAATTGTGACCTCTAGAGAATCTGTAAGCTAAAAATGCGATTTTTCAAACAATCAGGGGCCATAATCCAGTAAGTTACGTTTGGGTATGCGCGATTATCAAAAGGAACCAAGATCTTAGTGTGTAATGGTGATATATTCACACATTTTTTTTAAATTGGATAAAAATTGTGACCTCTAATGGGACCACAAGCTAAAAACGTGATTTTTTGTAAAATCAAGGGCCATAATTCAGGAAGTTACGATCCGATATGAGCGAATATCGATAGGAACCAAGATCGTTGGGTTATGAACTTGTATTTTAGGTTTCATCAAATATCGGATCGACATTGTGACCTCTCAAGGGTCCACAACCTTGATATACCAGATGTTTACACTATTTGCGTATGAGTGGCGGCCATTTTGTCTGGCAGGTTTGACTCGATTTCCACGAATTTCGAACTCAACCAACATTACGGTGTAACAGTGATATATTCAAACGTTTTTTTAAATAGATAAAAATTGTGACCTCTAGATGGACCGCAAGCTAAAAGCGACCTTGATATAAAATATTTTACAATATTGCGAAATTCGAACTCAACCATCATTAGCGTGTAACGGTGATATACTAAAACGTTTTTTAAATCGGATAAAAATTGTGGCCAATTTAGATTGACCAAAAGCTAAAAAAACCTGATTTTTTGTACAATCAGGGGCCATAATTCAGGAAGTTACAATCCAATATGCACGAATATCGAAAGGAAATTAGATCTCTGGGTTATAAACATGAATTTCAAGTTGCATCAAAATCGGATCAAAATTGTGACCTCTAGAAGGTCCACAAGCTAAAAACGTGATTTTTCGAACAATCAGGGGCCATAATCCATGAAGTTTCGATCCGATATATGCCAATATCGAAAAGAACCAAGATCTTTTGGATATATACCTATATTTCAAGTTGCATCAAAATTGGATAAGAATTATGACCTGTAGAGTGTCCACAAACAAATTGTGGACGGACAGACAGACGGACGGACAGGGGCGACGAGAATATACATCCACATGAAAATGTGGGCGTATAAAAACGTGAAGCTGTTAGGGAGCTTTTATTAACAATCAGTTATTAACACTAGAGTATAGGCCTACTACTGGAAACTTTGGGGGACAGTTGTACATTCATTATGTATGAAATGAACTAGTTTGTCTCCCGTGGACATTAAACCCCATCTCTCTCTCACTGATTTTAATATTGTCATTTATATCTGAGCACAGATATAAATCAGAGAAAAAAAGAGGGTATACTTATTAATTAACTGGTAATTTAGACCAGAGTCTGAGAAACATTCGTGCCCCTATGCCCAGACCCCCCCCCACCACCACCCCCCCACCCCTCCTTGTAAGTAACAGCCATACAGAATTCAATATAGAATTGTTGCTACGTATGATTGAAACGATTTTCAAAAGGCCAATGTACTTAGTAAAAGATAAATTTAATTTCAGGAAGTTGGCTCTAAAAGATTTTGTCGATGTGAAGAGAGGTTTTCTGGGACACGGTGTCAGAATAAGGAACCAACGTGTGGTGAGATTTCCTGTAGAAATAATGGCACCTGTATTCGTATGAAGAAACGGTGGGCTTGTTCGTGTACGCCGGGATATGAAGGACATTTCTGTGAAAGAGAAAGAAATGAATGCTCTTCTAGCCCTTGTAAAAATGGTGAGAAAAGAACATCTTGATTGTAAAAAATAAGTAACATCTCGCGATTAAACGTGTATCTCGATATAATTATATTTAATTATATATGATGCCATGCCATATATGATAGTTGTTCCATCATTGCAGGGGGCCACGGTGGTTAAGTGGGTAAGATGCTGGCTCGCTAGCCTGGAGGTCGGGTGTTCAATCCCTGCATTGGCCGAGAAAGTTCATCCAGATTTTCTGCTGTGGTTTTCTCTTGTCAATGATGCAGGACGGAGGGTCTGACAAGAACAGCTGTCTAGTCATTCAGATGGGACAAAAAAAACAAGGCCCCAGGTACACATTGGCATGCACGTAAATGATCCCTTGGCAGTTGGAATTTGATATAAGAGTAGGCCGTAGCGCCGCTGCCCGGGCAAAATTTCCCTCATAGCACACTGTATCGTGTATGTCTGTGTTCATTAGCCCAGTTTGGAGCAGAACAGTAGGATGTTAAACCCCCTTTCATTTCATTTCATTTCCATCATTGGATGAATTAATGGGGTTGACCTAATAGCTATCTGGAAGGACCATTGACCCAATACCAACTGAATACTACCAAATACCACCACATACTAGAGGGTTGAATGGCCGAATGGTTACTAGGTGTGCGCCGTATCATTGAGTCAACTGGCGTGATTTTGAATCCTCGGTTGTACGTGACAAGGAGTAGGGTCGCCTGTCCAACCTCGTGGGTTTTCTCCGGGTCCTCCGGTTTCCTCCCACTGCTAAAGACCCCTACGCGCAAGCGAATTATTGAAATAAAATTGAACCATATGTTAGCCCCGAAATGACCTAGTTTGTGTCGAGTGGACGTTAAACCCCATTTCTCTCTCTCTCTCTGTTTTACTAGACGTCAAACCCCATTTTTCTATGTGTATAGTTTATCTAATATCCAATATTTAAGATTTTAACATTTTAAAATCAGTATACAACGACATGTCCTCTATGACGCCATTTGTAATTAACAAAGAAATTTTCGTCTATTTTAAGGCTCTGTTGATCAATAGGGCTATACACCTTTTAATGCACCCATGTTTATTTTGGTGTTTTTCAGGAGGAATATGCCGAGATCGTGTAAATGGATACCACTGTGTTTGTACCGATGGGTTTGCTGGGAAAAATTGTGATCTGATATTCGATGCGTGTTTAGGATTCCACTGTTTTAATGGCGGCAAATGTATCACACGTGGTCATTTCTCCGCTGTATGCGCATGTCGCCCCGATTATACAGGATATCGATGTGAAACCCCAAAAAATCCTTGCCACGGTGTTCGGTGTCTGCACGGGGGACAGTGTGTGGTCCACGTGAAAGAAAAACCCAAGTGTAAGTGTAAAGCCGGGCGAAGTGGCGAAGTGTGTCAATTCAAATCAAACAATCTGTGTTCGAGTCTGCCGTGTCAACACGGGGGAACATGTAAATCCTATACAGACAAGTATCTGTGTATTTGTCCCCAGGGATTAGAGGGGGACAACTGTGATCGTTTAAAACTGTCGTCAGACGACCCAAGTAGTGAAGGTGAAATAGACATGGCACCAATCAATGTAAAAGGTCACACGAACAGTACGACAGTGTGCTCCTACCATTATTTATTAAGACTTTTATCCATGTTCATATTTTATTTAAAATCCATGTCCTGGCTATAAAAAGGGGGACATAACTCTGTAAATCAATCATGTGTATATTTTGTGTGTACATATTTGTATAAATATAGTGAACTTACAACCATACTTTCAATAAAAGAGACATTAATGACAAAAGGGTGGAAAACTAAAAACCAAAGGAAAGGTCGGAGCACCACCTAGAAACAAACTTCTCTAACATATTTGAACAGATATTGTAAATGTTTAACCATACTTTCAATAAAAGAGACATCAACGACAAAAGGGTGGAAAACTAAAAACCAAAGTATAGAATTGTAGCACCATGGGTCTTCTGTCAGACGTGGAGCGCGGGCCAACAAATACGGTCGCCACATCCTACGTATGACCCATGCATCTTTTCTTACTACATATCTTAGTAGCCTTGTGATCGTCTTTAATTTGTCTCTGGTTGTCTTTGATTCCTCGTCACGTTGTGTATTTACTTCTTCTTATCTATATCAGTTAGTTAAGATGTTTGTCTTACCAGGAATAATAATGCAACAGTTTGTTTTACATTTTATATATCATAGTCGGATACATGGATACAAGCATAGTAGATTACAATACTAAAGTCATTCTCAAACCCTAAATATGATGTAAATAATTAGAGAGATTGGTTGATTAAGCCAAATGACGTTGAAACCCACCCTTACTAGAGAAATTTCACACAAGATATCTGTTATCAACCTAGAATTGAATGTTTACCACATTATGACTTTTATGTAACAATCCGCCACTCATTCGCTAACTTGATTTAAGTACATATATGTGAATCTAATAACTTGCCAAAGATATTAATTAATACAATATAATGCCATCATTAATTTCAAGCGCAAAAATTCTAGCAATGTTTGAACAGATATTGTAAATGTTTAACCATACACTCAATATTACAGACAATACATAGAGGATATAATAAGTTTTTAATAATCGTTGCCTTGGTGTTTTCCTAGGTCCTCTCCTCCTCACCGTCCCCCCCCCCCAAAAAAAAATAATAATGTGACTCAATTAATTTGGTATGCTTGTTCTTTGGACAAAGGGGGGTTGGATGGCTGAATGGTTAGCGTGCGCGCGCTGTATCATAAAGTCTGTCATTGAGTCGACTGCCGTGGTTTCGAATCCCCGGTTGTACGTGACAAGGAGTAGGGGCGCCTGTCCAACCTCGTGGGTTTTCTCCGGGTCCTCCGGTTTCCTCCCACTGCTAAAGACCCCTATGCGCAAGCGAATTATTGAAATAAAATTAAACCATATGTTAGTCCCGAAATGACCTAGTTTGTGTCGAGTGGACGTTAAACCCCATCTCTCTCTCTCTCTTTGGACAAAAGGGAACCACGGTGGCTCAGTGAGTAAGGTGCTGGAGGTTATGGGTTTGATCTCGGTGTTGGCCCAAAAAAGTTCATTGGGATTTTCCGGCATGGTTTCTCCTTGTCAGTACTGGTGCAGGATAGAGGACTTGACGAGGACAACTGTCTAGTCGTTTGGATGGGACGGAAAACTGGTCCCATGTACACATTGGTGTGCACGTAAAAGATCCCTTGGTAGTTGGAATTCGATATAAGAGTAGGCTGTAGCGCTGCTGTCTGGGTAAAATGTTTCTCATAGCACATTGTATGGCGTATGCCTGTTTTCATTAGCCCAGTAGGAGCAGAACAGTAGGACGTTAAACCCCATTTCAATTGATATCTTGATTTAAAGACGGCTACGATGATGGCTGTATTTCCTAGTTCATGTGTCACACTCAAGAGTTAAGCATGGGCTTGTCATGTCGTGAAAATGTGGGAGTATGCCATTGACAGAAATCTAGTCATCCTGCAAGAGATAATTTTCCTCCTAGCTTACTACATGGGTTATTTCCGTCTTCATTAGCTATGTTGGTGCAGAGCAGTAGAACGTTAAACCCAACTTTTAAAATTTTATTTCGGGGGAGCCATGGTGGCTAAGTGGGTAAGACGCTGGCTCGCTAGTCTGGAGGTTGCATGTTCGATCCCTACATTGTCCGAGAAAGTTCACTGAAATCTACGTGGTTTCCCCTTGTCAGTGGTACGGGCCGGACAAGGACAGCTGTCTAGTCTTTCAGATGGAATAAAAAAACTCAGGTCCCATGTATGCATTAGTGTGCACATAAAAGATCCCTTGGCAGTTGGAATTCGATTTAAGAGTAGGCCATAGTGCTGCTGCCCGGACAAAATTTCCCTGATAGCACACTGCATGGCATATGCCCGTCTACATTAGCCCAGTCGGAGCAGAACAGTGCGATGTTAAACCCCATTTCATTTCATTTTATTTTGGTTAAACATACATTAAACAACAGCTAAATCTGCCTACTGCAGATCTTTCTATAGGCCTGAAATGTTATCTAAATTATTAATTAGACATTAATTAACTTATCCAGACCATAATCAACTCTCAATGTCTTCGCTAGCCTGCGATATATTCTGGATTAGAATCCTATCTGCGGCTTTACGCTCATTGATAATTAAATCAAAATTTAGATAATCGAGGCTATGTTTTTTTATTGTTCCGACTCTAGTAATGATGATCGAGGCTAGACCCAAAATTCAATCGCAAAAATCTTGGTTCAGAGTGGATCAATTTGACTGAAATTTTCAGCAAAATTTCCTTTACATTATCTAGTTTTTAACTATTATTGTGAGAACTTTCAGCTCTTTATCTAATCTTCCATAATGTATCTTTAAATGAAACACAACAATTTAAGTATTTAAGAATTTTATTATGATATAAATGTAAATGAATTGCCTATTGATACATCTTCAACCAGAGAGTTAAGAAGACCCAACAACCCAGGGCCCTTATTCACGAAAACTTAAACTAAGATACAATCGAAATTTTAAGAAATGCTGCAATTCGATTGGCTGACCAGTAAAATCAATTTGCATATATCCAATGAATTTGCAGTATTTCTTAAAATTTTGGTTGTAACTTAGTTTAAGTTTTCGTGAATAAGGGCCCTTGTCAATAAATATGTCAATAATATTTCATGATAGTAAAATAAATAAATAGAGAAATTAATCCCATGGATGCCGATCGCATTTCATACCTTATTTTATACTTGCTTCAAATATTTTGTTGTTTTCAAATTAGGCCGTATAGAAAAAGTCTTCAGGTTCTCATGCAGGTTTTTTTTTTGTTTTTTTATTTTGTTAATGGATCACTACTGGGTAAAATGACCGCATTTATTTCAACACAATAGCTGTGGTGGCTCAGTGAGTAAGATGAGTGGTGCAGAACAGGGTCTGGCAAGGGACAATGTACAGTCGTTTGGATGGGACAGAAACTGAGGTCCTGTGTACACATTGGTGTGCACACAAAAGATCCCTTGGCAGTTGGAATTCGATATAAGAGTAGACTGTATTGCCGCTGTCCAGGACAAATTTCCCTTATAGCACACTGTATGGCGTATGCCCGTCTTAATTAGCCAAGTTTTGGAGCACAACAGTAGAACGTTAAACCCCATTTCATTCATTCATGTGCGGTAATGAATGGAACTGTTTTTATTTCATGCAGTCCTTTTTCAAGTGACCAGGAATTATCTAAGAACAAGAATATTTTTTATATGACCTAATAGTAATAACAGTTTGTTTTACAGAAATTCATTCATTTTTGTGCACATTTCAGCATTGTGCCATTATTTTACTAGCATGTACAATTTTAAATATAGATACCTACCTACAAATACAATTGAACAAAATTACTTTTCTTCTTTTTACCCACAACATATAGAAATCTAGTTATTTTAACATAAAATATTTGAGAATCCCATACCACAATTTAATAATTTTATGCATGGGTGTTTTTAATATTTAAAGTATATGATCTTCATTTGAGGGTGTTTAGTTAAACCCTTGTAAACTACAATATATCGAAAGTTGAATCTCTAAACGGAATATCCGTCCAAAAATGGTTCTATTCTATTCAATATTTACAAAGATATGATGAATTAACAATTTTACAACATTCTGCATTCTCTGCAGACAACATAAATTAGTCAGTGCCACCAAGCAATGGGTAAAATCTTTTAAAGGAATCCAATCTGAAAGATAATCTATGGCAGTGGTGGTCAAACTATTTAGGCGAAGGGTCAAACACAAAGTTTTGAAACAAAGCGAGGGCCAAGCAAGGATTATGATATGTCATGTTATTGAATAAGTAATACAAAACAAAGCACTTTTCTGTGTTTTTTATTCGGCTCCATAGTTATATTCAGAAAAAAATCAAAGTATGTCAACAAATTAAACAATAACGTAAAATGAAAGTAGGCCCAAGTCAAGTAATGTCAATTAGTAGGCAACTATGCGATCGAGTGACGCTGCTAGCTATAAATAGAACCACAAAGATTATTGATCCTACAGAGACTATAACGCCTGTTTAAGAGTTTGGGCCTAACAATAAGCAATTTTGATTTTTTATTTCATTTAGAGATAAAATTACTCATATATTTTCAGATGTAGTGGAAGGTCCTGGCGAGCTGTTTGACAAGACTTCGTTTGACAAGGCTTCGCGGGCCGTAGTTTGCCCACCACTTATCTATGGCTATATTTTGGGTTCTATAGGTGTTGGGTTAGATATTTTGAAGGAATCTGATCAGGGAGATTATCAATCAGGGAGATTATCCATCCATCGTTGATAATTTGGTTTTGTTTTCTCGATCAAATGTTAAATAATCAATGTGAGTATATTTTACAGTGGATTAAGCCGTAAATCAATTAGATCTGGGCCGTGTTTCTCGAAATCTTAACTAAAGATAAAATCCAAATTTTTGTAGATAATTCAACTTTGATTGGCTAAGCACTAAAATCAACCTAATATTATCCAATCAAATTACTAAAATCTGGACTTTATCTTAAATAAAATTTCGTGAAACAGGCCCCTGGTCCCCAATATACACATGACGATCAGTGGATTTAATGATGACTATATTTGGGAGATAGAAAGAGAGAGAAATAGGGTTTAACGTCCACTCGACACAAACTAGGTAATTTCGGGACAAACATATGGTTTAACTCTATTTAAATAATTCGCTTGCGCGTAGGGGTCTTTAGCAGTGGGAGGAAACCGGAGGACCCGGAGAAAACCCACGAGGTTGGACAGGCGACCCTACTCCTTGTCACGTACAACCGGGGGTTCGAAACCACGCCAGTCAACTTAATGACAGGCCTTATGATACAGCACACACATGCTAACCATTCGGCCATCCAACCCCCCAGACTATATTTGGTGTTTTTAATATAGGTTTTTCTCTCTGGGGCTTGTATAATGACTATTTGGTCATTGAAATTTAATTTATTCAGGAATATTACTGACATGAATTTCAAGCCGATACGTGAATTAAATATGGAAAATATTCTGAACAGTGTACCTGTTTATGGTTATTTTTGTGGTAACTATATGTAGTAGAATACAATATTTCTCATAACAAATTACCAAGAATTATTTTTGTTGAAGTCTGGTTATAATAAAGGGAATGGAAGCTTAAAATTTTGAAACCCAGTTCCTATTGGAACCTCATTTGACCCAATTCGTGTCAAAATGGATTAAGAACCCTGCATTGAATATAGGTTTTTTTCTGCGGACTTGTATAATGACTATTTGGTGTTTTGAATACAGGTTTTATTCCTGGGGCATGTTTAATGACTATTTGGTGTTTTTAATATAGGTTTTTTTCCTGGGGCATGTATAATGACTATTTGGTGTTTTTAATATAGGTTTTTCTCTGGGGCTTGTTTATGGGCTATATAGAGAAATCCTATACTAGATAAAGCACTGACTAGAAATATAACGTCAAACCAACGATGATAAAAATTAAACTGTAATTCACCCAATACTTCTGTTATTATAGACCTAAAACAAATTAATAAATCAGTTTAAACAAACATGGGTTGCCAGGCAACAAAATATATTATAGAAAGTGTGCAAGGGCAATAACTCTAACAATAATTAGCAGATGTGTCAAGATATGTGAATGTCAAGCAGCACAAGTGATTAATAATGGGCCGCCAGGCAACAAAACATGAAAAGTGCACAGGGGAAATAACTCTGTAATTAACTGAATGTGTTTAGCGCATGTGAATATCAAACAGCCTGAGTGATTACTTTTGTCACTAGAACATTCAGAAGACTCTAGAATGTAATCAGGGCACTAACACTAGAAATGATTTTATCAAATATCAAAACATGGTTTGTGAACAGAAATTGTGGGCTAAAGCCTATCCAGTGTTGAATATGGCACTCTAATATAGTGATAATACAAAAACTATTACCAGTGGTAGATAACCACATCCGCTCCACACAAACTAGGTCATTTCAGAGCTAAGGTAGCTATTATGAACTATTAGTACGGTAGATTAAAGCTATGTGAACCTAACTGGGCATCCAATTCAAAATTTTCACATTCAGGCATTTTTAATAACGTACGAAACCTTTACAAATTAAATTCATATTTCATGTTTTTTTTATTTGTATCATGAATCCACGTGTTCATATCATTTTGTCAGCATGGTGTACACAAAATAAATAAAATATTAGTAGGGCTGGTAATTTATTAATTAAATATTCCCTGTTTGGCTATTTAACCTACAACCAGTCTTTTCATGGTGATTAAAACTATAAATAATAATTTTACCTGTATTCAAGTGGCATATTCATTCTCATTAATAACACCGATGACACAAAATACATTCCCTGAAATAGATAAATATAATTATCACACCATTAGAGAATCTGGGTGATCTGTCCCACTGGTGATCATTACCTGGGTGATCTGTCCCACTAGTGATCGGTCCCACTGGTGATCATTACCCGAATAATCATAACATGGGTAAACTGAGATGCCTGGCGATCCGAGACAATAATAATTACCATGGGGACCTGAGATACCTGATGATACCTTGACAATCATTACCTGAGGACTGAGGAACTGGATAGTTCTATATTACCTCCGTCCTACCTGGGTAATCTGTCACACAATAATTTCTATGAATATTACAACTCAGTTATTTAGTGCTGCCAATAGAATATATACAACTGTTGACGACAAGTGTTGAGAACAATTGTTTAAATTATTACAAGATTCAAACACAGAGATACTAATCGAGAATCAAATCTCCAGATTGATAAACAGAGACTGTCGTAATAATGAAAGTATGAACTCACCATGACCTGTGCCAAACATAACACTATGACATTTGATGATTTACTACTGGCTATGGCATAGAAAAACTAAAAATACACAGAAAATTAATTAAATATTCACTTCATCTCAATTTATCTTTCAGTTCTTCCTGATTCTATACAGGAAATTAATTAAATATTCAGGTCATATCAATTTAATTTTCATTTCTTTCTGGTTCTATATAAACAAATAATATAATATTCAAGGAAATATTCCGACGTAGTTTCCCCTTGTTAATGATGCAGAAAAGAGGGCCTAACCAGGACAGCTGTCTAGTCATTCAGATGTAGTACGAAAAACCGAGGTCCCATGTACACATTGGCGTGCATGTAAAAAATCCTATGGCATTCGATATAAGTTCCCTCATAGCACACTACATGGCATATGCCCGTCTTCATTAGCCCAGTCGGAGCAGAACGGTAGGACTTTAAACCCCATTTCATTTCATTTCAAGGGAATATTCAAAGGAAGTCCTTATTTTCTAGGTACAATCACGTAAGTGCAGGAGGACCGCACTACACGTAAAACAAAAATCTACAAGATAAACCTGTTGACAAGACAGAAAATAGACATTGCACCAAATAAACAAATTTCAAATCAAGTGAATGGATCCGGTGGCCAGGTCCACTGCGCTGTACAGTCCCGGGCCTGTAGTGACACAGACTTCACTCAAATTTGAAAACAATCAGGAATACAAAAAAGACATAACAGAAATAATGCGACCAATCTTGACAGTGGTCGTCTCTTCAATGGCGATAGTCTGCCAGTTGACGTCATGAGTTAGAACGTCAAACAATTTTAACAATAAGGGCGATAATCCGGATAGAATCTCGGAAAACGCTAAAATAATAAGTGTAGTGAGCAAACAGAATATATACATGTAAGTTATAACCTCTAATAGACTTGTGGAGCCATGGTGGTGGTGGCAAGGACAGTGTCAAGTCGGATGGGATGAAAAATCAAGGTTCCTTGTTCACATTGACAGTTGCAATTCAATCAGTAGAATGTAGAGCCGCTGTCTGGGCGAAATTACCCCCATAGCAGATTGTATGCCCGTCTTCATTAGTCTAATCGGAGCAGAACAGTAGGACGTTAAACCCTATTTCATTTTAATTTATTTCATGTCTAATGGACTTACCCTAGTCAGTGTAATAAGTAAACCTCTAATAGACTTACCCTAGTCAGTGTAATAAGTAAACCTCTAACAGACTTACCCTAGTCAGTGTAATAAGTAAACCTCTTATAGTCTTACCCTAGTCAGTGTAATAAGTAAACCTCTTATAGTCTTACCCTAGTCAGTGTAATAAGTAAACCTCTTATAGTCTTAGCCTAGTCAGTGTAATAAGTAAACCTCTTATAGTCTTACCCTGGTCAGTGTAATAAGTAAACCTCTTATAGTCTTACCCTGGTCAGTGTAATAAGTAAACATCTAATACACTTACCCTGGTTAGTGTTATAAGTAAACCTCTAATGGATGTAACAATTATTATACCAACTAATAAAAAGGAAATCTGCTGAGACCAAAATTTTACCTGTAAAAAAAAGAACGAAATAAATCTATCCTTGTCACACAATCTGACTAAAACACAGATCCTATTTCGTTACTTTTTATAGTTCAAAATTTTGTGTTACTTGTATTCACAACACTAGCATCTGCAAAGGTGTGTTATCATTGACCTGCTCTGAATGATGTGAGGGATTAGCCAATAAAACAGTCTGTTACGGCACGCTTTAGGCGTGTTTTGCACGGAACTGTGGGTAATCCACTAGTAACATCAATGCTGATTGGTTAATCAAATGTCTGACATCATAGGGTCAAAAGCCGTTCCTATGACCTCTGACGCAACCTATCACTACAACCAGTCAGATCTTCATGTAGTGTAGGACAGTGATGGGATTTCAAAATTTTACTTGTCGGACATTTTACCGAAAATAAAGGGGCATAACTCTTATCGTTATTTAAGCAGACGAATTTGTACCACAATTAAAAGTCACATGTCAAAATATTCAAATCCCGTACGTAATAAAAATAGGTGAACCTCGCTATTTTTCATACTTAATTCCCGTACAGTATTCAATTCATACCACAATTAAAAACCACATGTCAACAAAAGGATTAAGTCAGTCAATCAAGGCAGATTAAGTAGTTAAATCAAGGTAGGTTTATACTATAGACGGTATAACACGATAAATACGTTGATCACTTAATTACCTAATCAACCCAGCGTATTATCGACGATAATCGGGTTGAGTGGTAGTTATACACTCAGTAAACTATATTAATTTCGGAATTTTGAATATTATTCACCATATCTTGATGTCCGATTGGGCATATTCCCGGTCGGACAATTTTGGGCAATTTGAAAAAAGATTCGGACAAGTCCGGAATATACGGGCAAAATCCCATCACTGGTGTAGGCCATCGAAAGTATAAAAAACCGAAAACTAAATATAGATCTGTACTTTAATCAGATTGCCAGTCACATAAAACCAAACCACTGATAGCAGTATCACACATATTCCCTTTTATACCAGGGGGGTTGGATGGCTGAATGGTTAGCACGTGCATGCTGTATCATAAAGTCTGTCATTGAGTCAACTGGCGTAGTTTCGAATCCCCGGTTGTACGTGACAAGGAGTAGGGTCGCATGTCCAACTTCGTGGGTTTTCTCCGGGTCCTCCGGTTTCCTCCCACTGCTAAAGACCCCTACGCACAACCGAATTATGGAATAAAATTGAACCATATGTTAGTCCCGAAATGACCTGGTTTGTGTCGAGTGGACGTTAAACCCCATTTCTCTCTCTCTCTCTCCCCTTTTATACCAGGGAGCCATGGAAGCCAAATTCGATATATGAGTAGGCAGTGGCTCTACTGTCCCAGACTTAATTTCCCTCATAACACACTGTATGGCTTTCCCCGTCTTCATTAGCCCAGTCGGTAGAGAACAGTAGGATGCTGAACCCTATTTCAATTCTAATAACAAGGAAAGTTTAAATTACCCACCAAGAAACCTCATTGGGATTTTCCAACGTGGTTTCCCCTTGTCAGTGGTGCAGGACGGAGGCCCTGACAAGGACAACTGCCTAGTAGTTTGGATAAGACGAAAAACTGAGGTCCTGTGTATACATTGGCGTGCATATAAAAGATCCCTTGGCAGTTGGAATTTGATATAAGAGTAGGCCATAGTGACGCTGCCCAGGCAAAATTTCCCTCATATCACACTGTATGGCCTATGCCTGGCGTAACCCCGTCGCAGCAGAACAGTAGGACATTTATCCCCATGTCATTTCATTTCATTTTAAATTACCCAGTTACCAGGTCCCATAGAAAGCTTATGTAGTCTATAATGACCCAACAAATGGGCCTATATAGTGAAAAGGTCACACCCCATTTCTATGTTTTAATGTAGATATTAAACCTATAGGACCAAATGGTTACAATCCCAACCTCTGGGTCTCATGACAAATCGTTTCCAGAATGCTACTATTAAAACACTCAAAACTCACATCAAATTGTATAGAAAAATAGTTGACAGCTATTTCTATTCCTCTTGTGACTGGATCGACCTTGCCTACTCTATCAAAAATTATGTTGATAGTAGCCTGAAATAGTTATACATTTTCAAAATTATATAATAATTCCAAGACTGTGACAAATACATTTCTTACTGTATCAGATACATGACATGTACAAGAGAGAGAGAGAGAGAGAGAGAGAGAGAGAGAGGGTGTAAGGTCCAATCGACACACATTTCGGTACTAACACATGGTTCAATTTTAATTCAATAACTCACTTGCGCGTAGGGGTCTTTAGCAGTGGGAGGAAACCAGAGGGCCCGGAGAAAACCCACGAGGTTGGACAGACGTCCCTACGTCTTGTCACGTACAACCGGGGAATTGAAACCACGCCAGTTGACTAATAGCAGGCCTTATGATATCGTAGGGGCGAGAAGGAAGCAATCCTTCTAAATAAATACTTTTAGACAGTTTACACAATCTTGTTACTGTGTTGCTAGTGGATTTTATTTTGGGATTTCAAATTGATCACAAGTGACTAAGGCCAAACTATTTGAACTTTTCGGCTGCGATCAACATATAGTCATTTAATGGTGCATGTTTCTAAACTGTTTTTTTTTTCCCAATCACATAATAAACTACTATTATTAGTTTGCTCAAATGAAAATTTTACGTAACAAAATTTGACCGGGTATTTATGTGCTCCATGCTAGAGTAATTTGACTGGGTATTTATGTGCTCCATGCTAGGGTAATTTGACTGGGTATTTATGTGCTCCATGCTAGGGTAATTTGACTGGGTATTTATGTGCTCCATGCTAGGGTAATTTGACTGGGTATTTATGTGCTCCATGCTAGGGTAATTTGACCGGGTATTTATGTGCTCCATGCTAGGGTAATTTGACTGGGTATTTATGTGCTCCATGCTATGGTAATTAGACCGGGTATTTATGTACTCCATGCCAGAATTTATTTATTTGGAAGACATCTTACCATAAATATTTTCCAAACACAGTAAATGGAGAAGAAATATCCAAGAAAATTGAAATATCTTCCTTTAAATGTCTTGGAATAACTAATTCTTTCCTGAAATGTAAGATTTAGATACAGACGTATAAATAAAATATTCGGAAAATAAGCCAAGGCGTATGCAAAAGAAGGAGTTTGACACTATTCATGATAAAATTGCATTGGCATGTTGTTATTTGTATTAATGTATAAATAAAATATTAAAAATTCATGTAATATCGGTTTTTAAATTTGTGGGATGAAACGACCCGAGATAAGTGGGATGAAAGGACCCGTGTAAATTTGGGATGAAACAGCCCGGATGAAACAGCCCGTCATGAACCGGTAGTGGGATGAAACGACCTGCTCCCTTCAATATAAAATAATCCTCCTCACTTACAAGTGCATCCATGGTTTAGCTACTAACTACCTGAGTGATCTTATACTAATCAAAAGTGGAGAAAGAACAACTTGATCAACATCAAAACACGGCCGAGTTGTTCCAAAAACTTTGAAAGTGTCATGGAATAAACTCCTAGTAACATTAAAGGAAGCCAGAACATTAGAGTCCTTTAAATTATTCCTCAAGACTCACTTTTTTAACTGTGAATACTAAACTTGACAGTGCAGCTCAGCACCATCGAGTAGTACAGTTCCAGATGAGAGGCGCTATATAAATTCATTATTATTGATAAAACCATTCAAAAATAGATAATGAAAAATGAATATGTTGAAAATTACATTAAAATTAGTTTATTCTGAGTGAGGTTATGACTGTTTGAAGTTTTGACACGATAGTCTTGATTGTCAAGATAGCTTTGATTGTCAAGTACCATTTCTATGATCTTTGATTGTCAAGTACCATTTCTATGATCTTAAACAAAGTCCTGATTTTTCATTTTTTTTACATTAAATCGTGATTTTAATCCATTCAAAATCATGGCCATCCGATGATCTAGAGAGTTGATTATTTAATAATTTATGCAAGATTTGAAACCAAAATTAGACTTGCAATAAGTCTCAGTCTACCATGTACTGGTTTAAGAATAATTCTATACCATTTCTTATATATACTCACCACAGCATCATTCAAATCTACTGTTTCTAAAAATAACTGTCGACTTAATTCTTCTAGAGCATTTGTATCCTGTTGTAGTGGTCCAATATCTTAACAGTTCAGTTACGGTAGAACTTAATTTAATAATAATAATAATAATCTATTTATAAAGCGCTGAATATCCAACCAACTGGTTGCTCAAGAGAGCTGACAATGTCATCTTGCCGTAGGAAGAAGCTGGCTCGCAAACAAGAAGTCTTGAGTTCACTGTCAATGTCGGCCAAAATCGGAGACTCCTTGTACACTTAACGTGCGTGTAAAAGAACTCTTGACAGCTGAAATTCAAAATATAAGGAAGATGTAGCACCGCTGTCTGGGCGAAAATTGCCTTCATAGCACCACCTAGGAATGAAAAAGGGGGACGGGATTTTTAGGACCTGGGAATAAAGAATTGGGAATGGGTGGGAGGAGAGGAATGGTAGGTAATGGTTATTTTTACAATCTGATTAAAATACAGATCTATATTTCGTTTCGTTTTTTTTATACTTTCGATGTCCTACACTACATGAAGATCTGACTAGTTGGACTGGAAGGTCATGTCAGGGGTCGTACAAGTGGCTTGTCACCCTATGATGTCAGAGATTTATTAATCAATCAGCATTGACGTTTCTAATGGTTTACCCACAGTTCCGTGCATGGCACGCCAAGAAGTCGCTGTAACAGATCACTTCATTGGCTTATCCCTCACTTCAACCAAAATGCCAGTAATATAACTCTTCCAGATCGTAGTGTAGTAAAGACAATTAAAACAAAATTTTGAACTATAAAAAACGAAATAGGATCTGTGTTTTAATCAGATTGTTATTTTCAGTAAAAAAGGTTGGCTCCATAAAAGAAGATAGGTCAGGTAACATGAATCAAAGATTCTTTTTTATTTGTTTTTTTTTTGGTTTTTTTTTAGAGCATTGGTTCTCAACCTTTTTTGGCGACAGCACACCTTGTAAGACATGAAAAAATAGCAGCACACCTGTCGAAATATATATTAAAAATATTTGAATTTTGCTAAAAAAAAAACCCATGGTAAGTCGGGAGGCAAACAACCGTAGACACAGACTAGTCATAGACACATAGAATAACTCAAACTAAATAAAGAAAAACACAGCTATGAACTTATCAGTAGACACTAGGGAAAACTCAATTGGGATCACGTTAAAAATTCCGCGGCACATGGTTGAGAACCACTGTTTTAGAGGGTCAATTGTTGTAACCAAACAAAGGATACTTTCTTGACCATTACCAGAAGTAACATTTTTCAGCATTCCCCACAGTCCTCCTGAACCTTTAGACATACTTGCTTGTCGTAAATTCTCTCGTTTAGCTAGAGCAATACGTTTCTTCTTCATTATTATCATATCAAGAGATTGTAACAAACGTTTCTCTATACTCTGTATATCAGCTTCTGTAACATGTCTGAAATATACCGGTAATTCGCTGACAAATAATCGACATCTGACATCTAGAAACACAATTTACGCACAAAGAGAGAGAGAGGGACAGAGAGAGAGAGAGAACTGAATAATAAGGTAGTAGTAACATTCAGCTAGTATTGGGTAAATCGGTCTGTCTGATCGCTATTGCCCGTGAAATTAGGTAAAGCGAGAGACAAATGGGGTTTAATATCCAATCGACATAATTTTATTTCAATGAATCGCGTGTATGTAAGGGTCTTTAGCAGTGGGGGGAAACCGGAGGACCTGGAGAAAACCCAGGAGGTTGGACAGGCGACCCTACTCCTGGTCAATTACAACCGGGGAATCAAAACCAAGCCAGTGGACTCAATGACAGACCGTATGATACAAGCACTAACCATTCAGCGCTATGACATATGGACAGTTACCTTACAAAATATGACATATCTACAGTTACCTTACAAAATATGACATATCTACAGTTACCTTACAAAATATAACATATGGACAGTTACCTTACAAAATATGACATTGGACAGTTAACTTACAAAATACGACATACGGACAGTTACCTTACAAAATACGACATTGGACAGTTACCTTACAAAATACGACATACGGACAGTTACCTTACAAAATAGGTCATATGGACAGTTACCTTACAAAATAAGATATACACACAGTTACCTTACAAAATATGACATATGGACAGTTACCTTACAAAATATGACATATATGTATATGGACAGTTAACAGCACCGAAACCTGATAGTAGAGCCATTATAGTCACACCAACCACACCCACTCGTCCTATACACTGTTCTATAGAAAATATACCTAAAAATATAAACAAGAATATAAATACAACAAAATATACCACACTAACACTATTTATGGAATAACAATCACTGGTTTATTAACATGCAACGTTTCGACAATGATACTCTCGTCTTTATCATCATTTAGTAATTGAACAGTACCACACTAACAGTATTTATGGAATAACAATCACTGGTTTATTAACATGCAACGTTTCGACAATGATACTCTCGTCTTTATCATCATTTAGTAATTGAACAGTACCACACTAACAGTATTTATGGAATAACAATTACTGGTTTATTAACATGCAACGTTTCGACAATGATACTCTCGTCTTTATCATCATTTAGTAATTGAACAGTACCACACTAACAGTATTTATGGAATAACAATTACTGGTTTATTAACATGCAACGTTTCGACAATGATACTCTCGTCTTTATCATCATTTAGTAATTGAACAGTACCACACTAACAGTATTTATGGAATAACAATTACTGGTTTATTAACATGCAACGTTTCGACAATGATAACTCTCAAATTCATTATTTACTTGATAAAGACGAGAGTAATATCGTCGAAACGTTGCATGTTAATAAACCAGTAATTGTTATTCCATAAATAGTGTTAGTGTGTTACTGTTCATTTACTAAATGCCACTGAAAGAAGAACAAAAGATACCTAGAATGCATATAAATACAAGAATATAAATATTAACGTCATCAGTTTAGAAATTTAAAATAATTGGTCATTAGGTAAGATTAGATAAAGAGCTGACAGTTCTCGCTATAATAGTTTAAAAATAGTTAATGAAAACAAACTACATGTATGCTGAAAATTTCAGTCCAATTGCTTCACTCTAAACTGAGATATTAGCCATTCAATTTTAGGCTAGTCTCAGTTGTCATTACTAACGTTTAATTTAAATTACCCATCACAATCAGACAGATCCCATTTCAATATCTCTTCCTAACTTCATTTAGAGCGGAATAATAATGAAAAATGAATATATTGAAATTTTTACTCAGATAACTTTTTTCTGAGCAAAGTGGAATTTGAGGTGGTTCTTTAACAAATTCAATTAAAGCAGTAAATCCGCTGATCATCATTAGTATTTTTCGAAAATAATATGATGCTAGAATATACAATGTATCTATGTTTTACAAGAACTTATCATGTTTTGTGTTTTGCTAGAGAGAGAGAGAGAGAGAGAGAGAGAGAGAGAGAGAGAGAGAGAAATGGGGTTTAACGTCCACTCGACACAAATTAGGTCATTTTTGGGACTAACACATGGTTCAATTTTATTTCAATAATTTGTTTGCACGTAGGGGTCTTTAGCAGTGGGAGGAAACTGGAGGAACCGGAGAAAAACCACGAGGTTGGAGTGTTTTGCTAGAATATACAATATATCTGTGTTTTACTAGAATATACAATATACCTGTGCTTTACTAGAATATATCTCTGTTTTACAAGATCTTATCATGTTTTTCTAGAATATACAAAATATTTGTGTTTTACTAGATCTTATCATGTTTTAAGAGAACTTACCATGTTGCAAGTTTTGCTACAACTTATTCTACTTTTTGTTTTACTAGAACTTATCATGTTTTGTGTTTTACTAGAACTTATTGTGTTTTCTGTTTTACTAGAGGGGGGGTTGGATGGCTGAATGGTGAGCGTGCGCGTGCTGTATCATAAAGTCTGTCATTGAGTCGACTGGCGTGGTTTCGAATCCCCGGTTGTACGTGACAAGGAGTAGGGTCGCCTGTCCAACCTCATGGGTTTTCTCCGGGTCCTCCGGTTTCCTCCCACTGCTAAAGACCCCTACGCGCAAGCGAATTATTGAAATAAATTAAACCATGTTAGTCCCGAAATGACCTAGTTTGTGTCGAGTGGACGTTAAACCCCATTTCTCTCTCTGTGTTTTACTAGAACATTTCGTGTTTTGTGTTTTACTAGAACATTTCGTGTTTTCTGTTTTTACTAGAACTTTTCATGTTTTGTGTTTTACTAGAACTTACCATGTTTAGGACTAAGAATAGGAAAAGGATCACCCAGTTTCCAAAATAGATACAGAAAGGCCAACCATGCTCCAAATGTACACATGACACGAATGTGTTGCTTTTGGGGTACTGTAAAATATAACAATTAAAACGTTTTCAGGAAAATCTCACCGGGCCTGTAGAAAATACACCCAGTATATCAACATATTGAGATATAAAAACAAAAATGAAATGAAAATAGGGTTTAACATCCTACTGTTTTCCTCCGACCGGCCTAATGAAGACGGGCATACGCCATACAGTGTGGTATGAGGGAAATTTTGCTCGGGCAGCGGCACTATGGCCTACTCTTATATCGAATTACAACTGCCAAGGGATCTTTTACGTGCATGCCAATGTATACACAGGATCTTGGTTTTTCATCCCATCCGAATGACTGGATAACTGTCCTTGTCAGGCCCTCTGTCCTTCACCACAGACAAGGGGAAACCACGCCAGAAAATCCTGATGAACTTTCTCTGCCAATGCAAGGATTGAACACTTATGGAAAACAGCTACTAGTGGATTTTAAGGCGATGTTGCGAAGAGAATTCTCTCAACACTATCAAGTAATCTGATTTCAGAAAGTCAATGCATCATGATATTTTATTTTCAAAGAGACTTTTTTTTCCGGTAAAAAAATAACTGTTGACAATTAGCAGAGCCAAACAGTTTTAATAAATATTTGCTAATCAAATCAACTTTTGATTAGTGGTTTTGGTCATTACTAATGTATTTACATCATGGAATATAACAGTTTACTTATTATTTGTCATATTAGACTTTTTTTTCAGGTAGCAAAATAACTGTTTTAATAAATTACTTTTAATTTGTCATATTAGCCCATTTACAGTATTGTAGCTATGGTTATTAAATTTGGACAGTTTTTGTCATATTTCATAGGTCATTGAATACGAAAAAAAAAAAAAGTGAAAAATTTACATTAACAGGTGTAAAAATAAACAAAATAGGACGTAGTTTGTTGAACTTGTCTCCTATTTCCGAAATTAATGCATTTCTGGATAGCCTGGATCAATGTCGATGTAAGGGTTCTTTATTTGTATCCCAATGTGTACACAGGATTTCTGTTTTTCGTTCCATACGAACGACTAAACGCGGCCTTGAAGCACGATGAATTTTCTCACAATGGCTCCACTGAGAATATAATAAAATATATAAAATGGAAGAAGAACTTACTCAATCTTATGTTACTGAGAATATAATAAGCGATATAAAATGGCAGAACAGCGATCAGGGTGAACAGGATAGCAAACAGCCCAAATTTCCAGTGAAACAATCGGGAGCTGAAATAAAAACAAGATAAAATATTTAAATTTAGTAAATATATCAGCTAATATATACATATGAAATCTTATACACCATGGCCCGGTTCTTCAACTTGTCGCTAGATTTAACGACACAATGAACAACAGTATGTTAAAAAGGACATTATTACAGGACCACCCAACTCGGTTGCCAACTAGGAAACTGTTGCCTAATTCCTCAGTAGGGATGGAAAAACAAGGCCCACCTGTGAACACATTGATACATGCCAAACACAAAGTCTGCAACAAAAGTAAGAGAGAGAGAAATGAAATGAAATGGGGTTTAACATCCTACTCTTCTGCACCTAACCTGGGCTAATTGAAGACGGGCATACGCCATACAGTGTGCTATGAGGGAAATTTTGCCCGGGCTTTGGCGCTACGGCCTACTCTTATATCGAATTCCAACTGCCAAGGGATCTTTTACGTGCACGCCAATGTGTACACGGGACCTCGGTTTTTCGTCCCATCCGAACGACTAGGCAGCTGTCCTTGTCAGGCCCTCCGTTCTGCATCACTGACAAGGGGAAAAAAGAGAGAGAGACTGTGTTTAATGTCCAATCGACTAGGTTATATCGGGACTAACATATGGTTTGATTTTATTTAGGAGTGGGAGGAAAACAGGGAACCCGGAGAAAATCATGAGGTTGGACAAGTGACCCTAGTCCTTGTCATGTACAAGGGGGGAATCAAAACCATACCACTTTACTCAATGACGGAGAGAGAGAAAAATTGGGTTTAACATCCACTCGACACAAACTAGGTCATTTCGGGACTAACATATGGTTTAATTTTATTTCAATAATTCGCTTGTGCGTAGGGGTCTTTAGCAGTGGGAGAAAACCCACAAGGTTGGACAGACGACCCTACTCCTTGTCACGTACAACCAGGGATTCGAAACCACACCAGTTGACTCAATGACAGGCTTTATGATACAGCCCGCACATGCTAACCATTTGGCCATCCAACCCCCCACTCAATGACAGACCTTATGATCTAAAGCAAGCACATTAAACCATTCGGCCACCCAACTCCCACATTCAACTAAAGCAAAAGGTCTACCTTACCTGGCATCTAAAAATCCTAGAATTTCAAAGATAATGAGTTCGAACATGGTACAAGATAGGGCAAAGGTCACTGAAAATACTAGCAGTACCACCGAGTGATGAACCTATAAAATTTTCATATTTTAACATTACATTTATCAAATTAGCATATTTTAACATTACCTTTATCAGATTTGCATATTTTAACATTAAATTTATCAAATTTGCATATTTTGCACATTTTAACATTACATTTATCAAATTTGCATATTTTAACATTAAAATTACCAAATTTGCATACTTTAACATTACATTTATCAAATTTGCATACTTTAAAGTAGCTAAGTCTCTAACTCAATATCATCAAAAATCTTCGACATTGAAAACACGAATTATTTGTCAATTCAAATCAACATTGGTCTTGTGATCTTACAGGGAAAAGAATGGTTTCTGATATCCAATATTCAAGACAAAATAAACATTTTACCATTGGTACACGAATCGAGTACCATAATGCCATTTGGAACCAGGGACTCAAAGAACAGGGTTAGACATATTCCACAAGTCATGTCAAACGGTGACGCTATATTCTTATCTGGAGAGCATGCGCAATAATTACCATCGGTGTAGACTGAAAAACCAGACGCTAAAGATTGCCATTCACATGAGACTTCTGGCGTATTTCGCCGAATATAACTGATTAGAAATTACAGTAAAAACAGAAACGATTGAATGTAAATCAGTTTATATACATTCTCATTACATTATTATATGCGTTGCGACCCTTTTTTGTCAATTTCTAGGTCCCAAATATTAGCGATTTAGTTCCTTTAACATTTACATTTATCAAATTTGCATATTTTAACATTACATTTATCAAATTTGCATATTTTAACATTACATTTATCAAATTTGCATGTTTTAACATTACATTTATCACATGGATCATAATTGAAGGTCAATATTGGTGCTAGTCATTATCACATATGTGATAGAACTGGTTAAACACATTCCAAATATTATTTTATCACAGAGATCATTGCTACAATAGATGCGTAATCAATGCTTGAACTATCGGAAGTGACGAGTTATCCCTCTATATAACTGACTGAAGTGACGAGTGATAACAGATACATGGGCGAATTTCTGCTCACTAATAATTTTTTTGAAGACTGAAAATTGTTATAGGAGACCGTAAGAGTATATCTGACAATTCAAAAAAGTAATTGAATGTCATTAGATAAGAGAACACAAGAAAAATAGAAACAGTCCGTACATTCACGTGTGTTTATTCATTCTATACTTATAAAAACATGGTAATGCACGGACTTATCTAGTGACAGCCAATTTTTTTATGAATTGTCAGATATCCTTTCACAGTCTCACACAATAACTTTTGTTCTTCGTAGGAATTATTAGTGAGCAGAAATTCGCCCATGTATCTGTAATCACCCGTCACTTCAGTCAGTTACATAGAAGGATAACTCGTGTTTTCCTTTTGCGTTCGTCACTTCCCTTTCTTGAAAGCTTCACAACGCATCTATCGTAGCAATGATCACTGTGATAAAATAATATTTGGAATGTGTATGTGTTTAACCAGTTCTATCACATATGTGATAATGGCTGGCACCAATATTGTCCTTTAACTGTTCTCAACAATTTTTTTTTTTTTTGCTTTTGATTTAATCTAGGCCCACTTAATTTGTGTAATTTCTCTATTTTTTTAAAATTTGGAATATGAGTGATTTCAGAATGACATAGTCCAAATTCAGGCTCTGGTTTCATAAAACATTCTGAGAATTAAACATACATTACATGTATGTAAGATTTAGATAAGAACTGATCATTCTCGCTATAATAGCTCAAAAATAGATAATGTAAAATGAAAAGATTCAAAATTTCATTCAAATTACTTCATTCTGAGTCAAGTTATCACTGTTTGTAGTTTTGACAACATGTGTGCATTGTGGTAACCAGGGCACTGGTATATTCAAGACGTAGCCCCCCTTCCCATTTTTATATTCAATTTTTAAATGGCCAATCGTTCCAATCTAGTTTAAATCTCGAGTAACCGATGCCATCGAGAGTTGATTATGGTCTTGTTTTGTTAATAAATATCTAATTAATAGTTTATATAACATTTCAGGCCTAAAGAAAGACCTGCAATAGGCAAAGTTAGCTCTTGTATAATGTATGGTATAGTTAAGAATTTACTCAAAATTGTTCTCTATATTTTAACTAAAATATACCTCTTTAAAAAAACTTTGGTTGTTTTAATATATCAAATACATCAATAAGAAGCTATGTGCAAATTTGTGTGCTTCTTGATCAAAGATATATCTCATAAACAGTGAATGAAAGTTGAGTAAATTCTTAACTTACCATAAGTCTAAGAATGCTTTGTGAAACCAGGGCCAGGGCTTTCACTTTAAAATTTTTCTAGTCAGTCAATTTCTGATTTATTTCTGAACATTTTTAGCATTATCGGTACTAGAAGGAAGAAGGCTATCAAATCTGATATATTTCAGTTTTTAAATTCCTACCTCATAATCTCTAAACAAGTGCTTCAAAAAGAAAAGCCATCCACCACCAAAAAATATCACCTGGAAAAAATGTCTTGTAGTAATTATTTCAAGAACCCAAAGGTGATTGATTCTCTCAGGTAGACACCAATGTTTAAATATTCACATTCAATGAGAGAGAGAGAAATGGGGTTTAACGTCCACTCGACACAGACTAGGTCATTTTGGGACTAACATATGGTTCAATTTCATTTCAATAATTTGCTTGCGCGTAGGGGGCTTTAGCAGCGGGAGGAAACCGGAGGGCCCGGAGAAAACCCACGAGGTTTGACAGGCCACCCTACTCCTTGTCACGTACAGCCGGGGAATCGAAACCCCGCCAGTTGGCTCAATGACATGCCTTATGATACAGTGCACACACGCTAACCATTCGGCCATCCAACATCCTTCAAATTCAATGGAAATTTAATTGCTAGTTTATGTGAAATAATTTTGTGGTGATCATATTTGACAAATCTATTAAAAATTAGAGAGCTGGAGAGGCTCAGTGAGTAAAGTGCTGGACCAAAATAAGAGTAGGCTGTAGCGCCGCTGTTCAGGCAAAATGTCCCTCATAGCACACTGCATGGTGTATGCACATCTTCATTAGTCCATTCGGGACACAAAAATAGGACATTAAGCCTCATTTCATTTCATTTTTAGAAATTATATATTATTTCAATAGAATCAACAATTATTCAGCCTGTACTATAACATCTTTAAAATAACATGACGTTACATTATTATGATACACTAACCATACCAAGCCCAGAGTAGCAATTTTATTGTAATTGCAACCAGTGGCTGCCAGGCAGAATACGCCCACATTTTGCAACAGATGGATAGAGAACAAGCTAAAAACAAACATGATTTTTTGTACAATCAGGGGCAAAAATCCAGAAAGTTATGGCTTGAAATGTGCAAATATCAAAAGGGACCGAGATCTTTGGGATATAAAGATATGTTTAAAGTTTCATCAAAATCAGATAAAAATTGTGACTCTAGAGGGTCCACAACCTTCGTATTACACACTTCTACACAATTTGCATACAAAGAGCGGCCATTTTGTCTGGCAGTTTCATTTCGATTTTCACGAAATAAGACTTAATCTTCATTATGGTGGAATGGTGATGTATTTAAATGTTTTTTTAAATCGAATAATAATTGTGACCTTTAGAGGGACCACAAGCTAAAAACGTGATTTTTCGTACAACCAGAGGTCATTTTTCAGGAAGTTACGATCTGATATGCGCAAATATTGAAAGGAACCGATATGTTTGGGTTATAAACTTGCATTTCAAGTTTCATCAAAATCGGATCAAAATTGTGGCCTCTAGAGGGTCCACAACTTTGATATACCAGATGTTTACACTATTTGTGGCCATATTGTCTGGCAATTTTCGTCCGATTTTCATGAAACTCAACCTCAGACAAAATTACGGTGTAACGGTGATATATTCAAACGTTTTTTTAAATCGGATAAAAATTGTGACCTCTATGGAGTCCACAAGCTAAAAACGTGATTTTTCGTACAATCAGGGGCCATAATTCAGGAAGTTATAGTCCGATATGCGCGAATTACGCAAGGGACCGAGATCTGTGGGTTATAAACATACATTTCAAGTTTAAACCAAATCGGATAAAAATTGTGACCTCTCAACAGTGTTCACAAGCTAAAAATGTGATTTTTCGTACAATCAGGGGCCATAATCCATGAACTTATGGTCAGATACATGCCAATATCGAAAGGAACCGGGATCTTGGGGAGATAAACCTATATTTTACATTGAAATCGGATAAGAATTGTGACCTGTAGAGTGTTCACAAACAATTGTGGACGGACGGATGTCCGGACGGACAGGGGCGACGACAATATACGTCCACATGAAAATGTCGGCGTATAAAAATTATCCGTTTAATTGATAAAGCGTCATTTTTTAATGACTTTCAACATTTCATTCATACCAGTTCCAATGTATAATGCTGCTAGAAGGAACTATATATAGTATATAGTACCCTTCCTTAACCCCTTAACTGTGTAATTAATTTGACGTTAACTACCCCCTATTGCGTAATTAATTTGACGAAAAACGTCATATTTGGGCCTATTTTTTCCTGAATACAAATTTGAGTGGTCTTAAACCAAAATAAAACTAACGGTAAATAGAGTTGTCTCCCTTCAATTAGATTCCTCGACCAGGCTTAATAATACATCTTCCGCATGGTAAGATTGTGTTCGAAGAATAGGTTGGGGAAAATACCTCCAGGGCATAATATTACGTCCTACACACGGTGAGTGGCAGTTGTCCAGGACATTATATAACGTCCTACGCAGTTAAGGGGTTAAAGGGGGGTTGGATGGCTGAATGGTTAGCGTACGTGCGCTGTATCATAAAGTCTGTCATTGAGTCGGCTAGCGTGGTTTCGAATCCCCGGTTGTACGTGACAAGGAGTAGGGTCGCCTGTCCGACCTCGTGGGTTTTCTCCGGGTCCTCCGTTTTCCTCCCACTGCTAAAGACCCCTATGCGCAAGCAAATTTTTGAAATAAAATTAAACCATGTTAGTCCCAAAATGACCTAGTTTGTGTCGAGTGGACGTTAAACCCCATTTCTCTCTCTCTCCCTCTCACCCTTCCTTAACTGGAGACACACCAGGACAAGATCGAGGTACGGTACAAGATTGGTACAAGATTGGTAGATGCGTATGGAAATGAAATGGGTTTAACATCCTACTGTTCTTCTCTGACTGGGCTAATGAAGACGGGTATACACCATACAGTGTGCTATAAGGAAAATTTTGCCTGGGTAGTGGCCCTATGGCCTACTCTTATATCGAATTCCAACTGTTGGGGCATTTTTTACGTACACGCCAATGTATACACAGGACCTTTTTTGGCTTTCTATAATTCTGAGCGTGACTTTTGTCTGTAACGTCGTTGGACAGTCTCATTCACACGCAGAGCCACTGTGGCTCAGTAAGTCAAGACGTTTTCTCCCTAACCTGTCATAGGGCTGTACGATATTGCAAAAAGGGACGATGTTTTTCAATGATATAGTTAATTATCGCGATATTTAATAATAATGTCACTTTGCTATTAAATAAATTAAATATAAATGCATTAAACTAATTAAAGCTGACTACAGTGTGAGTAAGAATTGTGGGTAAGAATTGCTTTATTCATACATTTTAAACTTTGCTTTTTTTATAATATAGATTTATTAAAATGAACAAAACATCCTTTTTGGATAAAAACGTTTCAATGCTTTTTAACACAATAACAAGAGACATTACTTAATGCCTGTACATATAATTAAATTGCAACCGCTGATGTGTTTTCAACATTTAACGATTCTCAAAACATTAGTTTTATTATAGTTTATTGCCGTCGGCTAATTTCCACTGCTGTATAGTGTATTTATTATCTATTTTTATGATAATTCTTTTCGATATTTGAAGTTTTTGGCGATATTCGATAAACCACTATATCGACGATTTTTGGCCACATGATATCGTAGTTGGGTCTGAAAATACCATATCGCGATAAATGACTATATCGAGAATATCGTACAGCCCTAACCTGTCACCTGGAAGTCCCCTGTTAGATCAATGTGTTTGCCGAGAAAGTTTATCTGGATTTTCCAGCGTAGATCCTCCTTGCCAGTGGTGTAGGACGGAGGGCCTGGAAAGGGATAATGTATAGTCGTTTGGATGGCATAGATAAAAAAAAACTGAGGTTCATGATGCATCATCATGTAAAAGTAAAAGAACCCTTGTCGACAGTTAGAATTTGATATAAGAGTAGGCCATATGGTAGAGACGCTGTCGGAGAAAAATTTTCCTAATCGCACAATGCATCACGGTGTATGCCCATCTGCATTAACCCTGTAGGAGCACTTAACCCTGTAGGAGCAGAACAAATAGACGTTAAACCCCATTTCATTTCTTATTCACAGTCACACGTACTTCACGTAGGCCTACACAGTTCGTCTTTTTATTACCTGTGAAAAACACATAATAAAGGAATCAACAAGAAAAGACATCTTGCTGGATTTGGTAATGGACACAGCAGACCCGGTGAAGCTCAAAATTATAGGTTTCTGGAGAACGTATTTCAAATAATAGTTAAAATCATCGAAGTACACGTCGTCTGCACAAACTTTGCCATGTTGTAAATTTTGTAAACATCAAACCGGAAATAGGGAAATTAATGTCAAATCGCAAACGATTGGTCCAGAGCGCGCGCATCTATAAATAAATATAGCTCGGCGAACCAGGGCGGTAAATAGTTAGATTGTCCAGACGCTTTCGTGCGGCCGCCTTTCGTGAATCTAGAAATTTCTATCTCACTGCAGCTTTCAGTCGGATCCAGTGTTCACAAAAATAAAATGAGAGCAAAGTTTACTTAATTTTTTTTTTCTCGGCAAATAACTTTGTTGAAATGTTTAGAACGTTTGGTGGTTTCTTTCAATGAATGTCCAAATGCAGTCTGCAGATCAAGTTGGCCATGGCATTAATGATTAAAAAAAAAAAATGTCTAGATGTGTTCTTGCCTCAATCGTAGTAATAATAATAATAAATTGTTTTTATTCATAAAAAAAATGGAATCGCAATAGTTCTTGAAGTTTGATTTTTCTCTAATAATATACCTAATAAATAATCAAATTTCAAGATTTCAATAGTCTAAGATTTCAAAGCCAGCTAATTTTCACGCCTACGTATGTCAACTTCCAGCCAATCGTAGCGTCAAATACTGTTTTGGTATTTTACGGGGGATTCCTCGCTCTTCCTGTGTACGCATTTACTCCCCAGTGTAAAATGTATAAAATAGACGCAGTAACATAATGTATCTGTGTTAATTCCCACACTTTACAATTAAGAACAAAGAATAAATATATTTTCCCAGTATTTGACTTATTTTTAAGATCTAGCCTCTTGAATTCATCGTATCAATTTCGTTTCATAAAATTTAGGTGCGCGCTAGAAAAGAATTGTGGATTCCCAGGAATGGCGACCGCCATCTTCCACCGTGATTAAATGAAATGACCGTCGAGCAATCGACTTTACCTCGCCGTGTTGCGCAGGTAATTATGAATTTTTCTCTAGCAGAAGATGATTATCTAGTGAACTAAATTATATATATTCAGTTAGAAATTGCAGTTTATTTGCACCCATCTTTCAAGTGCAGTTGTCGCAGTTTTTTTGCGATGTAAACAAATCATCGGTCTCCGTATTTTCGACCATGCCATTGCTCTGTAGCCTAGTAATAAATCGAATTTCGGCATTAATACATTCAAATACTTTATAATTCTAACATTGGTTAAAGGTGTGCAATAAATTAAGCTGGGGTTTCAAACGTATTTCGACTTGTGCTGTCATAAAAAAAAAAAATGTTGCTTACATAATTTATTGCCATTTGTCTGATTGTTTTTGATCTCATTTTTTTTGAGGGGGGGGGGGGACAACATGTGTTTGACATGTCAGTTCAGTTAATATGAATTAATTATTGGATGGATAAATATTATCAGTAGGTTATTTAGGCTTCCCTTAGAATCTAGATAATATTACAGTACAACCTGAATGAATAAGTTGCCAAGTTTTACAGGATGCTGTAATGCTATGTGTTTGGTGATGGCAGCGGAGGCGGTGAACTGCTGACTTCAGTGGGAACCATTCTAAATTTAGCCACAAGGGTGGGGAGTTTACCTTGAGCTATAACATGGTATAGGCTAATTGTACATGTATGATGTATCGTGTTATTTTATAACAGATTTTATTTACTGTATCTTGTTCCGATTTTTTAGATTTAAGTCTTACTTGTAAACTGATTAAAGTAAAGTTTTACTCTTTAGACAAAACCGTATGAGTCAATCATTACTGATGCCGTGGTGGCTCGCTAAACAGGAGGTGTTGGCGTACATGTAAAAGAACCCTTGACAGTTGGAATTGGAAAGATTTCCTTCATAGCACTCTATGGGTGTATAAAGCCGGCTTTTATTAGACCAGCCGATGTGGTTCCCCCTTGTCAGTGATGCAGGACGAAGGGCCTGACAAGGACGGCTGTTAAGTCTTTCGGATGATACGAAGAACTGAGGTCCCATGTACACATTGGCGTGCACGTAAAAGATTCCTTGACAGTTGGAATTCGATATAGAGTAGGCCGTAGTGCCGCTGTCAGGGCAAAATTTTCTTTATAGCACACTGTATGGGGCATGCCAGTCTTCATTAGCCCAGCTCTGAGCAGAACAGTAGGACGTTAAACCCCATTTCATTTCATTAGGCCAGTCGGTGCAGAAAGGTGACATTAAATCCCATTTCATTTATCAATCAGAGATTTCAATTCACTACAAAACTGGGCTGTAAACATTTCTAAAATCCTTACTGCTAAAATTCGGTGAATTAACCAAATTGTTAAAAAAAAATTTCACACCTCTAGTGGAAATCAGATTGGTTTCCTCTATGAAATCAATTGTAGCTTGTTACGGTTCCAGCACATGCATGGTTGTAGAATTACCTCAAATTGTTCGTTTTTCATAAATATTGATAGGCTACTTAAACATACATTAAACAACAGCTAAATCTGCCTATTGCAGATCTTTCTTTAGGCCTGAAATGTTATATAAACTATTAATTAGACATTAATTAACTTATCCAGGTCATAATCAACTCTCGATGTCATCGCTAGCCTGCGATATTACTGGATTAGGATCTGATTTGCTGCTCGATCAACTTCCATTCATGATTTAATCATGAAATGGATAATTGAGACTATGTTTTTTATCGTACTGACTTTAGTAATGACGATCGAGGCTAGGCCAAAAATTCATTCGCTAAATTCTCTGTTCAGAGTGGACCAATTTGACTGAAATTTTCAGCAAATTCGCTTTACATTATCTAGTAAACTATTAAAGTGAGAACTGCCAGCTCTTTATCTAATCTCCCATAATGTATCTTTAATAATTCTATTTTTCTGTCCTTGTACACCAAATTTAGATGCCTAAATATTTATATACATTCACCCAGTCGGAAAGTTAGGTTGCCTTGTGGTCTAGAGCATTTTTGGGGTGGGGGGGTGGGTGTATGGTCTAATGCATGTACTTTAGATATAAAGTCTGTCTTGATTGAGATCCTGTGTACATGGTGTATACATATAGAAGACCCTTGAAATTGAAGGAAACTGCAGCACCACTGTATGGGGTATTTGTGTCTTTGTTAGCTCGGGGGGGTTAGTTGGCGGAATTGTTAGCGCTTGCATGCAGTACCTGTATCATAAGGTCTGTCACTGAGTCAACAGGCATGGTTTCGATTTCCCAGTTGTACATGTATGTGACGAGGAGTAGGGTTACCCTGTTCAAGCTCGTGGATTTTCTCCGGGTTCTTGGTTTCCTCCCACTGCTAAAGACCGATATGCGCAAGCGAACTATTGAAATAAAATTGACCCATATGTTAGTCCCAAAATGACCTCCCTCTCTCTCTCTCCCTTTGATCTGTCCATCGTTTGTTGGCAGGGCCATTTTATTAGAAACAATCTACTGTCGGTCACTCAGCGGCCTGTATAATATGCTTCGGTTTTAACCGTGGTTTGGGCGGTTATCATCGTTATTCTACAGCCACAAACTATGCAGTTAAACGTATAATGATATGAGGTTTTTTTTTTTTCAGCAGCGCAATTCTGATCCGGCAAGCGAGAAGAATAATGCGTCTAGTTTAAAAGTTATAAAAGAGAGAACGGGAGTAGAAGATATACATATTATTAATGAAGCTATCAGTGCGTGTCGTACAGAAGATGGGGCTTATAAACTAGAAGATGTTATTAATACATTACAAGCAGATGACACTGTCAGAAAACTTAGGGTAAGGCCAAACCTATTATTACATTACAAGCTGACGATACTGTCCAAATACTTCGGGTAAGGCCAAACCTATTATTACATTACAAGCTGACGATACTGTCCAAATACTTAGGGTAAGGCCAAACCTATTATTACATTACAAGCAGATGACACTGTCAGAAAACTTAGGGTAAGGCCAAACCTATTAATACATTACAAGCAGATGACACTGTCAGAAAACTTAGGGTAAGGCCAAACCTATTATTACATTACAAGCTGACGATACTGTCCAAATACTTAGGGTAAGGCCAAACCTATTATTACATTACAAGCAGATGACACTGTCAGAAAACTTAGGGTAAGGCCAAACCTATTATTACATTACAAGCTGACAATACCGTCCAAATACTTCGGGTAAGGCCAAACCTATTATTACATTACAAGCTGACGATACTGTCCAAAAACTTCGGGTAAGGCCAAACCTATTATTACATTACAAGCTGACGATACTGTCCAAACACTTCGGGTAAGGAGATGAGATGTAATGGGGTTTAACATTGTTCTTTCCTGCACCGACTGGGCTAATGAAGACGGCTTTCGGAGAGGTAATTTTGCCTGGACAGTAGCACTGCAGCCTACTCTGTTATCAAATTTCTACTGCCAAGGGTTATTTTATATGCACGCCATTGTGTACACAAGACCTTGTTTTTTTGTCCCATCTGAAAGACAAGACACTGTTCCTTGTCAGGCCCACCGGGGAAACCATGCCAGAATCCTAAGACCTGATTAGCGAGCAAGCATCTTACGCACTGACAGGGTTCCCGCGGTCCTTGAAAATCCTTGAATATCCTTTAATTTAAAATTTCATTTTCAAGGTCTTGAATATCCTTGAATTTCACGGAAATAGGAAAATATCCTTGAATTTCAGTTGAGATCCTTAATTTTGTTTCAAATTGGTAATAATAGTAAGTTGATATGAAAATCCAGTTTAGATTAAAAGTTATGCTAGTTATACTAAACAATAACTCTGACGTATACCTGTCAATCAACTGATCTAAATAAACAGCTGTGTTTTGTCACGTAATAACAAGATAAGCCAATGACATTTACCGTTAGGCAACCAAATACTCTCAAGTGACCCCATTGTCCAATTAACATACCAGAAGCCACTACACTGACTAATCAAAATCGGTATTAGTAACGAGAAGGCAGATAATGCGGAAAAAAGCCGTGACATCAAGAAACTTTTAATTGAGTCGAACGCCCTTCGCAGGGCAGCAAGAGCCAAAAAGACCGAAATTACCGTACGCAGGATTAAAGTTTACTTTTTCACACTGTTTAATTTCGTTTTGAATAGAAACTATTAGACCCTAAGTCCTAAGAAGAGTTTATTTATTGCAGCTTATTTTGTTTTTCATTCAAATTTCTCGGAAGGAAACATTGCGTCGTCTAACAGTCAAAAAGGTCGTGGTCTCATGTGGTCGTCACTCGCCGGGTACCAGCACATGCCGTTGTGTGACAGATCGGAAAATTGATGCAATATTATTAGTGTTCGACCCATTATAATTATAGGAATATTCTATGGCCCCACCTACCTCCATCTCAATGTGCAATGTTATAATGTAATCCATTAATAAAATATTTAATACGGCGTCTTTATTCGCGCGCACGGCAATATTACACTGACATTTTTATATAGAACGAATAACGGTCACGGGAATATCGAACCGGTCAGGTTGCAGGTCAACCGAGTAACCGTTTACATCCTTACTCCTTATAACTCTTTTGTTTTTACAAGCTTCAATCTGATTAAAACACAGATCCTATTTCGTTTTGTTTTTTATAGTTCAAAGTTTCGTTTTACTTGTCTTTACTACACTAGGATCACGAAGAGTTGTTATCATTGATGTGTTCTCTAGATGATGTGAAGGGATTAGCCAATGAAACATTCTGTTACGACAAGCTTTTGGTATGAGCTGCACGGGACTGTGGGTAATCCACTACTATTAGAAACATCAATGCTGTTTGGTTAATCAAATATAGATCTGTATTTAAATCAGTTTGTACAAGCTTTTGATTTTATCTACATTTTATGAATTTTATTGCGTCGCCATATTTTGGGAATAATTATTTTTATCCTTTACAGTTTTATTTAAATGAATTTATTTCATTTTGTATGTTTTTATACTGTTATTGTAAATTGCACTCAGATTCATTATAATGGAATTTGCGCTATATTAATTATGTAATGAAAATAGTTCTCCTTCCTTCGCATGTTTTTTTTGTTTTTTTAATAACTAGCCATGAAGTCGTCGAACGAAACTGGTTTTTTTTGGTTAAAATGAAAAGAAATCTGGTGTAGTGATGAAGATGAGCATATGTCATGCAGTGTGCCATGAGGAAAATTTTGCTCACACAGTGACTTGGCATTCATCGAATCCCAACTGTCAAGGTCTTTTACATGCACACCAATGACATGTAGTTGTACACAGGAACTAACCACTAGATGCTATTCTTTTGTCAGGCCCTCTGTTCTGCACCACTGACAAGCGGAAACCACACGTTGAAAATCCAGAACACTATTTCGACTGACACCAGGATCAAGCTGGAGATGTCGTGTTTAGTCGATCAGCGACTAACTTACTTGAAAGATTAACTGATTACTAATTATTAAAATTTATAACAATTTGTTAGAGGTATTCTATTTTCTTTAGGCCGACACCAGTGTCAAACCCGCGACTCAAAATTGATTACAAATTGTTAAATTTGTTTTGTTTTCCAGACTTCCAAATTTGTAAAGGATGTGGTTGATGCTGTACCTAAATTCACCAATGAGAGTAAACCACCTGCTAAAACAACATCTACTAGTACATCAACAACTGATGCTACAACAACATCCTCATCTACTCATGCTACAAATACAGCTCCTTCAGGTTAGTACATGTACATCTACACACGCTACAAATACAACATCATCTACACACGCTACAAATACAACATCATCTACACACACTACAAGTACAAATACACCATCATCTACACACGCTACAAATACAATATCATCTACACACGCTATAAATACAACATCATCTACACACACTACAAATACAACATCATCTACACGCGCTACAAATACAACATCATCTACACGCACTACAAATACAACATCATCTATACACGCTACAAATACACCATCATCTACACGTGCTATAAATACACTATCATCTATACACGCTACAAATACAACATCATCTACACATGCTACAAATACAACATCATCTACACACGCTACAAATACAACATCATCTACACACACTGCAAATACAAATACACCATCATCTACACACGCTACAAATACAATATCATCTACACACGCTATAAATACAACATCATCTACACACACTACAAATACAACATCATCTACACGCGCTACAAATACAACATCATCTACACGCGCTACAAATACAACATCATCTATACACGCTACAAATACACCATCATCTACACGTGCTATAAATACACTATCATCTATACATGTACACGCTACAAATACAACATCATCTATACACTCTACAAATACAATAACATGAAAAAGCTATTGATGATTAATATTTTCCAGGTGTTATAGATTTAACGAGTGAACCACCTGACAGTGAAGATATACAGAAAGCTATAGCAGCTAGTTTACATGAGACACCAGGTATACTAGGTGGACAGGTGACTAAAGAAGAACAAGATATTAGCAGGTAATAAAACAGGTGTCCCACCCCTACCCTTGTACATAGTTTACATAAGACACCAGGTATACTAGGTGGACAGGTGACTAAAGAAGAACAAGATATTAGCAGGTAAACAAACATTTGCCCCACCCCACCCTTGTACAGAGTTTAAATGAGACACCAGGTATACTAGGTGGACAGGTGACTAAAGAGGAACAAGATATTAACAGGTAAACAGACAGGTACCCCTCCCCCACCCCTGCATAAAGTTTACATTAGACACCAGGTATACTACAAATGTAGGTGGACAGGTGACTAAAGAAGAACAAGATATTAGCAGGTAAAAAAAAGTTGGCCCACCCCCACCTTCACCCTTATACATAGTTTATATTAAACACAATCAAGGTATACTAATTGGAAGATGACTAATCCTTGTCAAGTACCGTCCTTGGTATCCCCAGTGGTATCGTTCCTTTCTACTCTACTAACCCTTGGGTCAATTCACAGGGTCAGAATGGTCTAAGGCGAGGGGCTTTGATTGCAAGGTCTGTCAAGTGGTGTAGTTTCAATTCCCAGCTTGCTTGTGGCTAAGGGTAGGGTCACCTTTCCAACTTCGTAGGTTTTCTACAGAACATCTAGTTTCCTCCCACTGCTAAAGACCCTTATGCTCAAGGGAATTATTGGAATAAAATTAAACCATGTGTTAGTCCCAAAATAACCAAGTTTGTGTAAAGAGGATGTTAAACCCATTTCTCTATCGAACCGAACCCCCTTTGCTCCCGCAAAAAATAACATTGTAAAGAATTAAACTTTTCCAGGGTATTAGAAGCAAGTCTAGCCGAGAGTAAAGCAGGTACTAAAAGAAAACGTGGAGATTTGTGGTTTGTGGATCCCTTGAATCCTCATGAAAGAAAGAGATCCGAGAAATGGCCAGTTGGGTTAAAAAATGTTGGAAATACATGCTGGTTCAGTGCTGTTATACAGGTTAGTATGGTTAAATGCCCACATTGAAATGATTTCCGATAATTAGTGCCAGAGTTATGGCCCTTGACCTCTTGAAATATCTTGTGGACGCTCTAGAGGCGAAAGTTAATACCCGATTAAATTTATATTAGTGTGTTGTACATGTTTTCATTACTGACAAAATGAAAAAAATATGCGACAACCATTGTTGACTGTCCGGACAACTTAGCTGCTGTGGGTCTATGGTTCGTTGCCTGGCAACCTATCTTTGTTTTTGTTATTCTTTCTTCTCCAATCCTTTGTTTGCCAGCAGAAGATGATGCAACACAGTGACTAAAAGGTGCTATCTTTCTAACCTGGAGGTTCCTGTGTTCCACAGGATTTCCGTGGTGGTTTCCCCATTGTCAGTGGTGCAAGATAAGAGGGCCAGGCAAGGAACAGTTGTCTAGACATTTAGAGGGGACGGAAAAACAAGGTCTTGTGTACACATTGGCGTGCATGTAAAAGAATTTGATACAAGAGTGGGCGGTAGCGCAGCTATCCGAGCAAAATTTTCCTCATAGCACATTGTATGTTATATGCCAGGGTTCATTATAAATAATTTTTTATTTTTCTATATTTCCAGTCATTGTTCCATTTACGTCAGTTCCGCCATTTAGTGTTGAACTTTCAGTTTCACCAACCAACAGAGGATGGGGTTGATGGCTCACCAGTGGTAAGATTTCAATTATTTATATTTTAGATGTGCGCTTTAGATCATCAGGTCTGTCATTGAGTCATGTGTGGTTTTGATTCCTCGGTTGTACAAGACAAGGAGTAGGGTCGTCTGTCCAATCTCGTGGGTTTTCTCTCTCTTTTCAGTGAAATCTTTTCCTCTCTATATTTCAGGATAATAGGAATTTATTATTTATGAAAGAATTGCGGAGTTTATTTGGTTTGTTAGTTGGTTCTAGTAAGAAGTATGTTGATCCGTCCAAGGCTGTAGAAATATTAAAAGAAGCTTTTTCTTCGCCAACAGGTGCTAGCGACAGTCAACAGGTAAGAATCTATATAACTGTCAAATTATCTAATTAAAGGGAAACAACTCTCTATATATAACCAGGGCTAAGTTGTAGTTATATAATTGACTTACATTTACGTGTAAAAAGTTCAGTTTTTAAACAAAAAAAATCTTTAGAAGTTGATCGTCTTTAAGAAAGATAAAATACCTGCTTCTATCAGTAAATTTCTTGGAAATTGAGGCAGAAATGACATTTGGCTATAAATTTAAAATTCTGTAACAAATTTAAAATTCTGTAACAAATTTAAAATTCTGTAACAAATTTAAAATTCTGTAACAAATTTAAATTCGGTAACAAATTTAAAAGTCTGTAACAAATTTATAAATTCTGTAACAAATTTAGAATTATGTAATAAATGTAAAATTATACAATAAATCTAAAATTATATTGTAGATTTAAGGGACTGCACAAAAAATTTAAACACTTGCACCCAAACAAAAAACTTGCTGAAAGATCTATATACATCCACCCACATGCCTGTCCGTGCAGACCAAGTCCTACTGTTCTGCTACGACTGGGCAAATGAAGACGGGCATATGCCATACAGAGTGATATGAGGGAAATTTTGCCTGGACGGCGATGCCCTGCCCACTCTTATATATCGAATTCCTACTGCCAAGGAATCTTTTACGTGCACTCCAATGTGTACCTAACACCTCGTGTTTTTGTCCCATATGACAAACTAGACTGCTGTTCTTGTCAGAATCTCCGTCCTGCACGACTGACGAAGGAAAAGCACGCCGGAAAATCCTGATGAACTTTCTCTGCCAACACCGGGTGCAAACCAACGACCTCCAGGCTAGCGAGCCAGGAGTTTTAAGATAAAGTAACCGACATTTGATTTAAAATTTTCTATCCAAGGTGTTTCTCAACCCACCCATATCCGCGGATTATTCATTTGGACTTGAGTGTTGATCTTTAGCTATGGTCTCTTAATCCACATTATGAATACCCCTTTTGAGCTCTGTGTTCAATTCAAATCTTATGAAATTACATTTTTAGGAAGCCACACACAATAACTAGGAAATGAATTTTAACTAAATTTCTTTATGTGTCTGTTTTAGGATGTTAGTGAATTTCAGCATAAATTACTAGAATGGCTAGAAGATGCATTTAAAGTTTATAAAAACAAACCAAGCACAAGTTCTTCTGAAGAAAGGTAACACATTTATTTTACAAAGTTAAAAATATTTTCGGTACCGAAGTTAAGATTTTGTTATTGATTCCAGGGTGTGGTAAGGGTTTTTATACGCTCACACTGAAATGTGGTCGTATATTGTCGTTGCCGCTATCCATCGGTCTGGGAATTGTGGATGCTCTAGAAGCTAAAGTTAATATCTGATTGACGTTAAATGTGTACACAGTGTTTAAGGTCATGAGACGAAGAAGCCTATTGATTTTCAACTAATTCTGTTATTTACTGCCAGAGTTATGGCCCTTGATCACTTTGAAAAATGTTGTGGACCCTCTAGAGGCTACAGTTGATATAAATTGCAAACAATCGAAACAATTCTAATGATTTCTGATAATGGGTTATTACTCGTAACCAGATTTTCATGCGTTGTAAATGTTCTCATTACTGACAAAAGAAAATATGCGACAACTTTTGTTGACAGCATCTATGGGTGCATGTTTCATCGTCTGGCAACCTATCTTTAGCCGTGTAATACAGCGTAATTCAACATAGTGTCCCAAAGTGGTTAATATATTTAGGTACAGGTTTTTAGATGTTTGACAATACTGAGATGGGATCATCCATAGATTCATGCAACCAAGACGCTTTAGGACTGCCACATGGGTGAAATTTGGAGTTTTATGCTCAGCTGAAGCTGGAAACTGACGTAGGCCTTGTGGACTTTGCACTGCCACTTCCAACTTCGAAGTTATACCACTTCCAGTCCAGGGCTCTCTCCATGCAACACCAGGTGAACACCTAGTTTGGATTTCATTTTATTGTTTCTCCAGGAAATCTGACTGTGATAAAGAAATAAAAAGTCCTGTTGTAGATTTATTTTACGGACAGTTTAAAGCTGAAGGTATAAACGAAGGTAAGGTATATTCAACATTCTTCATTTAAAGACTTGCTGGGTCATTTAGCGCTTTCAAAATCCCTTTCAAACTACAATAGTGTGGGGGGGGGTGGCCGAATGGGTAGCGTGTGCGCGTTGTATCATAACGTCTGTTATTGAGTCATATGGCGTGGTTTCGATTTCCCAGTTGTACGTGACAAGGAGTAGAGTTTCCTCCCAGTGCTAAAAGACCCCAATGTGCAAGCGAATAATTTATTGTCTTGTTTTTACCAGGTAAAGGCTTTTTGAATGTTGAGACGTTTGGTCAGTTCCCGTTACAAGTATCCGGGTTTCGTGATATTCATGAGAGTCTAGAGGCTGCCACGTCTCCAGGTGAAATCGAGGCTGTTAGCAGTGATGTCACACAGAAATCGGGACAAGAGGTAAGCACAGTCCATCAATGTTATATTTGGAATACGGGGGGGAAGGGAAGAGATATCGGGGCAACAGCCAATATGGCCGTCTGTATCCTAAAATAACGAGGTTACATTACTAAAAGGTGATTTTATGTATTATTGTAGCTATGGTTACCAAGTAGTTTTATGTATTACTTTTATTGTTATGGTTACCAAGTGATTTTATCTATTATTTATGGTTTGTAGCTATGGTTACCAAGTGATTTTGTTATTATTTATGTTTTATTGTTATGATTTTATACATTATGTTTTGCAGTTATGGTTACTACATGATTTATATATTATTTATGTTTTTTGAGTTATGGTTACCAAATGATTTATATATTATTTATGTTTTGTTTGTAGTTATGGTTTACCAGATTGCCTCCTGTTTTAACCTTTGAACTTTCCCGTTTCCAGTTTAACCAACAATTGGGACGACCTGAAAAAATCCACAATAAAATAGAGTTTCCTCAGGTTATATATATGGACAGGTAAAATACATTTCAACCAATCATCAAGTCATTTCTTAAAGCCGTAAATCGTCCTAATGATGATCGGCAAGTTGGCTGTGAGCGTTGGATCAGAAGGTCTATCATTGAGTCAAGTGGCATGGTTTCGAGTCCCTGCTTGTACGTGACAACATCCTGGGTTTTCTCTGGGTCCTCCGATTTCCTCACGGCTGAAGACCCATTCGTGCAAGCAAATTATTAAAATAAAATTGAACCATATGTTAGTCCCGAAATGATCTAGTTTTTGTGGAGTTGATGTTAAACCACTTTGTTGAAAATTTTAGAGATTGATTTGTTTCATTCCTTCTCCAAATAAACCTTATTTCAAAGGACAATATTGGTGTAGCAATGATCTCTGTGTTAAAATTATATTTGGAATGTGTTTAACCAGTTCTGTCACATATGTAATAATGACTGACACCAATATTGTCCTTTAACCCTAATCAAAATCGATTAGCTTCTGTTGACTGCCATCTTGAGTGCCAACAGTAGGGAAAGAAACTGAGCTTACCATCTAGAATCTAATACACGTATCCAATAGATTTCCATCCAGAAAGTATTAAATACCATCAAGATTCATCAAATAACGTCCAGTTTGTGCTACCGTTTAGTTTAAGAAACACCATTTAGTTTTGACATCAGTCTTCTAGTTTATGACCATTTAGTTTAGTTTTGATATTGGTTGTCTGGTTTATGATCATTTAGTTTCATAAACTAGACAAACGATGTCAAAACTAAACAGTGTTTCTTAAACTACACGTAGTACAAACTGGACGTTTTTTGATGAATCTTAACGACGGCATAACACTTTCTGGATGGCAATCTATTAACTGGATACGAATATTAGATTCTAGATTGTAAGCTCAGTTTCTTTCCTTTTTTCGTCAAATCTGAATGATATCCTGTCCCTAGTGAGAATCACCCACATGTGTAATAATATGTAATAATGGCTGACACCAATATTGTCCTTTAACCCTAATCAAAGCCGTTTAGTTAGCTTCTGTTGACTGCCATCTTGAGTACCAACAGAAACACCCACCAGTGTATTTATCTCTCTATTGTAGATACATGGAGCGAAATCAAAGCATTACCAGACAAAGAAGAGAAGATGGTAAAAAATTAAAAGAACAATTAAAATTATTAAAAGCTAAATTAGATAAGTAAGTAACTGTTATCTACTCAAACCTTACAAGTTATCACTACAACTTGAGTATCATGTAGAGGTGTTGTTTTAGTATTCTGGTCTCATCAAACATCCTATCCCTTTTCTAACGATGCTTTAGGATTAAGAATAGACATTTTCTCTTCAAAGCCCACGTTGTCTTGCCGGGTCGGGAGTTTAGCGATGAGTGAGTATTGTTGGTAGACCATGTGACACTTCTGGTACAGGTTTTAGTTGAGAACAGCAGGAGTTTCTGTAATCAATGTTAGGTTCAAGCCATTGTTGGAAAACTGATCAAATCTGTTGAGAATCACATTGGGTTTCTACTGTTGTGTAGTTTAATTTAAAGATACATTATGGGAGATTTTTATAAGAAGTTAGCCATTCTTGCTATAACAGTTCAAAAATAGATGATGAAAGAAGAAGACCTGTCCGTCTGTATTAGTCATCACACGGTCTCCAGGAATTGTATAATTTGTCATTATCTGTGTTTGGTTCATTGCACTTGAAATAGTTTAGATGTCATTTGTTACGGCATCGCTCAACAGCGGCCTCGCTTCTTACACTCTATCATTTAGCCTTGATCCTGGAGTATGACGTCAATGTAACGGTTAATCTCCGCTCACAACGCCATTTAAAATTAAATCAGTCAACTAAATCCTGTTTAAATCCAAGCTCAATCCAAGCCATCCGTGGGTCTACAGAGTTGATTTTGTGCTTGTTGTGTAAATAAAGATCTAATTTATAATTTCTATGACATCTGAAGCCTAAATAAAGACTTGCAATAATCAGATTTAGCTCTTGCATAATGTATGTTTAAAGGGTCTGTCTAGATTTGATAATGGGTGTTGGCTTTATAACTGTTTAGTTTCTCAACACTGCTCTAGAAGATCTGAACAGTTTTCCAACAATGGCTTGAAACTAAACATTGATTACAGAAACTCCTGCTAAAACAACACCTCTACATGATACACAAATTAATAACATATATGAATTTATATTAAAGATATCACAAAAAAAAAATGAAATGAAATGAGGTTTAACGTCCTACTGTTCTGCTCCGAACTAAGCTAATGAAGACAAGCATACATCATGCAGTGTGCTATGAGGGAAATTTGCCCGGACAGCGGCACTACGACCTACTCTTTTATCAAATTCTAATTGCGAAGGACTCTTATGTGCACTCCAATGTGTACACGGGACCATGATTTTTCATCCGATCCGAACGACTAGACAGTAAGTAACCTGTATATAGTTGTCTATGTCACACATTATCCATTAAATTGTTTTGGTCCTTATTTTCATTTTTTTTTTTCTTCGACATCGGCAGGACTAAAAATATCAATTATTCATTTATCCTGTTGTTTTCTTGGTAAATATTGACCTGGTTGTGAATCGTATCGTAGCAACTGAATCGCAATTCGTATCGTGACTGCAGTGGCAATACCCATCACTATTTCTCTCGAGGTCCATTTCCTTCTATTATTCAGGGGCTTGATGGCCGAATGGTTAGCGTGTATGCGTTGTATCATAAGGTCTGTCATTGAGTCAACTGGTGTGGTTTCGATTCCCTGTGACAAGGCGTAGGGTCGCAAGCAAATTATTGAAATAAAATCAAACCATATGTTAGTCCCGAAATGACCTAGTTTGTGTCGATTGGATGTCAAACCCCGTTTCTTTCTCTCTTTCTTTTATTATTAGTGTAATAAATGCCATGATAATGTATATATACATATATTTGTAGGTTTTTACGATATGGGTCCGGTAATAAACGTGTTCCGCTACAAGATGTTCTACAGTATGCTCTAGAATTTGCCCAGAGTAAAGGTAGTGGTGAAACGACGACGGCGACGCTGTCTACGAGCTTGAATCAAGATGTTGATATGGAGTCACCTAGAACTACAGTCAGGTATTCATCTTAATGTAATACATTCAACCTTTCATTCCTGTTAAGGCAGCCACGGTGGCTAAGTGGATAAGATGCTGGCTCGTTAGCCGGGAGGTCACATGATCGATCCCTGCTTTGGCCGAGAAAGTTCATCAGCATTTTCCGCTGGGGTTTCCCTTGGTCACTGGTGCAGGACGGAGGGCCTGACAAAGACAGCTGTCTAATTGTTCGGATGGAATGAAAAAACGAGATCCCGTGCTTACATTGGCATGCATGTAGAAGATCCTCTGGCAGTTGGAATTCAATATAGGTGACGGCCATAGTGCTGCTGACGGGGCAAAATTTTCCTCATAGCACACTTTATGGCATAAGACCATCTTCATTGAGCAGAACGGTAGGATATTAAACCCCATTTCATTTCTATTTACATTTCTGACATTCATGGTTTATGATATGCTGAATATATGAAACACTTTTACAGCAGTGACGACAAGGCATCACCTAGATTACCGACATGTGATTTACCGGATGTTGCCATGTCATCTTATACCAGATCACCTATTAGACCACCACGATCTCTTGACACAGTGACAAGTCCGTCACCACGACATGTAGGGGAAAATGAACTCACGGTTCTCGAGGACTGTCTTCATCGATGGAGGACGGAAGTGGAAATGGATGTCCGAGGTAAATTTATTCATGACTTACAATAGAACACCATCCCTAAGAAAAAAATTAAACATCTCGTAACTTCCTCTTTTGATTAGAAAATCAATTCAGCAATTGATAATATAAATCATTTAAATTTAAAAAGAATTAACATATGCTATACACCATATACAGCCCTTTATTTATGAACGTCTAAATTTGATCCAAGGAGTAGGGTAGCCTTGCTAACCCCATTGTTTTTCTGCTGGTTTAAGGTCCCACACACAAATCGCACTCTACATGTAACACTCACATTTATAATGTGTTTATATTGTGGAATTACAAGAGAATACATTTATAATTTGTTTATATTGTAGAAATACAAGAGAATATAGCAAGTTTAATACATGATTTATAAATTGTTTATATTGTAGAATTACAAGAGAATATAGCAAGTTTAGAAGAAAAAGTTAGTGGAATGTACAGTGATGAAACTATGATGAAGGTAAAAACACTATACTTTAAACTTGGTTATTATTCTATGCCTCTAATTTTATAATGTTTGTATTGAGGTCATGTATAGATAAGGTCATGTATAGATCTATGTTTGTACTGAGGTCATGTATAGATCTGTGTGTTTTTAGACAGTTATGTAATTACATACCATGGATCACATGGCTAAGTGGGTAAGACGCTGGCTCGCTAGCCTGGAGGTCGGGTGTTCGATCCCTGCATTGGCCGAGAAAGTTCATCCAGATTTTCCAGCGTGGTTTCCTTTTGTCAGTAATGCAGGATGGAGGGCCTGACAAGGACAGCTGTCTAGTCGTTCGGATGGGATGAAAAACCGAGGTCCCGTGTACACATTGGCGTGCACATAAGAGATCCCTTAGCAGCTGGAATTCGATATAAGAGTAGGCCGTAGTGCCCGGGCAAAATTTCCCTCATAGCACATTGGCGTGCACGTAAAAGATCCCTTGGCAGCTGGAATTCGATATAAGAGTAGGCCGTAGTGCCCGGGCAAAATTTCCCTCAGAGCACACTGTATGGTGTATGCCCGTCTCCATTAACGGTTTCCTCCCAATGCTAAAGACCCCTACGCGCAAGCGAATTATTGAAATAAAATTAAACCATATGTTAGTCCCGAAATGACCTAGTTTGTGTCGAGTGGACGTTAAACCCCATTTCTCTCTCTCTCGCTCTCGTCTCCATTAACCCAGTCAGAGCAGAACAGTAGGACGTTAAACCCCCTTTTATTTTCATCTCGTATTCTGTTTTCGATTTTAAATCTTGTTTTAATTAGCTCGGTTGGTGCAGAAAAGTAGGACGTTAAACCAGGGTTCTTAATCCATTTTGAAACGAACCGGACGTAATTTATGATACCATAGTGGCTGGTTCATTGTTTTACCAATCGACTAGATTAAACATCAATCGACTAAAGCCGACAAAAAACAGCCGATTAAGAACACTGCTTTAAACACCTTTTCATTTTAATTCTCTATTGTAAAATATTTTCTGTATTTTTTTCAGTTTCCTTACCATTTACACGCAGTATTAGTACACGAGGGTCAGGCAGCGTCCGGACATTACTGGGCGTATATTTACGATTTAATTCACGAGAAGTGGTTAAAGTTTAACGATATCACTGTAACGGAATCGTCGTGGGAGGAGTTAGAGAAGGAGGGTGTAGGAGGATATCATAACGCTAGTGCGTATTGTCTCATGTATGTTGATCGATCAAGACTACAATGTAATGATGGTAGGTCATGTTATTAATTTTATTTCCAATAAGGGGTTTGGGTGGCTGAATGGATAACGAGTGCGGGTTGTATTATAAGGTCTGTCATAGAGTCAAGTGCTGTGAGTTTTCTCTGGGTCCTCCGATTTCCTCCCGATGCAAAAGACCCCTAAGCGCGAGTGAATTATTGAAATAAAATTAAACCATATGTTAGTCCCGAAATGACATAGTTGAGTGGATGTTAAACCCCTCTCTCTCCTCTCCTCTCCTCTCTCTCTCTCTCAAAATTTCAAGACATGAATCTCTTGACTAAATTTTATGATGAGAATGTTATAGCCAGGCAGGCCCGTAACCAGCTTGCTAGCTTCGGAGGGGCAGTGAAGTTTTTAGGGTGGGGGGGGGGGGCACATCCGGCACAGTCTACAGTAGGTATTTTAGAGCTATGGTCGGCAATTTTTTTTTTCAGGGGCTTGCCCCCCCTCTGGCTACAGTCCTGTAGCCAGGTTAAGCCGAGCGATAAAACAATTTGATTGCCAGATGTTTTATAACAAGATAGATAAGCAAGTGATTAATGAGTGTGATTTATATAGCTTGGGACATCAAGCCTCACTGTTTGGCTTCTTTAGACTAAATACTAATAGAGATTTCACTTGTATTTCAGTTGCGTCTGCTCAACATTTAGAGACGATGGATTGTTTACCGTCAGATCTGAGTAAAATGGTTACGGAAGATAATCGAGCATTTGCTAAAGAAATAGAATTATGGAATGAGGACCAGGCCAGGAAAACGGCCGAAGCAGAAGCAAAAGCTGCTGCAGAGAAGAAGATGGTTAAAAGTAAGCCAAACTATAATTCATTTATATAGTGTTAGTACCAGGGTCCGAGTTCATGAAGTATTCCCAGACTTAAGTTAAGAATTTACTCAAAATTGTTTGCCTTGTTTTAACTAGAAAAACAGTCATTGAAAGTCTGAGAATGCTTTGTGAACTCGAGGGCCAGATTCTTTAAATTGTGTGACAGTCCAGATTTGAACTAGAGCGTCTCAGCTTTGCGAGATTGTCAGGAATCTGATATGTGTCTCTCTTTTGTGGATCAAGGTGAGATAGTTGTCCGTTAAATTAACTCGACGAGTAGGCCTATCATCTTTCTATAATGTGTTTTTGATGAGAAAGTAGCTCCTTTCAACAATATCATCACTGGACCATTTGATTCTATTGTATCTAACCGATGATCTAGAGACTTGGTTATCGACTGGTCATTGGAAAATATGTCTAACTAATAATTTGAAGCCAGAAAAAAGACCTGCAATAGGCCGATTTACCTCTTATATAATGCATCTTGAACTTTTAGCACTTTCAGGGCTGGACGGTTTGGTGGCTGACTGATCTGTCATTAAGTCAAGTGATCTGGGTTGGATTCTCCTTTGTACGTGACAAGGAAAAGGGTCGCATGTTCAAACCGGTGTGTTTTTTCCGGGTACTCCCTCTGCTAAAGTACGTGGCAAGGAGTAGGGTCGCCTGTCCAACCTCGTGGGTTTTCTCCGGGTCCTCCGGTTTCCTCCCACTGCTAAAGACCCCTACGCGCAAGCGAATTATGTAAATAAAATTAAACCATATGTTAGTCCCGAAATGACCTAGTTTGTGTCGAGTGGACGTTAAACCCCATTTCTCTCTCTCTCTCCCTCTGCTAAAGATCCATACATGCAAGTGAATTATTAATAGAAAATTGAACCATATGTTAATCCTGAAATGACCTAGTTTGTTTCACGTGGATGTTAAACCCTATTTCTCTCTCTTCAGGTCAGTCTACAGCTTATACACAGACGAGTCAACTGTCTGGTCGACCATCTTTACATGTGGTACACGCCCAGATATCGTCACAAGAAACATTAAAAGCTGTTAATAATAACATAGATTTACAAATATCACCTGATAAAATACTTCTACAGGTAAGATTATTATCTTATAATATATAGAGTGTAAATCATTGTATTTTGTGTATATTATAGAGTGTAAATCATTGTATTTTGTGTGTATTTTAGAGTGTAAATCATTGTATTTTGTGTGTATTTTAGAGTGTAAATCATTATATATTATAGAGTGTAAATCGTTATATATTATAGTGTGTAAATCGTTATATATTGTAGAGTGTTAATCTTTGTATTTTGTGTATATTATAGAGTGTAAATCATTGTATTTTGTGTGTATTTTAGAGTGTAAATCATTGTATTTTGTGTGTATTTTAGAGTGTAAATCATTGTGAGTGTAAATCGTTGTATATTATAGAGTGTAAATCTTTGTATTTTGTGTATATTATAGAGTGTAAATCATTGTATTTTGGGTGTATTTTAGAGTGTAAATCATTGTATTTTGTGTGTATTTTAGAGTGTAAATTATTATATATTATAGAGTGTAAATCTTTATATATTATAGTGTGTAAATCGTTATATATTGTAGAGTGTTAATCTTTGTATTTTGTGTATATTTTATAGTGTAAATCTTGTATATTGTAGAGTGTAAATCAAGAATTAAAGAGATTATCATCTCTGGGTAGTGAACATGTACAGGAATTATTACCACAAGATGATCTTAGATTAAAACATATGTTGATATACATGGTGTTTAACAGAGCTGATATAAAACTACAACAGTGGACAGGACTTGAACAATTCTCATATCTTAAACACTTGGAACAGTCAGAAAAGTAATTGTACAATTTCATATTTACGTAAAAGCACTGAGATTTTATTAAGATGTCACTCCTATTGAGAGGCCATTCTGTTTTAGTTACTGGGGGGGGGGGGGGATGGCCGAATGGTTAGTGTGTGCCCGCTGTATTATAAGGTCTGTCATTGTGTCAACTGGTTGGTTTCGATTCCCCGGTTGTATGTGACAAGGAGTTGCCTGTCAAGTCTGGGGGGTTTTCTCCGGGTCCTCCGGTTTCCTCCCACTGCTCAAGACCCTTATGCTCAAGGGAATTATTGGAATAAAATTGAACCACATGTTACTCCCGAAATGACCATAAACCTCATCTCTCTCTCTCTCTCTCTCTCACTCTTTCTCTCTCTCCATGTAGAAGAGGCCATGAAAGTATAAAAAAAACAAAAGAAGTATAGATCTGCATTTTAATCAGATTGGCCGTAGTGCTGAAGTCAGAATCTTTGCCTATAAAATACAACAAACATTATTTAATCTGGTTTTGTGGCCGAGTAATTTAACATGTGCATTGTAGGTCAAAAAGGTCCCAGACTTGTATGAAACAAGGGGAGGGGTCGTCTGTGGTTTCCTCCAACTGCTGAAGACCCCTATGCTCAAGCAAATTATTGAAATAAAATGATCTGGTTTGTGTTTAGTGGACGTTAGACCCCATTTCTCTCTGTCTCTCCCCAACATGAATGTTTGTCTGTTTTAGAGGAAGGGCTATTAGGTCAGCAGCTAATGAGTTTGTGTTACGATATCAAAAAGAATGTGGTCTGGAATTAGAGAGACGATTGGAGGTAAGATATAAATACATATATTTCATATTTATATTGGGAGCCACTGTGGCTAAGTCGGTAAGACGGTGGCTAGCTAGCCTCGAGGTCACAAGTCGGTAAGATGGTGGCTAGCTAGCCTCGAGGTCACAAGTCGGTAAGACGGTGGCTAGCTAGCCTCGAGGTCACGAGTCGGTAAGACGGTGGCTAGCTAGCCTGGAGGTCACGAGTCGGTAAGACTGTGGCTAGCTAGCCTGGAGGTCACGAGTCGGTAAGACGGTGGCTAGCTAGCCTGGAGGTCACGAGTTTGATCCCTGCATTCGCTCGCTAGCCTCGAGGTCACAAGTTTGATCCCTGCATTCGCCTAGAATCTTCATCAGGATTTTCTGATGTGGTTTTACCATGTCAGTGGTACAGGACGGAGGGCCTGATAAGGACATCTATCTAGTCGTTTCGATTAGACAAAAAACTGAGGTCCCTTGTACACACTGGCGTACACGTAAAAGATCACTTGGCAGTTGGAATTCTATATAAGAGTAGGCCATAGAGCAACTGTCCTGGCAAAATATCCCTCGTAGCACACTGTATGGCGTATGACCGTTTTCACTAGCCCAGTATAGGAGTAGAACAGTAGGATGTTCAACCCCATTTCATTTCAGTGCCAAATCAAATTGGAAACAGATAAAATATTTTGTTCTTTTTTGAAGTCTTTGTATTTTTTTTTTTTTTACAGGAATGGCATAATAAATATCATTTATTTCGAGAGGTTGTATATTTATTTGTTAAAGGTTTAGAAGCTTTCTCGAAAGAAAGGTGAGTACTGTTATATCGCTATAATATACTTAATCCATTCTTGTGGCGTGGCAAGGAGTAGGGTCGCCTGTCCAACCTCGTGGGTTTTCTCCGGGTCCTCCGGTTTCCTCCCACCGCTAACGATCCCTACGCGCAAGCGAATTATGTAAATAAAATTAAACCATATGTTAGTCCTGAAATGACCTAGTTTGTGTTGAGTGGACGTTAAACCCCATTTCTCTCTCTCTCTCTCTCTCTCTCACCATTCTTGTGGTGCTCATCAGGTGGTCTTGAGGTTAGGAGTTGGTTGAGAAAGTTCCCCAGGATATTCTTGTGTGGTGTGGTTTTCCCTTGTCAGTGGTACACAACGTTTGGCATGCACGTAACAGATCCTTTGATATAAGAGTAGGCCTTATAGTTGCTGTCTGAGCAACATTTTCCTAATAGCACACTGTATGGTGTATGCCCTTCTTCAATGGCCAAGTCGGAACAGTAGGACATTAAATCCTGTTTTTTTATTATATTTCTATATTAAATAAATGCTAACTATGATATACTGTGTTGTAGGTTTGCGGAAGCTCTACCATATATAGATCAAGCGTGGCATTATAACTCTGATTGTAGTGTAAATGGGAAATACGAACATTTTGGTGTCAATCGTAAAATGATGGCGTATTTTCGCCGAACATGTCTACATGTAAGTATCAACAATTTTATTCTTTTTTATTTCTAACACTATTTAAAGCCACATGGGTGGTTGGGTGGCCGAATGGTTAGCACGCGCGCGCTGTATCATACGGTCTGTCATTGAGTCAACTGGCAGGGTTTCGATTCCGTGACAAGGAGTAGGGTCGCGTGTCCAATCTTCGTGGGTTTTCTCTGGGTCCTCCGGTTTGCTCCCACAGCTAAAGACGCCTATGCGCAAGCGAATTATTGAAATAAAATTGAACCATATGTTAGTCCCAAAATGACCTAGTTTGTGTTGAGTGGACGTTAAACCCCATTTCTCTCCCTCTTTAAAGCCACACCCAATTGTCGGTGTGCTTTAAAACAACAAGAGGATCAACGTAGAAACGTAGCTTTGATTAAAATACTGTAATTGTTATCCACAGAACTGTTTTGGGAGGGTAAGGGTTGCGTGGCCGAATGGTTAGCGTGTGTGCTTTGTATCACAAGGTCTGTCATTTAGTCATTCAATTCCCCGGTTGTACGGTTGTATGTGACAAGGAGTAGGGTCGTCATTGAGTCAACTGGTGTGGTTTCAATTCCCCGATTGTATGTCCATCCTCGTGGACACTGTATGGCATATGCCCATCTTCATTAACCCTGTTGGAGTAGAACAGTAGGTTGTTAAACCCTATTTTATTCCATTCAACAATGTCGTTTAGCCCAGTAGTGATCCCTAGATAAAATAAAAATGCAAAAACTAAAACCTCCGTCCTACATCAGATATTTATGTAGGATTGTCGGAGAAGAAGAATATTTTTTGTAGTTTGGCTTTTCTGACCCCATTCTGATTAAAACACAGATCCTATTTCGTTTTTTTATAGTTCAAAAAATTTCGTTTTACTTGTCTTTACTACACTAGGATCTGGAAGAGTTGTTATATAACAGGATTCTAGTTGATGTGAGAAATTAGTCATTGAAACAGCTGTTACGCGAGCTGTGCACTGAATCCCTGGAAAGGTCAAAGCTGATTGATTAATAAATGTCTGACATCATAGGGTCAAAAAACACTCGTATGACACCTGATACGACCTCCCAGTACGACTGGTCAGATCTTCATATAGTGTAGGCCATTGAAAGTATAAAAAAACGAAATGAAATATAGATCTTATTAAAAACACTTATATGGATATACTACTTCTGAATTTATTAAAATGCTACGTTTCGATACACATACAGATATTGTTATCAAGCAAATAATGATATTTAACAAAAACGTGGTGCAATATATAGTTAAACTAGATGCTGATTTACACAATTTTGATTGCACACATTGAGTTCGTTAATCTGTTAATAAATTCAGAAGTAGTATGTGTTATGAGGCTTATAAATATAGATCAGGGCCCTTATTCACGAAAACTTAAACTAAGTTACAATCGAAATTTTAAGAAATACTGCAATTCGATTGGCTGACCAATATGCAAATTGGATATATGCAAATTGATTTTACTGGTCAGCCAATCGAATTGCAGTATTTCTTAAAATTTCGATTGTATCTTAGTTTAAGTGTTCATGAATAAGGGCCCTGTATTTTAAATCAGATAGATGTGACCAAGTGTTTAAACCCCATCAATTTATATTTTACAGTCGTTAAATACGAGCGCTACAGAACAGTTTGAAAGCGAGGAAGATATCTCAGAAGCTCTGACATTGATGAACAGTTTGATATTACCCACGTTGCCTGCTTTGTTTACGTCTGGATATACGGAGGACGTGTCCGCCGCAGAGGAAATGAGGGAGAAATGGTGTGCTTTTCTGGGAGAGCAATTATCTGGTAATACTTATTGATTTGACAAAGTTATTGCCCTTAGCATGAAGTTGTCTTTGTATGTCTTAACAAATTACTAATTTTAAAAACTAATTTTGTCATGCACGTAAAAGACCCCTTGAAGTTGGAATTCGAAATAAGAGTAGTCCGTTACGCTGCTATCCCGACAAAATTTCCCTCATTTCCGTCTTCATTAACCCAGTTGGAGCAGAACGGTTGGACGTTAAACCCCATTTCATCTTCATTAAATAATTTTAAGTAGTTTGAAAATTGTTTTTTTCCCCATCTTTCTGAAATCTTGCCTATAGTACCAGTCGGCTACCCAGGGCAAATAATTTAACAATTTTATTTTTATTTTTATTTTTATTTTCAGATTCCAAGATTGACAAATTGCAGGATTTCTTATCAAAACTGTTTGAACCTCCGACCGAAGTAAAACGTCAGTGCTCTCAACACATACGTAATAGTGACTTATCTGATTTATATACACGTTACAAACTAATCATGGACGAATTACACAAATCAGGCGAACTTAAAAAAGCCATCTCATGTTAGTGTTTTAAATTATTAATAAATAACTCAGCCCTTTTATATCATTCACACATTGATGCTTTTTGTGGGACAAGACTTGATTTTATTTACAAGGGAGGTTTAATGCTACCGACATGGTTATCAGGAAGTAACATCTTGGGATATTACGTAACGATGCTTTCTGTGGTGCACACTAAAAACTATTTATGGATCTGTGGTGCAAGTAAACACTGATTTTATTTCAAGGGTTTTAAATATAACATCATTTGAAGAAGAAGAAACTGATTTATTACAAGGGAGGTTTAATGCTAGCGACGTGGTTTTTAAGGCGTAACATTTAGAAGCTTATCACAAGACTTGATTTTATTACTGCTACCGACGTAACATCTGCGAAGATTATCACATAGTCATGTTTCTGTGTGAGGAGAGAAGACTGATTTTATTACAAGGTTTACTGCTACCAACGCAGTTCTAGAGTCATAACATCTGCAAAGGTTATCACATAATGATGTTTCTGTGTGAGAAGAGAAGATTGATTTTATTACAAGGGAGGTTTATTGTTTGCGATGCTGTTCTCAAGACCTAATATCTGAGAAGAATAGTTCCTTTAGAATGTGAAATGATTTAAAATGTGTTTAGCATGTACACAAGCCTGGAAATAGCGGTTTTTGGTTGTAGCTGCCCAAAATATGAGGGACTAAGAAACTGGTATGCTAGGTTCCCACTTTCACAAATCGCGCTACGATTGAAATCGTGGTTTTAATCGTGGAGTACTCGTGAGGATCCTATCGGTTCTTATCACACATTGAGGTCAATCGTAGCAATCGTGTTGATCATATCAAAACGTATCGGTACGCACCAGATCGTGGACTAATACGGACAATCCTATCGTAACACATCGCACGACAGTGGGAACTTACCATTAAAAATACCAAAAAAACAAAGACAAATGCGTGCCTGACAGGAGTTATTGTGCCTGACCATCATTCAATCTTCGCCTGACATTGTCTCTTGTCAGGTGCCTTCTGTCTATGTGTAGGCTTGTTACGATAAGGTAGGGTGAGTCATCGACCTTCGTCAAGCCATGAAAGATGTGAGCCATACGTCTGACAGGTAATCCTGGATATTATAATTAGAGTTTTAATGTTTCTATGGCAACGCTTGATCGTGAGTCACCGACCTTCCGTAATATGAAACTGTGAAATGGATTGAAGAGAGAAGAAGTGAGACATACATCCGACATGTAGTCAATCCTGAATATTATAATTAGAGTTATCCTTTTAATGTTTCTATGGCAACGCTTGAATTAATGTTTCTATGGTAATACTTGATTGTGAGTCGCCATTCCTAACTGACAAAATCTTGGAAATTATAATTAGAGTTATCCTTTCTTTGGCGATATTTGAAGTATCAAACATGGCGGGATGTAGTCTGCTGTTTACCCTATTGTGACTGTGGGATTGTGGAAATCAATTCTGGAACACGTCGATTGAAGTATCCAGCTTTGGATCATGGTTACCGAGACTACAGTACCGTGATAGTCCATGCACAAATAAATTTAGGAAGTAGAAAAAAAAAGGGAAATATTTCATCTAAGATCAGGGATCGTTAGTATTTGATGGTGAACGCATAGTAGACAGAAGGAAATCTGAAGGCTAGGAGGTTCTGGGTAACCGAGACTACTAAATGCTAAATCTATTTGTTAAGGCGAGTTCAATTTTTGTCAAGGTCACTTGCTGAGATGTAAATAAGGTTAGGTCACGTGATTGTTGGAGAGATTGTAGCTTAGGCTTAGGGTAATCATTGGGGCTTGGTCAAGGGTTATGGCTAGGGTTGGGATTAGCGCTATCCCTGTTTACATCTCGTGACCTATGATGAAAAATTGAGCTGGTAGTTGTGGAAATTTGAGAAATGCTCTCATCGTGAATAGAACAAGACCTGAACACACCAAGAATTATTAAAGCAGGAGGTGAAGCAATCAGACCATTCCAGGTTCAAATCCCGAATTAGAATTCAATATTGACCAATTTCAATCAATATTGATGTTATTATCTTGCCAGGAAACTATAGGATCATAATATCCAATATTTAAGACTCAACTAACATTTTATAATCAATACACGAGTGGTGTACCCTATGGTTTTGGGTGCCATTTTGTATTGAACAAATAAAAACACATCCTACAAAACAATGTGAAAGTAATTAGTAAAGGCTGATTCACAAATGACAAAATAATAATTTTTAAAACGTGTAGAATGCACTAAGTAGGCGTAAACGACTAACTTTCTATTTGAACTGTTCACCTATTTCACCGAACATAATTGATTAGAAATTATATTATTTTTTTTATAAATGGAATATAAATCACTTGACATACATTCATATTACATTAATATGTGCTTTTAGATACATTTTTGTCTATTTCAAGGTTTAAAAAAATAGAACCATACACCCTTTAATACAGACCCCTTTAAAATAATCCTTGGTGTGCTCAGGCCTTTAATCTTAGATTCTGTTTTAAATATTTTGTATTTGTAACCTCGGATCAGGGCTATATATTCTTCCAAAATGTACGTTTTTCTTCTGGGATGATTTTGTTTAGCTGTAGGAAGGAGAGTTAAAACTCAAGCACTTGAAGGGATTAAAATAAAACTTCCGACTACTGCTTGATTATAAATATTATATACTGTAATATATAGTCAAGCAGTAGTAAGATGTTTTATTTTAATCCCTTCAAGTGCCTGTGAGTTACAAATAAGAAATTGATGTGGGTATATGAAGAAAATCATGGCCATTGATGTGTGAACAGTCTCGAAATATATCAATTTTTAGGATAGTGTACATTTTCTTCCAAACTGGTTTCAGAATTTAGTTGTTTTTTTTTCTGCATTAAAGGAAGAATATATATATATGTATATATATATCCCTGCCTCCGATCAATCTCAATCACAAAGATAATTTTACACTTTGTTTATCTCTGGGAATGTCACGTGATGTATCCTTCCATCGGTCGCTTTACAAAGATCCAAGATGGCGCGTTTCTTTCGAAATTTCACTTATTTAGCCGAATCACTCTCATTGTGCACTGAAATTAGTTCCTGGTAAATCATCAACTTTTGATGTCAAGATGTGGAAAATATTCCAAGTATCACTAATATATAACTCATGCAAAGAACCGATGCCTAATTGTCGAGAAATCGGCAGCATTTCATTCTAACACATCCTGCCAATCAGTAGCCACTGGGGGGAGCGGAGCTTAGGAACCGATTTCACGCTGATTAATGGCTGGCGAGTTTTACCAGATATAAACGAGGGGTAAAGTTATCTCTATGATCGAGAAGGGCCTCCGATATAACTGTAATTTAGCTTTAACGTCATGTAACGTATATGCATAATACATATATTTTTGGCAGGGTTTTTTTATGGTTAATTTATTATACTAGCTTTAAGAAATACATGTTTAATTCTTTATCCCTGGGACTATTTCAAACCACCTGAAACCACTCCCATCCGTCTCTGGCGCCGCAAACTACCAGCGTCATGTCACTAGCTGTGGACTATTTAAACATACATTATGCAAGAGCTAAATCTGCCTATTGCAGGTCTTTCTGTGGGCCTGAAATGTTTTCTAAATTATTAATTAGACGTTAATTAACTTATCAAGGCCTTAATCAACTCCCGATGGCATTAGATTTTCCGATATTAAATAGATTAGAACGGTTCAGCCATATTTTGATTTAAGCTAAAAATGGAGGAGTGAACAACCAGTACGGTGGTTGAAATTATTGCACACGTCTTGTCAAACCCGCAAAGGCTAATATCTTCGCTCGCAATAGAGTAATTTGAATGAAATTTTCAAATTATTCATTTTACATTATCTATTTCTAAACTATTATAGCAAGAATGGCTAGCTCTTTATCTAAACCTTACATAATGTATCTTTAAGGACTGTATGTTAGTTATGTGACTCTCTCCTTTGGATGAATTTCACCATGGGTGCTTCCCTGCAAAGACAATGTGTCTTACCCCAATAAAGCTGGATAAAGCCTACTTTTTGTGGCTTCCTCTGGCCAGTTTCTTACGAAACACTTGTCTACGATATCACCTTTGGTGGAAGTGGATGTAAAACTCTAGGAACGAACGAACGAACGATACGTGACTCGGGTAGTTTAAGACAATCTAAGTGGTTTCGAAAATGAGCTACAAATCTGTAACTAAGACTTGATAGCTTTGCTCTCAATTTGTTTTAGGGATAGGTAATGTTTACATGTTCCAGGTGTTAAAGTGATAAACAGGCTATAAACGGGTTACTATGACAACAAATACCATGTGACATCATTGTATTTCCAATAAATCTTGAACAGATTTAAGAATTTTCAGAGATTGCAAAATTCGTGCCGTTTAATTTTTATTTCGATGTTATGACAAATATAGAAGGAAGGAAAAAAATGTAAATCTCAGAAAATTAGGAAAAAAACAAACAAGAAGCAATTTTTAAGTTTCGTGTGAAATCATTTCAGATTGATGAATATTTATTAATACATATTATTGTACATGGTATTTTCAGGGCTTTGTTACGTAGAGAATCTCCTACGAGTCTTGTTGGATATCAAAAAATATCAACACAAGTCGATAAAGTAAAAAAAAAAACGAGGCTTTGAATGTTGATATTTTTTGATATCAAAAAAGACGAGTAGGAGATTTTATTTATCACCCAATTCTTTCTTACGCGCACAAATAAATAAATATAATTCTTTGCTATAGATTTCACTTTTACTGAACCTGATTACATTACGGCGTAGTGTTACATCATTTTTTGACAGCAAGTCACCCGTTGCAATGTCATATATATTGACCCGTTGTTTTCGTTAAGGTTATGGGGAGTATTGTAATTATTTATGGTAATTGAGAACTTTTCTCCAACAATATTACTGGTTCCAAAAAGTAGTTCCATTTTAATGAAGAAAAAAGGTAGTTCCTTTTTAATTGACCACGTAAAGTTATATATCGCTCAGTAAATTATGAAAATTATCAGAAAAGCGATATCCATTGTAGTATGTGTTATTGGGTAATTAACTTATTTAACCCATCTTGAGAGAAGTTGCCAAGCCAACCCTTCACAAGTTGTTCCTGTAGTTACACTTTCCAGTTATCTATGAACACATGACTGCATGACTGCAGCCCACTATCTCAGGGCCTCCTGACTTTGCACACATGACTTGCGGCCCATGATTTCAGGGCCACCTCACTTTCGAAAATGAATGCTTATTGATTTACCAGAATTACGTGCAAACTTAGAAGTTTGTAAAAGCATGGACCTTATAATATGGTCCATGGTAAATGTAAGGTCTGAACGGCACTGATTCCATCTTAGAAAACTTCCTACCAAGCATTAAAATCGTGTGTTTATGATATATATATATATATAATGTACAGTAATATTTATGTTTCATTTTGCATTACATGTAGCTGCTAATATATTGAGCTTCTTCAATAGACGCCCTTCGCAGTCTGTCAAGCAATTTATAGAATCAAAAATTACGAAATCCTTTTTTATACGAACATTGGGCCAATGAAAGGAGGAGTCTTGCCGATTTTACGAGTTCTCAGTCCATCTCTTTATAACATGTGGGCGTATCTTGCATGGCAACCGTTCGTTATTTATTTTGATTTGAAAGAAAGTCAGATTACCGTACAAAGTGGATTAAGCCATGATCAATTTGATATTTTAGCGAAAGATGGAAATGATAAATGTAAATAAAATATATTGATATAATATACTGTGTACCGTTTTCTTTTCCTGACAAAAGTTGTTGAAAATCTGAAAAAAAATTTAGGAAGAAATCGGAAACACCCCAGATTAAGGAAAAATTAGGACAATCGAACAGAATTTGCTTGACAGGCTGTATTCATCATTTCGTTTTATATTACTAAGGAACAATTAGGACAATGAGAAGTTGTTTGACAGGCTGTATCCATTATTTAGTTTTATATTATTATTTATTTATATCATATGTACCTGACAGACACGACATGGCTCCATTAGTGTACCTGTGTACCTGACATGGCACAATTAGTGTACCATTAGAATCGTACACAATATATATTAACCAGGCGTCAAAAACACCAATCTCATTAAAACACAGATACTGATTCGTTTCGTCATTTATTCAAAATTTCGTTTTACTTGTCTTTACTACACAAGGATCTGGAAGAGTTGTTATATAACATGTGTTCAGGTTGATGTGAGGGATTTGCCAATGATACGGTCTGTTTTGGCAAGTTCTTGGCATGCGATGTAAGGAACTGTGGGTAAACCACTAGAAACATCAACGCTGATTGATTAATCAATATCTGACGTCATAGGGTCAAAAGCCGCTCGGACGACCCCGGACTTCCAGCACAACTGGTCAGATCTTCATTTTGTGTAGGCCATCGAAAGTATAAAAAAATGAAACGAAATAAAGATCTGTATTGTAATCAGATTGACGCAAAAACACAAGATCCAATGCCAAAGCAAGTGAACTCGATACATGAGAGAATATCGTTATAGAAAGTGGTATCACATGTTATTGAAAGGGTTTGGATACCCCACGACCCCTTTTATTGTACTACATGTTATTGAAAGGGTTAGGATACGCCACGACCCCTTTCATTGTATGACGTGTTATTGAAAGGGTTAGGATACGCCACGACCCCTTTCATTGTATGACGTGTTATTGAAAGGGTTAGGATACCCCACGACCCCTTTCATTGTATTACGTGTTATTGAAAGGGTTAGGATATGCCACGACCCCTTTCATTGTATTACGTGTTATTGAAAGGGTTAGGATACGCCACGACCCCTTCATTGTACGACGTATTATTGAAAGGGTTAGGATACGCCACGACAACTTTTATTGTACTACGTGTTATTGAAAGGGTTAGGATACGCCACGACCCCTTTCATTGTATGACGTGTTATTGAAATTGTTAGGATACCCCACGACCCCTTTCATTGTATTCTGTGTTATTGAAAGGGTTAGGATACGCCACGACCCCTTTCACTGTATTACGTGTTATTGAAAGGGTTAGGATATGCCACGACCCCTTTCATTGTATTACGTGTTATTGAAAGGGTTAGGATACGCCACGGCCCCTTTTATTGTACTACGTTTTATTGAAAGGGTTAGGATACGCCACGACCCCTTTTATTGTATGACGTGTTATTGAAAGGGTTAGGATACGCCAAGACCCCTTTCATTGTATGACGTGTTATTGAAAGGGTTAGGATACCCCACGATCCCTTTCATTGTATTACGTGTTATTGAAAGGGTTAGGATATGCCACGACCCCTTTCATTGTATTACGTGTTATTGAAAGGGTTAGGATACGCCACGACCCCTTTCATTGTATGACATGTTATTGAAAGGGTTAGGATACCTATGACCCTTTCATTGTATGACGTGTTATTGAAAGGGTTAGGATACGCCACGACCCCTTTCACTGTATGACGTGTTATTGAAAGGGTTAGGATACACCACGACCCTTTCATTGTATGACGTGTTATTGAAAGGGTTAGGACACCTTATGACCCTTTCATTGTATTAAGTTGATAAATTATTAAAAAGCAATGTTGTAGGATGTTGCATCCAGTTTAATAATAGTTATTAATCATAGTGCAGTCCCTCACAGCAAGATTTTAAGCTAAATACAATAATTTTGTTAATTAAGTCAATTATGGGGTGTGTTGAATAAGAAATATTTTGTTAATCAAGTCAATTATTGGGTGTGTTGAATAAGAAAGTTTTTTTTAGATAGTCCAAAATCGATTTATACCAGTGATTGAATACAAACAAATGAGTAAACTGCTTTAATTGTATGCTTTACGGTAAAATACATGGCAGTCTGACTTACAGTGTGACCCTCGAACTGTGGATGTTAAGCCCTACCAACGAACGACGATGCCAGTAATTTACATCCAATATGTGTACTACAATATTTGGGAGGGGGAGAATGGCCAAATGCGTGCGCGTTGTATCACAATGTCTGTCATTGAGTCAACTGGTGTGATTTTGATTCCCTGGTTGTAGGTGATAAGGAGTAGGCTCCAACCTTGTGGGTTTTCTCCGGGTCCTCCGTTTTCCTCCCACTGCTAAAGACCCCTACGTGCAAGCGAATTATTGAAACAAAATTTAAGCATATGTTAATCCCAAAATGACCTAGTTTGTATGGGTACGTTGACCTAGTTTGTATCCTATGTTAAACTCTCTCTCTCTCTCTCTCTCTCTCTCTCTCTCTGGGGGGGTTGGATCATACGGTCTGTCATTGAGTCAACTGGCAGGGTTTCGATTCCCCGGTTGTACGTGACAAGGAGTAGGGTCGCCAGTTCAACCTCGTTGGTTTTCTCCGGGTCCCTCCCACTGCTAAAGAACCCTATGCGCAAGCCAATTATTAAAATAAATAAAATAAAACCATATTGATCTTTTAGAGGCATTTAGTAACTGGATAGAGCAATAAACTATAACACATACTTATGGAAGAACAATTACTCATTTATTTGGGCGATGTTTCGAAGAGTATTCTCTCAACGTTTTCAAGCAAACGTTGAAAACATTGAGAGAATACTCTTCGAAACGTCGCCCAAATAAATCAGTAATTGTTCTTCCATAAGTATGTGTTATAGTTTATAAAACCATATGTTAGTCCCGATTATTTCTCTCTCTCTCTCTCTCTCTCTCTCTAGGATATTGTGAAGGTTTAATCTCCACTAGTAATTTAAGTCCAAAAATGGTTGAAATCCATGCAGTATCTATATACATGATCAAATTGAAATTCAATCGATCTATGTTGCTGGTGCGTAAAAAGATAAAAAAGACACCACCAGGTATGGTTGGTATAGCAGGGACACCTGATGGACCTAGTTTAAATCTGATTAAATCTAATCCAAGAGATTATATCTAGGGTTGGTATTGTGTTTTTGTTAAATAATCAATCCGAGTAGAGTGTATTACATTGTTAGAATATTGCTATTTTAAATAATACAAATGACTCATCAAGCTGTCACACGAATAGACAGATGTTACATAATGAATATTGACATTTTCTTGCATAGATTTAATATATTATTTGTACCAATTTTTCTCAGGTTTTTTCGTTTATATTTTATGGGTATTTCACATCCATTTAGCTGTATATTGTGTGACTTGGCCGATCAAGGTGGATTTCCTAGGGGCCAACCCCCTCTTCCTATATAACACTATACAAAATTCTCTTACTCTGGTTCTTTGTAAAGTGTAAATTTGAGCTTTTTGTCGGTTGTAGCTCAAGAAATTGAATGTTTTATTTGGGTCCAAAAATCACTCCACCGGGTTTGCATGTCTGGATGGCCGAGTAATCTAATGCATGTGCTTTAGAACATCAGGACTGCCATTGTTTCGATACCATGCTTGTATGTGACACAAAGACAGGGACATTGGTGTGCATGTAAAAGATCCCTTGACAGTTGGGATTTGATTTAAGCGTAGGCCGTAGCGCCGCTGCCTGGGCAAAATTGCCCTCATAGCACACTGTATGGCGTATGCCCGTCTTCATTAGCCCAGTTCGGAGCAGAACAGTAGGATGTTAAACCCCCTTTGATTTGTATGTGACAAGGAGTAGGGTGACTTGCCCAACCTTGTGGGTTTCATCACACCACTAATTATTCAGATATGTTAGTCTCAAAATAACCTGGTTAGAGTTGAGTTGACTTTTAAACACTCTCTCTCTCTCTCTCTCTCTCTCTCTCTCTCTCTCTGTGTTAAAGATGCTTCTGGAATAGAAGTATTGAAATAAATGTGAACCATATGTTAGAGTTGAGTGGACTCTGTGTAGGGTCTGTTTTAAAATATATAAATATATATATATAATATGTACACAATACTAACAGGTGGATCATTATGCTACCTGTGATTGATTTACCTGTAACCTATATACAGCTGATCAATAACATGTTAAAACCTCTACACAGGATCACATTGTCTAATTCAGTTTTAAATTAGAGAGAGAGAAATTCAACACAAACTAGGTCATTTCGGAACTAACATATGATTCAATTTTATTTCAATAATTCGCTTGTGCATAATGGTCTTTGTCACATACAAGCGGGGAATCGAAAACACGCCAGTTGACTCAATGACAGACCTTATGATACAGCTCGCGCCCGCTAACCATTCGTCCATCCAACCCCCCAGCTTGCCGTATATGAACATGGACCAGATTAACCCTGTACGGTGTCCCTGTATTTTGTAAGATTTAGATAAAGAGCTGACAGTTGTCGTTATAATAGTTTTTTAAAAAATAGATAATGAAAAAGGGGAGATGTTGAAAATTTCAGCCAAATTACTTTATTCTGAACGGAGGTATCGTTGTTTGCAGAACAGTGTAGTCTTGATTATCATAGCTACTGTTGTTACGATAATAAACAAAGTCTTGATTATCCATTTTTAAATAAATTAAATCATTAACTGCCAATCGTATTTAAATCTGTTGAAAATCAGAACCATCCAAAGTTCTAAGGAGTTGATAATGGGCTTATCATGCGAATAAATGTATAATTAATGATATAAATAACATTCGAGGCCAAACAAAAGATCTGAATTAGGCCAATTTAGCTCTTATATAATTCATCTTTAAAGATAGATTATGGAAGATTAGATAAAAAGAGCTGGCAGTTAAAAACTAGATAATGTAAAGGGAATTTGTTGAAATTCAAATTGATTCACTATGAACAGAGATTTTAGCAATTAAATTTTCGGCCTAGCCTCGATCATAATTACTAAAGTCGGTAGGATAAAAAACATAGCCTCGATTATCCAGTTCATAATTAAATTATGAATGGAAGTCGAACAGCAAATCGGAACCTAATCCAATAAATATCGCAGGCTAGCGATGCCACCAAGAGTTGATTATGGTCTGGATAAGTTAATTAATGTCTAATTAATAATCTAGATAACATTTCAGGCCTAAAGAAAGACCTGCAATAGGCAGATTTACCTCTTGCATAATGTATGTTTAAATTATGGATTATGTAAGGATTAAATCTGTCTATTGCATGTGAAGGAGATTTGATACAGTTGTGAGAAGGCTAGTTTGTTTGCACTGTAAACTGGTAATTCATAAGAATCCCAGTCTAGTTAACCTTTCCCCATTCATGGCACTCACCTTTCCAACCTCGTGGGTTTTCTCTGGTTTCCCTCCCACTGTGAATTATTGAAATAAAACTGAACCATATGTTAGTTCCTAAATGACCTAGTTTGTGTCGAGTGGATGCAAAACCCTATATCTCTCTCTCTCATTCATGGCCCAAATGACAATTTATATTACGAGGCAGAGTCACAGCTTATGCAGGACGAAGGGTCTAGTCATTTAGATGAAACAAAAAGTTGAGGTGCCATGTACGTACACGTTGGCGACGTACACGACGAGATCTCTATTTTTCATACCATCCAAATGATTTGACGTTTTTCCTTGCCAGACATAAAGCGGCCCATATAAATTAATTGGCCAAATTGACCTTGCCCACACACGATCAATGTTTAAGCGTCAATTTTCATTCTGATCGAAAACTTTGAAATGAAAACATCTCTGGCACTAGCACACACAGTCTATTTAATTGACGAGCCGTCAATAAATATCAAAGCAACTTTGATCCGTTAATTAATTGATTCAATTAACTTGCCCTCAATGTCCTCCATACACGTTCAATTTCTTCGTCAATTAATTGATATCAATTAATCGGCATCAATTAATTGACGAAAAAATTGAACGTGTATGAGCCGCTTAATGTAATCTTGGATCAAACTGGATCGCATTCTACCTATTAGGAAAATCCGTGGGTGTTTTTAGTTGGTGTTTTTATTACTGGCTGGTTCTATTTTTATGCAATGTATTATTTTACATGTGCACGTTGTAATATATATGAAATTATTATAAATTATTGTTATATAAATATATATATTATGCCATTTAATATATGTAAATAAATGTAGAAAAAGACTGGAAAATATTCCTTATCAGTTTGTCTTGGTTGTATAGGTCTTATAGCCATCTGTACAGTGTGTGTATATGATTTGTGCGAAGATTGAAACTTGAAATATATTAATTGCCTATTTTGGAATAAAACCTTTATTTCAAGAAACTTTTGTTATTATTTAATCCGTTTCGAATCCCCGATTGTACGTGACAAGGAGTAGGGTCGCCTGTCCAACCTCGTGGGTTTTCTCCGAGTCCTCCGGTTTCCTCCCACTGCTAAAGACCCCTACGTGCAAGCGAATTATTGAAATAAAATTGAACCATGTGTTAGTCCCGAAATGACCTAGTTTGTGTCGAGTGGACGTTAAACCCCATTTCTCCCTCTCTTATTATTTAATCCAAACAAATGAAAATGAAATGTAATCAATCTGATTAAGACACAGATCCCTATTTCATTTCGTTTTACTTGTCTTTACTACACTAGGATCTGGAAGAGTTGTTATATAACCCACGTTCTGGATGATGTGAGGGATTAGCCAATGAAACGATCTGTTACGGCGAGATTTTGGTGTTAGGTGCACGGAACTGTGGGTAACCCACTAGAAACATCAGTGCTGATTGGTTAATCAAATGTCTGACATCATAGGGTCAAAAGCTGCTCGTATGACCTCTGACGCGATCTTCCACTGCAACCGGTCAGATCTTCATGTAGTGTAGGCCATCGAAAGTATGAAAAATCCGAAACGAAATATAGATCGGTATTATAATCAGATTGGAATGTAATAAGTTCTAATATCCCTTTTCCAACGTGGTTTCCCCTTGTCAGTGGTGCAGAACGGAGGACCTGACAAGGACAGCTGTCTAGTCCTTCGGATGATACGAAAAACCGAGGTCCCGTGTATACATTGGAATGCACGTAAAAGATCCCTTGGCAGTTGGAATTCGATAGAAGAGTAGGCGATAGTGCCACTGCCCGGGCAAAATTTCCCTCGTAGCACACTGTATGGCGTATGCACGTCTTCATTAGCCAAGTATAGGAGCAGAACAGTAGGACGTTAAACCCCATTTTATTTCATTTCTAACATCCTACTCATAAAAATAACATCCCAATGGTTTTATACACCCACTCTGCCTAATACTCTCTGTAGTGTTTCGTTTGAGGAAGCAAATTTCTGTTCCAAATTATGACTGGTCAATAGTCTGATTAACAGCCATTAAAATACAGATGTGACGTCACCCTTTGATGTTGGCGTACCATTATTTCAAATAATCGTACGGGCAACTTGCCAATCGTACCTTGTCAAATATTAGACTCGAGTGACGTATTTCACTGTAAACGCACGTGCGGAGTGTCTGTATTTTAAGATGTTTAATGGTCTCGAGCTGAGACATTGCGTAATATATTGTAAAAACACTCGGACCTGACGGTCCTCTTGTTGTTACAATATATTACTTAATGTCTCGCTCTCGACCATTAAACAATACATAGCTAACTGCGTAACAATATCATTACCCTTTAAATAGAGCTCCAAACTGGATCAATTATGCTTACATAACGTTACGTCATGACTCACGATTTTATTATGCCCAATTAACCAGTGCATAACAGAATATTGCAGAAAACTAATTGCGTGACAAACGATGCTATCCAAACGAATACAATGTAAACTATACTGTATGGAGATGAAGAATACTGTCACCGTTCTTAATACCTTAAATCACTGTCCCAAGTTTTAGGGAAGACCCAGATTAAACGAAGGGCTATCATGTTGCTGTACTTGGGATAGATTTGATTGAACGGGAAGAATAGACACACTCCCTCAAAAGCTCAAGTATTAGAAGCCAATCCAGCAATGGCCAGAGAGTTATTTCTCGGGCCATTGCTTCAGTAATATGACTGCATACACTAAAACATATACCCAACCCTAGCCACGAGAGAAGAACTACCTTCTCGGCTTATTCTTCTGCAGAACAAACTTCCTTTTCATCGAAAATTCTAATAATTCTAATTTTTTTTTAGTTCGAGGGGAAAGTGCTACAAGTGGTAGACCATATTTTTAATGTTGTTAAAATATGTATTTTCATACATGAACCTTTGGTTTCTAACGGTCTATATAATATTGGTCCTTATCCTTGCTCTGTGAGGTGTTCCCACGCTGTGGGGGAGGGGGATCTCTCCAACCTGTTGCAATATTTATTTCGAAAAACTGACTATAAATGGGGCTTTCTAGAGTAGTTCCTGGTGTATCTAGCTAACGAATATATTTAACGTACGGCAGTCTTAACACTTCATGAAAAACAACGTAAATCTACGACAAAAAAGGCGCCCAAACAATACAAGAACATTAACTAGGTTAGGGACCCCGAAAGTAGCACACACCTTTTCAGTCCATCCCTGGAATTGATACCTTAAAGGGCTGTAAACACGGATCGCATAACCATTTCTGAACTAATATTAAGGCGCGTTTTCTTATCAACGTGAAAATGGTGCAAAGACATACAAAATGAAGAATATTGTACTAAAAAAATGAACGCTAAACAGATTTTTGGATTTCTTAAATTTATTTTAGGAAATCTAATATAAGTATGGTTGATATTAACTTGCTCCGATTCCCTAAAGCTGATTTTGAGTAGCCTAGGTGATATCAATTTAATAAGGAAATCAAAATAGAACCAATAATGGCAATTAGTTGTCAAACATGGCTTCTAAAAATAGATTTGTTACAGCGTGGAGTATCTCTCCGCGAACACAAGGTTTTGAGAGGGATTTGAAGTCAATTTTTGATAGATTAATTAATTTGCATATGTTTTTGTTCTATCATCAAATCACACAGTTTGTACGCGGGGAATGTATCTTTAACCCTTGTGCGGACACGTCGCACGAAAAGCATTGTCCTGCACCCAATGACAAGAGGAAATCACGCCGGACATCCCCGATGAAGTTCGGACAATCCGAATGAAGTCCGGACAATCCCGATGAAATTCGGACAATCCAAATGAAGTTCGGAAAATCCCAGTGAAGTTCGGACAATTCCGATGAAGTTCGGACAATCCCGATGAAGTCACTCGGCCAACACAAAAGCAGAAGCCGGGATGAACAATGTGGGCGGTCACAACAATTAATGTAACCAGTAATTAATGATATGTTTCTACTTCCGGTAAGAATAGAATTTTTTTTTAAATGATATATACATATACATGTACTGATCACACGAATAAGCATACTATTATGTGAAAGTTCCACGGGCTTTTTCGGTGTGGTTTCTCCTTGCCAGTGCTACATGACGGAAGAAATAGCAAGGACAGTGTCTAGTCGTCTGGATGGGGCCAAAAACCGAGCTCCCGTGTACACACTGGCGTGCACATAAAGGATAAAGCACACGACCGTTACACCTTTCTCATAAAATGTGTTGTTTTACCATTTTTTTTATGTAACTGAGCAAGAGTAGGAACCTCCTCCCCGCCCCCATCCCCCTAGATCCGCCTTATTTCTAAAGTTTTTGCAAAATCGTCCTGCGCCAGAACAACAGGATATTGAACCCCATATTACATTATTTCACATTTTATTGTTGTTGATATTGATATTAGTATTTTATAAGACTGTACAACAGCCGGTGTCATACGTTCTTGTCCATATACAGAAGTTAGTAAGTTTATCGACAATGTAAGGCCTACACGTGGATTGCCTCATAAAGATTAGCTTTGATAGTGAGCCTTTAATTACACGTGATGAGTAATTCAAAATAGTAACGGACCAAATATGAATGCGTAAAGTAAGACACGAGTTCGATTCACTGTTTGAAAGGCCTGTAAACCGGCTTATATTACTTATTGGAAAACTAATTATGACCTGTGATGGCCCTTTTTAGACTGTAACACGTGTGACTTGGAATATTGTTGTGGAAACTGGTAAGTTAAACTGAATTTCTCTAGTAAAAACGGCCCGATGCTTTTCGAGGGGCCTCTTTATTTCATTGAAAATTTGAAGTGTTGTTATGGAAGTGTGGTTGAAATAAAATATATTAAATTTATCACTTCGAACATGTCCTAGATCTGTCTCACCAACACTTTATAGGTGGCGTCACCACTTCCATATGCGTAACGGTCCTGCACGTTGGATAAAATAAAATGCGGTGAGAGGGAGAGTGAAGGGGCGGGTGGGATTAACCTTTACTCCATAAAAAATAGTAGGGTATTTGGAATTAAAGGAGCCAATTCGCGAGATAAAATAAAAGGCCTCACATCATCCACAGTCTTCGACATTGTAAACAGCTAACAGAAATACGGACCAGATCGTTCACATACACCCCCCCCCCTCCGTCTCATTTACAGCTAAAAGCCTAGATCGTTCACATACAAACCCCGTCTCATTTATACAGCTAACAGAAAAATGGCCGTTTGCCGAATATATTTGAATAAAATCATATATTATACAGCTTCACATATTTTAGGGTGTTTACATCCCTGACAAATTGTTTGTTGTGCGGGCCAGTGGCGGCATAACAGTGGTGCATTAATTTGGTCTGTCCTCTGTTTGCCCCCCCCCCACCCAATAATTTGTGATACGTGTTTGTGATACGTTTCGGTAATCAATACCTTCTACGGTCAATAAATCCCACATCCCCACTCAGTCATAGACTTACATGTTGTAGAGCATTTCCGACAGTCTATTTTTCAAAATTTTCTTGGAGAGGTCCCAATGGACTCGCTACTTTGGCGCTCACAAGGGGAATTCGTTGAGGTTCGCAAACCCGTTGGTTTTGTTCTCTAGTCGGATAAGCTAGTGATCAGGCGACGGACGATATCTGGTCGGATCTATTTATCTCGACGATCGGTGCCTGACTGAATACTGTCAGACAGCATTTCCGGCAGTCGCTCGTGAGTGGGCTTGGTCGAGATTCGTAAGTCCTCAACAATCAGTGCCTGAAATACTGCCAGACTGCATTTCCGGCAACCTGTTTTTCAAAATTTTCTGGGGGAGGCCCCCCTACCCCTAGTTGAAGCTCGTGCCTTTGCCCCCTTAACCTTGGAATTTGCCCCAGCTTTGCCCCTCCAATCACCGACGGCTGGCGCCGCCACTGGTGCGGGCGTCTTAGATGTTGACAATACTCACAGGGGCGGATCCGGGAATTATTGCAGCAGGGGGTTTGCCAGGTTTCTGAAACAATATATCTTTTAAGAGGCGGGCGGGGGGGGGGGGTCTGCCCGATCACTTTGAAGCATATCTGGTGTAACCAGGGGTCACTTTGACAAAGCACAGAAACTGTGATTTTACATAAAAACATACTAAACACATGTATTTACTACGCTACGTCTCTCAATTGATGGGGGGTTGGATGGCTGAATGGTTAGCGTGCGCGCGCTGTATCATAAAGTCTGTCATTGAGTCAACTGGCGTGGTTTTGAATCCCCGGTTGTACGTGGCAAGGAGTAGGGTCGCCTGTCCAACCTCGTGGGTTTTCTCCGGGTCCTCCGGTTTCCTCCCACTGCTAAAGACCCCTACGCGCAAGCGAATTATTGAAATAAAATTAAACCATATGTTAGTCCCGAAATGACCTAGTTTGTGTCGAGTGGACGTTAAACCCCTCCTCTCTCTCTCTCTCTCTCTCTCTCTCTCTTTCTCTATTGATATGCAATAAAAACAGTTCTATATGATTTTGATAGGAAACTCATCATATGAAATGAAATGGGGTTTAACGTCCTACTGTTAGTGATTTGGCTAATGATCCCGAGAAAGTTCATCGGGATTTTCCGGTGTGCCCCCCCCCCCTTGTCAGTGGCGCAGGACGGAGGGCCTGGCAAGAGACAACGTATAGTCGTTCGGATAGGACGAAAAACCGAGGTCCCGTGTACACAATAGCGTGCACATAAAAGTGCCCGTCTTCCATAGCCCAGCCGGTGCAAAAAAAGTTGAACGTTAAACCCCATTTCATTTCATTTTCGTACGATACCCAAATATTCAGAACAAAACTAAAATAGAAAAAAAATAATGTAAAATCCATCAAGATACTAAATATGGGACAGTCGCGAAATGTCAATACTTGCGTCCAAACGTCTAGTCCGGGGATAGATCTCGACCCACCCATCCGTGGCGTCCGAGAAAGAAAATATTGACATGTTTCAGTTCATGATTAACATTTCAATTATTATTTTCTATCCGATCCACGGTGTCGTTCAACCCATAAGGTCTGTCATTGAGGCAACTGGCGTGGTTTCGATTCCCCGGTTGTACGTGACAACGAGTAGGATCGCCTTTCCAACCTCGTGGGTTTTCTCCGGGTTCCCCAGTTTCTTTTGATTCCCTACGAGCAGGCGAATTATTGAAATTAAATTAAACCATATTGTTAGTTTCAAAATGACCTAGTTTGTGTAGAGTTGACGTTACCCCCCCCCCCCTCTCTCTCTCTCTCTCTCCCTCCCCCTCTCTCTCTGTCTCTTTGTCCCGCTCTCCCTTTAAAATGCACGACACTAAAATATGCAGTACAAAACTAAAATATTACACAGTTAAATTATGAAATTCATCATTTGAATAGCGTTAGGAATTTCGATCGATTTGTTTTGCACAGCAGTTATAGTCATTTCTGTATAACATTTAAAACTGTCGGAAACAAAATCAGAAACTGCAGAATGCTACAGATCAAAAAGGAATTTCGGTCGATTTTTTTTGCACAGCAGTTATAGTCATTTCTGTATAAACATTAATACAACGACACCTGTTCATATAATGTTGACATAAAATTGAATTACAACTTGTAAACTAGGTGCGAAATTGCCAATTTACACTTTAATATTGATATACATTTTAGGGGGAGAGGCCAAGTAGAAATGAATTGAAATGTTATGGGGTTTAACGTCCTACTTTTCGACTCCATTCGGTCTAATGAAGACAGATATACGTCAGACAATTTATGTTTGGTGACGTAAAGTGGAAATTTATACTTCTCTAAATCTGGGTATGTCCTCTAATCTAGACATGTCCTAATCTGTGTCCTCCAATCTAGACATGTCTTCTCATATGTGTCCTGTTATATATCGTCTAATCTAGACATGTCTTCTCATATGTGTCCTGTGATATATCGTCTAATCTAGATATGTCTTCTAATCTGTGTCCTCTACTCCAGACATATGCGTCCTGTAATATATCGTCTAATCTAGATATGCCTTCTAATATGTGTCCGGTAATCTACATATGTCATGTAATCTGGATAGGTGTTCTGATCTAGATATGTCTTCTAATCTGGATATGTCCTCTAATCTAGATGTCTTCTAATCTGTGTTCTGTAATCTAGATATGTCTTCTAATCTAGATATGTCTTCGAATCTAGATATGTCTTCTAATCTAGATATGTCCTCTAATCTAGATGTCTTCTAATCTGTGTTCTGTAATCTAGATATGTCTTCTAATCTAGATATGTCTTCGAATCTAGATATGTCTTCTAATCTAGATATGTCCTCTAATCTAGATGTCTTCTGATCTGTGTTCTGTAATCTAGATATGTCTTCTAATCTGTGTTCTGTAATCTAGATATGTCTTCTAATCTAGATATGTCTTCTAATCTAGATATGTCTTCTAATCTAGATATGTCCTCTTATCTAGATGTCTTCTAATCTGTGTTCTGTAATCTAGATATGTCTTCTAATCTAGATATGTCTTCTAATCTAGATATGTCTTCTAATCTAGATATGTCCTCTTATCTAGATGTCTTCTGATCTGTGTTCTGTAATCTAGATATGACCTGTAATCTAGCTATGTCCTGTAACCTGAATATGTCCTGTAAACTGAATATGTCCTCTAATCTGGATATGTCCTCTAATCTAGATATGTCCTCTCATCAACGGTTACTTAATACACATTCTTTGTTAGCTTTATTGCTTAATTTATTAATGTCTTCTTTTTTCTATCTTTCAGATTCCGTGACGCCGCCAACACTATGCATAGGTACATTAAACACTGTTTGATAATCGGCCTTTGGTTATTTTTACTCGCTTTTTGTTTAAAGTTTATCCATATACATGAAATCGAGGATGGGCGACTTTATTTTATCTGCAGCATTCTGCAGTTTCTGATTTTGTTTCCGATAGTTTTAAATGTGACAGGTCTGTTCGGATTGCTCTTCATCAACTGTTACCCAGATAAACCGGTACTGAAAAGGTCCTCAAAATACTTACCTTTTGAGACCTTCATGTGTTTCCGTGTTGTAACTCGTGGACTCTATCCGCAACTCGTTAAAACAAGTTTGCAGCGGAATATAGACATATGTATGAAATTAGGACTGTCGAATTATGTATTTGAAGTAGTCACCGATGAATTCATTGGAATAAAAGAAAGTCTAAACGTGCGGGAAGTGGTTGTACCGGAGAATTATCAAACCAAACATGGATCTCGATATAAAGCACGTGCTTTACAATATTGTTTAGAAGAAGGAGTAAATATATTGAGTGATAATGATTGGATAATACATTTAGATGAAGAAACGTTAATGACTGAAAGCAGTTTAATTGGTGTGATTAATTTTATAAATGATGGTCAATACGAATTTGGTCAAGGTGTCATTACCTACGCTAACGAGGAAATTGTTTGTTGGATAACGACATTGGCCGATTGTATACGAGTTGGTATTGATTATGGACTGATAAGATTTAGTTTAGGACAATTACACCGTCCAATTTTCAATTGGAAGGGGTCATTCATTGTCGCCAATGCCGGGGCAGAAAAAAGCGTCTCTTTTGATTTTGGACTTGAAGGCAGCATTACCGAAGATTGTTATTTCGGAATGAAAGCCTGGGAAATGGGATACAGATTTAACTTTATCGAAGGCGAGATGTGGGAGAAGAGTACTTTTTCAGTCATGGATTATATACGACAGCGAAGGCGGTGGTTTCTGGGAATCTCAAAGGTGTTTTTAAGTAATAATATAAAACTACCCTACAGGACAGGATTATTTTTTCTTCTAACAAGTCAGTTATCAGTGCCCTTTCTCACAGCGAGTGCCTTAATTGGTATACCTAAGAACTCACAATTGCGCATCGTATTTGTTGTTCAAACCGCAATCTTCATGTTCATTTTCATAGTTGGTGTGATGAAATCCTTTCAACATCACCGATGTAAATGGTGGCTACCTCTCTTCGCCTTTTTCATAGCGTTCCCAATGAGCGTAGTGTTATCGGTGCTTGAAACTTCGGGTACATATTGGGCTGTTACCAGATGGTCTCAAGTCGGCTTTCATATAGTCAACAAAAATATCTCACCAGTAAACAATCGTGAAATTAGAATTATATAATTTGATTAAAATACAGATCTTATTTCGTTTCGTTTTTTAGTTCAAAATTTTGTTTCACTTGTCTTTACTACACTAGGATCTGGAAGAGTTGTTGTCATTGACGTGTTCTGAATGATGTGAGCTATTAGCCAATGAAACGGTCTGTTACGGCGAGCTTTAGGCGTGTTTTGCACGGAACTGTGGGTAATCCACTAGTAACATCAATGCTGATTGGTTAATCAAATGTCTGACGTCATAGGTCAATATCCGCTCGTATGACCTCTGACGCGACGTATCGCTACAACCGGTCAGATCTTCATGTAGTGTAGGCCATCGAAAGTTTTTTTTTAAAAAAAAAACGAAACGAAATGTAGATCTGTATTTGAATCAGATTGAGTGCCGACTGAAGTCTAGGGACTCGAGATCTAGGGGGCCTTCGACCAAGATCTATAAAATTTCTGACATTGCCATAAGCCTTCCCGTCTTCATTAGCCCAATCAGTACTGAACAATAAGACGTTAAACCCCCTTTTCATTTCATTCCATGACCTTTTATTACACGCACTGTAGTCTTAAACACCCGCCACTATAGATGGTCTACTCTTACTTGGAATTCCAACTATCACAGCTTCTTTTCCGTACATGCCAAGGTGTACACGATCCCACAGGGTTCCTTGACAAAGGGAAACCTTACTCGGATAGCTGGTTCGATCCCAGTGTTGGCCGGTAAAGTTCTTCGGGAGTTTTTGGTGTTGTATCCCCTTGACAGTGGTGCATGATGGGGCGTCTGACAAGGAGAGCTATCTAGTCGTTCGGATGGGACAAATAACCGAGGTTCCGTGTACACATTGGCGGGCACGTAAAAGATCCCTTGACCCTTAGATTTTGATATAACAGTCGGAGCTGAACAAAAGGGCGTTAAACCTCATCTCATTTTATTTATATAATTATTTAGGTAGTTAGATGTGCTTTTTTCATTATTAGAGACTAGTTTCTAGTTTTTATATCATATTATGTTAATTTATGTTCCATAAACATCTAGTTATGTTAATCTATGATCCATAAACATCTATGATCCATAAACATCTGTGTTCCATAAATCTTTTGTTATAACATTAAATAAATAAATAAATTTTATTCGTACACTAAGTACAATAAAAATGAAAAATAAATACATATAAATATATACAAGTTCTCAATTAATACAGAGTTGATTAATTATTTCATTTAAGTTTATATATTCAGATAGTGAACAATCTCTTAAATCTACGTATTCTCTTATAGCATTTCCTATTCTCTTATCATTTTGCTTCCAGGAACTTTTATCGTGACATTCTATTTTATTTACAATATTTAACAATGACTTACTTGTATGATAAGTAATTGATATTATTGCACATAGTAGACTGACTTCCCAACCACGCAGTACGTCAACATATATGAATACATAAGTTACTACTATGTATTATACTATGATAAAACTTAATAAAACGTTTATGGAACTGGGTTTCAATTGAAACATCCTGACATATAATATTCAATAAACTATTATGGGTTCTTGGGGAAATGTTGAATACTTTCCTAACCCGTTTTCTCCAGGCTACATAAAAACTCTCTAATGACTTTTGTGAGAAATCCCATAGTTGGCTCCCATACAGGGGCATACAATAAGTTTTAAATAATTTATATTGAATAGTTTACTTTGTCTGCACCTTCTCAGAAAATGATCGATATAGTATTGGAGAGAGTACTCCCCCTTGTTAATCTACATTCATATACGTTCCATAATCCTCTTAGTCCGGGAGCTAGGTGGGTTTTGTTCAACATGGAAGGTGCGGAAGGTTTGGCATGCTAGTGGTGTATTGCTGGGTTAGGAGACCCCAGAAACCCAATTCTTAAGTTGCGCCAGTGGTGGGTGTGGTAGGAGGAGCCACCCATAGTACCCCCCAAATGGGTTTATTCAACATGGAAGGTGCAAGTTCCACTTCAATGGCATTTGATAGAGGAATGTGCCCTGAATTAGGAAATGTAACTTAAGAATGGGATTTTTGGTGGAAAGGCCACTTAAGAAGAGGTCAAAGGTCACTAATTAGCAATTTTTCGATTTTACCGAAAACGATTTTTCCATTATCTCGTGATCTATTCCAAGTATATTGCACAAAACTACATGGACATTTTTGACACTGTTAGGAGCAAAAATATGAGACATAAAATAATGAAGTTTTAGCTAAAAGTATGTCATAATCTCAAAAATAACGAAAATATCACTCGACCCCCAATCGGTAATTAAAATGTTAATCAACATGAAAGGTGCGAGTGAGAAACCAAGCCTAAATTGTACGGAATGATATCAGAAATCATTATCATCAACTTAAGAATCAAATTTCTGGTGGTCAGTGTACTTAAGAAGAGAATAATGCTGGTTTGCACCGAATGACCCTAATTAGAAATTTAATTAGCATGAAAGGTGCGACATTGGAACAAGGTGTAAAATGTAGGGACTGATTATAGGATTCACACCCACTAACTTAAGAATGAATATTTAGGTGGTAAATGAACTTTAGAACAGCAGATGCGACCAATAACCTTAACAAATCAGTGACAAGCAGTGCAATATACCCACAATGCTATGTTTCCACTTGATCTCTGATAGTAACACTGATTAATTACCACCCACTTCCTTCATACTAAGAGTCATTTAAAACATAGATCTATGTCATGTTATTGCAGATATCAATCAAGACCTAATCAACCAGAATCCAACTTAGGAAAGGCAACTGTCTTCATCAGAGGAAGCAGTGTCAAAGTCATCATCAGAGGTATCCTGATCAGATTGCTCAATGTCCTCTTCAACAAATGACTCCCGGAGTTCAGGACCATTAAAACGCCTGATTTCATTCTGTCCTTCTCTCAACTATCTTCTGGCGATGGGTGCTGGGTAATTCCTGATTTATCAGCGCTTCCCGACATCTTTGCGACAAAAGATGCCCCTTTTGATTTGTAGTGACACTTGTGACACTTCTGAATCGCTATCATCGATGCCCTTTAGTTTCTCCAGAAGATTTTTACATCTTGCCTTTGGCTCATTGCGTCTTCTCAAACACGATGTAGCGATATCATTCACCGTGCATATGTATGGGGCTAAGCGACAAGAAATCTCCTCACTCAACAAGCATCGCTACACCGTGTTTGAGAAGACGTAATGGGTCTAAGGCAAGATGTAAAAAACTTCTGGAGAAACTGAAAAGGGCATCAATGGTAGTATGATTCCTCCCTGCGAATCAAAAGTGTCACTACAGATGACAAGGGCATTTTTGGTCGCAGATATATGAGGGGACGCTGATAAATCAGGAATTAACCAGCACCCATCGCCAGAAGATGTTTGGGAGTTCAGGGAAAGACAGTATGAAATCTTATGGTTTAATGGTCCTGAACTATTGGGGTCATTGGTTGAGGAAGACATTGAGGAATTAGGAATCCGATGATGCTTAGTTTGATGGAGATGGTTGCCTCTCCTAAGTTAGGTTCTGGTTGATTGGGTATTGATTGATATCTGCAATAACATGACATAGATCTATGTTTTAAATGACTCTTAGTATGAAGGAAGTGGGTGGTAATTAATCAGTGTTACTATCAGAGATCAAGTGGAAACATAGCATTGTGGGCATATTGCACTGCTTGCCACTGATTTTTTAAGGTTATTGGTCACATCTGTTGTTCTTAAGTTCATTTACCACCTAAATATTCATTCGTAAGTTAGTGGTTGTGAATCCTATAATCAGTCCCTACATTTTACACCTTGTTCCAATGTCGCACCTTTCATGTTAATTAAATTTCTAATTGGGGGTCATTCGGTTCAAACCAGCATTATTCTCTTCTTAAATACACTGGCCACCAGAAATTTCATTCTTAAGTTGATGATAATGATTTCTGATATCATTCCGTACAATTTAGGCTTAGGCTTCCTCAATCATTCCGTACAATTTAGGCTTGGTTTCTCACTCGCACCTTTCATGTTGATTAACATTTTAATTACCGATGGGGGTCGAGTGATATTTTCGTCATTGTTTGAGATTATGTCATACTTTTAGCTAAAACTTCATTAATTTTATGTCTCATATTTTTGCTCCTAGCAGTATCAAAAATGTCCATGTAGTTTTGTGCAATATACTTGGGGAATAGATCACGAGATAATGTAAAAATCATTTTCAGTAAAATCGAAAAATAGCTAATTAGTGACCTTTGACCTCTTCTTAAGTGGCTTTTCCACCAAAAATCCTATTCTTAAGTTATATTTCCGAATTCAGGGCACATTCCTCTATCAAATGCCATTGAAGTGGAACTTGCACCTTCTATGTTGAATAAACCCATTTTGGGGGGTACTATGGGAAGCTCTCCCTACCACACTGGCGCAACTTAAGAATTGGGTTTCTGGGGTCTCCTAACACAGCCATACACCACTAGCATGCCAAACCTTCCGCACCTTCCATGTTGAACAAAACCCACCTAGCTCCCGGACTATCTAGTTATATTATATTACATTCATATAAGTTCCATAAACCTCTAGTTATATTACATTACATTCATATTAGTTCCATAAACCTCTAGTTATATTGTATCCGTGTACCATAAACATCTAGTTATGTATGGTTTAATGGTCGAGAGCGAGACATTCAGTAATATCTTGATACCGCACGAGGCGTTAATAAGACGAGTGTTGTTTCAATATATTACCCAATGTCTTTAGCTCGAGACCACTAAACAACTTAAAATACAGACACTAATGGCACGTGCTTTTCAATGAAATACGTCACACGAGTCCAATTTATCATCTAGTATAGATAATGTACGATTGGCAAGTTGCTGGTACATTATTGGAAATAATGGTACGCCAACACCCAAGGATGACGTCACATCTGTATTTTAAATAATATTAAAGAGCTAAATCTGCCCACTGCATGTATACTCAGCCAAATTAAAAACTTGACACTCGGGATTTTTGGGACTAGATTTTTAATATTTGGTTTAAGGCAACTATTTTAGTGTTATGTTGTGCACAGACGACCTTGACATCAACAGAAAGCAAGAATACGCCTCGCCGAATGTCCTTGACATTGATAACGTTCGTGATGTCACAGTACCCCCCAAAATGAAATTCACAGACTTAGAGAACAATCGGAATAAAGTGTTTAGTAACGGTTGTGGCCTCCTCTAGCGTCTCGTACTGCCACACAACGTCTTCTCATGGATCTCAGAACATCAGTAAACACTACCCGAGGAAGACGTCGTCACTGCTCAGCAAGAGCATGTTGAAGGTCCTGCAACGTCAGTGGTGGATTCACTTGCTGACGAACACGTCGACCCAGTTCGTCCCAGATGTGTTCAACAGGATTACCCTTCCACCAAACATCTCTCTATTTGTGGAGGTTGCAGTGACAAATCTGTTTCTAAGATGACGTAATTGTATTGCTTGATCTTCCTTGAGTGACGTCACACGTGGCGCTCCCGCCCTTGGGCGCTCGGCAATAGTTTAAGTTTGAAGCACTCTCATTCTAAGATTAATTATTGTCTGGCGTGAACAATTAAAGGCTCTTGCAACAGTGACCACAGACTGACCAGCATAGGGCCTACCTATAGCACGTAGACGTTCTACATTTGAAAGGCGCGGCATTTTCTAACAAAGATGAAAATAACAATTTTAATTTGTTTTTCCAGTTGAAGTTACGTGTGCGTGTTCAGTTTAAGCAAACTTGCATCGATTGACCTCACGAGTTTGTGTTTGCACGAGTTTTTCAGGTTTTTCATCTTTATATGCTCAAAAGTCACGTGATCCACGTGACTTTACAATTTTATGAAATTAAAGGCTTCTTACTACTTACTATCGTTAGAAACACTTTAAAATTTATTTGACTTACCAGAAAAAAAATTTTGTTGAAATTCATCAGTGTCAAGTTTTTAATTTGGCTGAGTATATTTTTCTGACCTCAAATATGGTATATATTATTTACACTCTAGTTTAAACATTCATTATGCAAGAGATAAATCTGTCTATTACAGGTCTTTCTTTAGGTCTGAAATGTTATATAAACTATTAATTAGACATTAATTAACCTATCCAGACAATAATCAACTCTAGATGGCATCGCTAGTCTGCGATCTTTGGTGGATTGTGAGCCGATTTACTGCATAAATTTCCTTCACGATTTAATGATTAAATGGATTGCTTAAATTTATTTTAGGAAATCTAATATAAGTATGGCTGAACCTAACTGCATTGCAATATTTGTTTGGGGTCACTCCACTTTTGATATTAACTTGCTCCCATTCCTAAAACTGATTTTGAGTAGCCTATAGGTGACAAACATGGCTTCTAAAAATAGATTTGATATAGTTAAGTAACTTACAATGTATACAATTCTCGCTAGACATTTCTGAACCAGTTCCTCACAAATGTGCGCGTTGTATCATTAGGTCTGCCATTGAGTCAACTGGCGTAGTTTCGATTCCCGGGTGTACGTGACAAGGAGTAGGGCCGCCTGTCCAACCTCGTGGGTTGTCTCCGGGTCCTCCGCCCCCCCCCCCCCCCACTGCTAAAGACCACTACGCGCAAGCAAATTATTGAAATAAAATTGAACCATATGTTAGTCCCGAAATTACCTGGTTTATGTCGAGTGGACGTTAAACCCCATTTTTCCCTCTCTCTCATCTTGGGGGGTCACTTCACAAGGGAAACCAGACCTTGGTTCGTCTTCAGTGCTTATCCTGGCCCTTGTAGACCCAATACACCATTGTCATGGAAATATGTCAATAGGTCAATCAATGTGAGGCAGCTAGCAATCGATCAGAAATACATATTTATCTGTAGTGTTTATGGCCGTAAAAGTCCTACTATTCTTCTCCGACTGGGATATTGAAGACGGGCATACGCCATACAGTGTGCTATGCAGTGTGCCGACAGTGGCGCTACCCTTATTTCGAATTCCAACTGTCAAGGGCTCTTAAACGTGCCCGCTAATGTGTTTACGGGACCTTGGATTTTCGTCCCATCTGAACGGCTAGACACTGTCTTTGTCAGGCTCCAGTCCTACACCCAATGACAAGAGGGAATCACACCGGACAATCCCGATGAAGTTCGGACAATCCCGATGAAGTTACTCGACCAATAACAAAGCAGAATCCGGATGAACATTGCGGGCGGCCACAACAATTAATGTAACCAGGAATTAATGATATGTTTCCACTTCCGGTAAGAATGGATATTTTTTTTTAAATGTTATATACATATACTGATCACACGAATAAGCATACTATTATGTGAAAGTTCCACGTGCTTTTTCGGTGTGGGTTCCCCTTGCCAGTGCTAGATGACGGAAGAAATGGTAAGGACATTGTTTAGTTGTTTGGATGGGGCGAAAAACCGAGGTCCCATGTACACACTGGCGTGCACGTAAATAAAACCTTGACAGAGGGAATTCGAAATAAGAGTAGGCTCCAGCGTCTCTGTCCGGGCTAATTTCCCTCACAGCACACTGTATGGCGGAGCCGCATAGGCCGTAGCGCCGCTGTCCGAGCAAAATTCCCTCATAGCACACTGTATGGCGTATGCCCGTCTTCGGTGTAATAAAGTAGGACGTTACACCCCATTCCATTTTATTTTAATATTTAGTAAAACCACCTTTAGAGTTATTGGACTTGATTACTCTCTCAAAGGCGGGTCCAGGAATTTTTGCACGAGGGGGCTTGCCAGGTTTCTGTTAAGGAAATTTGACAGTTGACAATGCATGATGTCATCATCGTCTCCAAATTACGTACGCATACATACACACCGAACTTTTTAAAGAGAGAAATCCGACATTCCGTTTGACGTCAATTTTTATTATGCATTAATAGGATCACATTGTGATTCAGTTTCATTGATGCTACGCATTAATTGTGATATCACATATGTCTATATCATTATCTCGTGCTTTGAATGCCAATCCCATCCCACCATCTGATGATAAAGGATAAAGCACACAACCGTTACAATTTTTTTTTATTTAGAGCAAGGGTGGGACCCCCCTATGCACACACCACCCCCTAGATCCGCCCTTACTTCTAAAGTCTATTGGAAATCATCCAGCCCCATGACAACAGGAACATTATTTCACATTTTTATTGTTGTTGATATTGATATTAGTATTTTTTAAGTTTGTACAACAGCCGGTGTCATACGTTCATGTTCATATACAGAAGTTAATAAGTTTATCGGCAGTATAGGCCTACACGTGGATTGTCTCGTTTTATTTGTCTTTCGGGTATTCGTAAAGATTAGTTTTGATGGCGAGCCTTTAGTTACATGTGATGAGTAATTCAAAACAATAATGGACCAAATATGACTGCGTAAAGTACGACACGAGTTTGATTCACTGTTTGAAAGGCCTCTAAACCGGCTTATATTACTTATTGGAAAACTAATTATGACCTGTCCTGTGAAGGCCATTTTTAGACTGTAACACGTGTGACTTGGAATACTGTTCGAGAAACTGGTAAGTTAAACTGAATTTCTCTAGTAAAAACGGTCCGATGCTTTCGAGGGGCCTCTTTATTTCATTGAAAATTTGAAGTGTTGTTATGGAAGTGTGGTCGAAATAAAATATTAAATTTATCACTTCGAACATGTCCTAGTCCTGTCTCACCAACACTTTGTAGGTGGCGTCACCACTTCCATATGAGTAACGGTCCTGCACGTTAAATAAAATAAAAGGCCTCACATCATCCACAGTCTTCGACATTGTAAACACGACTTCTTGGTCAATGTACATCAACAGCTAACAGAAAGAGAGGTTCCCAGGCAACAAAACATACGCCCACAGCAGCTAAATCGTCCGGGCGATGGACAAGAGTTGTCGTATATTTATTCTTTTGTAGGTAATTAGGGGGCATTTAATAGACAATTTGAGGGTTCACAAGGTTCTAAAAACTAAAATATGGGCTGTAACTCTGGAAGTAATCTACAGAAATTGTTGAAATTCGACAGGCTTTTTCGTTTGACTAATTCAAATAATACATCAATTTCATACAGATCGGATGATAACTTTTGTCGTTCGTACGTTCACAAGGTTCAACAAAGTAAAACAAGGCCCATAACTCTAGAAGTAATTGACCGAAATTGCTGACATTCAATAGGCTTCTTCATTTCACTAATTTAAATGATGTATATGAATTTCATACAGATTGGGTGATAACTTTGGTTGTTCAAGCGTTCACAAGATTGATTCAACAATGTGAAACAAGGGCCATAACTCTAGATGTAATTAACGGAAATTTGCTGAAACTCAATAGGCTTGTTCGTTTTACTAATTTAAACGATACCTATAAATGTCATACAGATCGGATAATAACTTTTGTCGTTAAAGCATTCACAAGGTACAACAAAGTGAAACAAGGGCCATAACTCACAGTGTAATTAACGGAAATTGCTGAAATTCAATAGGCATCCTCGTTGCACTAATTTAAATGATGCAATTTCAAACAGATCGGATGATAACTGTTGTCATTGGAGCGTTCACAAGATTCAACAAAGTGAAACAAGGGCCATAACTCTAGACGTAATTAATGGAAATTGCTGAAATTCAATAAGCTTTTTTGTTTTACTAATCTATGGTGCATATACATTTCATACAGATCGGATAATAACTTTTGTCGTTAGAGCATTCACAAGGAACAACAAAGTTAAACAAGGGCCATAACTCACGGCGTAATTAACGGAAGTTGCTGAAATTCAATAGGATACTTCGTTTCACTAATTTAAATGATGCATATCCATTTCAAACAGATCAAATGATAACTGTTGTCATTAGAGCGTTCACAAGATTCAACAAAGTGAAACAAGGGCCATAACTCTAGATGTAATTAACGGAATTTGCTGAAATTCAATAGGCTTCTTTGTTTACTAATTTAAATGATGCATATAAATTTCATACAGATCGGTTGATAACTTTTGTCGTTAGAGTGTTCACAAGGTGCAACAAGGTGAAACAAGGCCATAACTCCAGAAGAAATTAACGGAAATTATTGAAATTAAATAGGCTTCTTCATCTCACTAATGCAAACAACATATATCAATTTCAAAACAATCAGATGATAAATGTAGTCTGTAGAGTGTTCACAAGAAATTCTGGACAACGGACGACGGACAGACGGACGGACGGGGGCGACGGCAATATACGGCCACATTTCCATGTGGGCGTATAAAAACGGACCAGATCGTTCAAATGCAACCCCCCGTCTCATTTACAGCTAACAGCCTAGATCGTTCACATACAATCCCCGTCTAATTTACAGCTAACAGAAAAATGGCCGTTTGTCGAATATAATTTAATAAATGTTTGGTTCATATATTATACAGCTCCACATATTTTAGGGTGTTTACATACCTGACAAATTGTTTGTTATACGGGCGTCTTAGATGTTGACAATACTCACAGGGGTGAATCCGGGAATTATTGCAGGAGGGGGTTGGCCAGGTTCCTGAAACAATAAATCTTTGAAGAGGCGGGGGAGGGGGGGTCTGCCCGATCACTTTGAAGCATATCTGGTGTAACCAAGGGTCACTTGGACAAAACACAGAAACTGTTTAACGTTCAACTGTTAATGATTGGGCTAATGATCCCGACAAAGTTCATCGAGATTTTCCAGTGTGGTCCATCCTTGTCAGTGGCGTAGGACGGAGGGCTGGCCAGGGACAACGTACTGTCGTTCGGATAGGACGAAAAACCGAGGTCCCGTGTACACAATAGCGTGCACATAAAAGTGCCCGTCTTCCATAGCCCAGCCGGTGTAAAAAAAAAAGGTGGACGTTAAACCCCATTTCATTTCATTTTCGTACGATGCCCAAATATTCAGAACAAAACTAAAATAGAAAAAAAAATGTAAAATCCATCAAGATACTAAATGTGGGACAGTCGCGAAATGTCAATACTTGCGTCCAAACGTATAGCCCGGGGATAGATCTCGACCCACCCATCCGTGGCGTGCGAGAAAGAAAATACGTTTCAGTTCATGATTAACATTTCATTTATTATCCGATTCACGTTGTCGTTTAACCCATAAGGTCTGTCATTGAGGCAACTGGCGTGGTGTCGATTCCTCGGTTGTACGTGACAAGGAGTAGGATCGCCTGTCCATCCTCGTGGGTTTTCTCCGGGTCCCCCAGTTTCCTCTGATTGCTTAAGACCCCTACGAGCAGGCGAATTATTGAAATTAAATTAAACCATATGTTAGTTCCAAAATGACCTAGTTTGTGTAGAGTTGACGTTACCCCCCCCCCTCCTCTCTCTTTCTCTCTCTAAAATGTACGACACTAAAATATGCAGTGCAAAACTAAAATTGTGAAATTCATCATTTGAATAGCGTTAGAATATTTGATTGATTTTTTTTTTTGCACAGCAGTTATACTCATTTCTGTATAAACATTAATAAAATGACACCTGTTCATATAATATTGACATAAAATTGAATTACAGCTATTAAATTAGGTGCGAAATTGCCAGTTTACACTTTAATATTGATATACATTTTAGGGGGAGAGGCTAAGTAGAAATGAAATGAAATGTTAGGGGGTTTAACGTCCTTCTTTTGGACTCTATGTGGTCTAATGAAGACAGACATTATGTCAGACAATTTATGTTTGGTGACTTAGAAGTGGAAATTTATACTTCTCCAAATCTGGATGTGTCCTTTAAGCTAGACATGTCCTCTAATCTAGATATGTCCTCTAATCTAGACATGTCTTCAATATGTGTCCTGTAATATATCGTCTAATCTAGATATGTCCTCTAATCTAGATATGTCCTGTAATCTAGATATGTCCTCTAATCTAGATATGTCCTCTAATCTAGACATGTCTTCAATATGTGTCCTGTAATATATCGTCTAATCTAGATATGTCCTCTAATCTGGATATGTCCTCTAATCTGGATATGTCCTCTAATCTAGATATGTCCTCTAATCTGGATATGTCCTCTAATCTAGATATGTCCTCTAATCTAGATATGTCCTCTAATCTAGACATGTCTTCAATATGTGTCCTGTAATATATCGTCTAATCTAGATATGTCCTCTAATCTGGATATGTCCTCTAATCTGGATATGTCCTCTAATCTAGATATGTCCTCTAATCTGGATATGTCCTCTAATCTAGATATGTCCTCTAATCTGGATATGTCCTCTAATCTAGATATGTCCTACAATCTAGATATGTCCTCTAATCTGGATATGTCCTCTAATCTGGATATGTCCTCTAATCTAGATATGTCCTACAATCTAGATATGTCCTCTAATCTGGATATGTCCTACAATCTAGATATGTCCTCTAATCTGGATATGTCCTCTAATCTAGATATGTCCTACAATCTAGATATGTCCTCTAATCTGGATATGTCCTCTAATCTGGATATGTCCTCTAATCTAGATATGTCCTACAATCTAGATATGTCCTCTAATCTGGATATGTCCTCTAATCTGGATATGTCCTCTAATCTAGATATGTCCTACAATCTGGATATATCCACTCATCTAGATGTCTTCTAATCTGTGTCCTGTAATCTAGCTATGACCTGTAATCTAGCTATGTCCTGTAACCTGAAGATGTCCTTTAATCTAGATATGTCTTCCAATCTAGATATGTCTTGTAATCTATATGCGTCCATTAATCTAGATGTCCTCTAATCTAGATATGTGCTCTCATCAACGGTTACTTAATACACATTCTTTGTTAGCTTTATTGCTTAATTTATTAATGTCTTCTTTTTTTATCTTTCAGATTCCGTGACGCGGCCAACACTATGCATAGGTATATTAAACACTGTTCGATTATCGGCCTTTGGTTTTTTGTACTCGCTTTTTGTTTAAAGTTTATCCATATAAATGAAATCGAGGATGGGCGACTTTATTTGATCTGCAGCATTCTGCAGTTTCTGATTTTGTTTCCGACAGTTTTAAATGTGACAGGTCTGTTCGGATTGCTCTTCGTCAACTGTTACCCAGATAAACCGGTACTGAAAAGGTCCTCAAAATACTTACCTTTTGAAACCTTCATGTGCTTCCGTGTTGTAACTCGTGGACTCTATCCGCAACTCGTTAAAACAAGTCTGCAGCGGAATATAGACATATGTATAAAATTAGGACTGTCGAATTATGTATTTGAAGTAGTCACCGATGAATTCATTGGAATAAAAGAAAGTCTAAACGTGCGGGAAGTAGTTGTACCGGAGAATTATCAAACCAAACATGGATCTCGATATAAAGCACGTGCTTTACAATATTGTTTAGAAGAAGGAGTAAATATATTGAGTGATAATGATTGGATAATACATTTAGATGAAGAAACATTAATGACGGAACGCAGTTTAATTGGTGTCATTAATTTTATAAATGACGGTCAATATGAATTTGGTCAAGGTGTCATTACCTACGCTAACGAGGAAATTGTTTGTTGGATAACGACATTGGCCGATTCTGTACGAGTTGGTATTGATTATGGACTGATACGATTTACTTTAGGACAATTACACCGTCCAATTTTCAATTGGAAGGGGTCATTCATTGTCGCCAATGCCGGGGCAGAAAAAAGCGTCTCTTTTGATTTTGGACTTGAAGGCAGCATTACCGAAGATTGTTATTTCGGAATGAAAGCCTGGGAAATGGGATACAGATTTAACTTTATCGAAGGCGAGATGTGGGAGAAGAGTACTTTTTCAGTCATGGATTATATACGACAGCGAAGGCGGTGGTTTCTGGGAATCTCAAAGGTGTTTTTAAGTAATAATATAAAACTACCCTACAGGACAGGGTTATTTTTTCTTTTAATAAGTCAGTTATCAGTGCCCTTTCTCACAGCGAGTGCCTTAACTGGTATACCGAAGAACTCACAATTGCGCATCGTATTTGTTGTTCAAACCGCAATCTTCATGTTCATTTACATAGTTGGTGTGATGAAATCCTTTCAACATCACCGATGTAGATGGTGGCTACCTCTCTTCGCCTTTTTCATAGCGTTCCCAATGAGCGTAGTGTTATCGGTGCTTGAAACTTCGGGTACATATTGGGCTATTACCAGATGGTCTCAAGTCGGCTTTCATATAGTCAACAAAAATATCTCACCGGTAAACAATCGTGAAATTAGAATTACATAATTTGATTAAAATACAGATCTTATTTCGTTTCGTTTTTATGGTTCATAATTTCGTTTTACTTTTCTTTACTACACTAGGATCTGGAAGAGTTGTTGTCATTGACGTGTTCTGAATGATGTGAGCTATTAGCCAATGAAACTGTCTGTTACGGCGAGCTTTAGGCGTGTTTTGCACGGAACTGTGGGTAATCCACTAGTAACATCAATGCTGATTGGTTAATCAAATGTCTGACGTCATAGGTCAATATCCGCTCGTATGACCTCTGACGCGACCTATCGCTACAACCGGTCAGATCTTCATGTAGTAAACGAAACGAAATGTAGATCTGTATTTGAATCAGATTGAGTGCCGACTGAAGTCTAGGGACTCGAGACTAATTTCGGGGGGGGGGGGCAGGACAAAACGCACGAGGATATCACGTACAAGCTGGGAAATGGAGAAACCACGCCACTTGACTCAATGGCATGCTTTATGATCCAACGCGCGCTCGTTAACCATTCGGTCACCAACAAACCCCCAAACCCCGCCACCCCAAGCCTCGGATGAGACGAAGTACCGAGGTCCCGTGTACACATCGGCGGGCACGTAAAAGATACTTTGACCGTTGGATTTCGATATAAGAGTAGACCGTATTGCCGCTGTGCTGGCAAAATTTCATGCCCGTATTCATTCGCCCCGTTGGAGCCGAACAGTAGGGCGTTAAACTCCCATTTTAATTTATTTATTTATATAATTATTTAGGTAGTTAGATGTGCTTTTTTATTATTATAGTTTCTACTTTTTATATCATATTATGTTAGTTAATGTTCCATAAACATCTAGTGATGTTAATCTATGATCCATAAACATAATATATGTTTCATAAACATATGTATTCCATAAATCTTTAGTTATAACATTAATCTATGTTCCATAAACCTCTAGTTATATTATATTACATTCATATAAGTCCCATAAACATCTAATTATATTGTATTACATAAATATAAGTTCCATAAACCTCTAGTTATATTATATTACGTTAATCTATGTTCCATAAACATCTAGTTATATTATATTACATTAATCTATGTTCCATAAACATCTAGTTATATTATATTACATTAATCTATGTTCCATAAACATCTAGTTATATTATATTACATTAATCTATGTTCCATAAACCTCTAGTTATATTGTATCCGTGTTCCATAAACATCTAGTTAGATAGGGTTTAATGGTCGAGAGCGAGACATTAAGTAATATATTGATATTGCATGCGGCGTTAGACGAGTGTTGTTTCAATATATTACGCAATGACTTTAGCTCGAGTCCATTAAACAACTTAAAATACAGACACTATCCCGCACGTGCTTTTCAATGCAATGCGCCACACGAGTCCAATATTTTATCTAGTATAGATGATGTACGATTGGCAAGTTGCCCGTACATTATTGGAAATAATGGTACGCCAACACCAAAGGATGACGTCACATCTGTATTTTAAATAATATTAAAGAGCTAAATCTGCCTACTGCATGTATTTTACTGACCTCAAATATTGTATATATTATTTACACTCTAGTGTAATTAAATTATTTATTATTGTAGCAATGGTAGTACTACTTCCGGCTAAATGATAGCACTACTTCCGGCTAAATTATAGCACTACTTCCGGCCATATTGTAGCACTACTTCCGGCTAAATCGTAGCACTACTTCAGGCTAAATTGTAGCACTACTTCAGGCTAAATGGTAGTATTACTTCAGGCTAATTGGTAGTATTACTTCAGGCTAAATGGTAGTATTACTTCAGGCTAATTGGTAGTATTACTTCAGGCTAAATGGTAGCACTACTTCAGGCTAATTGGTAGAACTACTTCAGGCTAATTGTAGCATTACTTGAGGCTAAATTGTAGCATTACTTCAGGCTAAATTGTAGCACTACTTCAGGCTAATTCTTATCAACACTTCAAATATTCATAACTTACCTCACAACAAAGTAAATGTCACTATAACTATTATAGCGAAAACTGTCAGCTCTTTTTCTAAATCCTACATAATGCATCTTTAATCTGTGTTTCATGAGAATCTATTTATATTTAATTATTTTTATACGCCTACCTTTTAATGTGGACGTATTATGTTGTCACCCCTGTCCGTCCGTCCACGATTTGTTTGTGGACACTCTACAGGTCACAATTTTTATCCGATTTTGATGAAACTTGAAATATAGGTCTATCTTCTAAAGATATCGGTTCCTTTCGATATTGGCATGTATCGGACCTTAACTTCATGGATTATGGCCCCTGATTGTACGAAAAATCACTTTTTTTTAGCTTTTGGCCATTGGCATCTGATATGGATGCATGTTTATAACCCACAGAGCTTGGTTCCTGTCGATATTCGCGCATATCGGATCGTAACTTCCTGAATTATGGTCCTCGATTGTACGAAAAATCGCATTTTTAGCTTGTGGTCCCTCTAAAGGGCACACTTATTATCTTATTTAAAAAAAAGGTTTGAATATATCACCGTAATGTCGATTGATTTTGATTTTCGTGAAAATCGGACCAAAACTGACGGACAAAATGGCTGCCCAACGTACGCATATAGTGCAAAATATATGGTATATCAAGATTGTGGGTCCACTATAGATGTCACAATTTTCATCCGATTTTGATGAAAGTTGAAATACATGTTTATAACCCTAAGATCTTGGTTCCTTTTGATATTCGTGCATACCGGATCGTAACGTCTTGAATTATTGCACTTGATTGTACGCAAAATGTGGACCTTATAGAGGTCATAATTTTTATCCAATTTATAAAAACGTTTGAATATATCACCATCACACCCTAATGATGGTTGAGTTCGAATTTCGTGAAAAAGGGTTGTGGATCCTTTAGAGGCCACAATATTGATGAAACTTGAAATGCATGTTTATAACCCAAAGATCTTGGTTCCTGTCGAAATTCGCGCATATCAGACTTTAACTTCCCGAATTATGGCCCCTGATTGTACGAAAAATCATGTTTTTTTGCTTGTGGATTCTGTAGAGGTCACAATTTTTAATTGATTGTAAAAGTGTTTAAATATATCACCATTCCACCATAATGAAGGTTCAATTTGAATTTAGGGAAAATCGAAACTAAACTGCCTGACAAAATGGCTGCTCTTTCTACGCGAATTGTGTAAAAGCATGTAATACGAAGGTTGTGGACCCTCTAGAGGTCACAATTTTTACCCGATTTTGATGAAACGTAAAATATTTCAGACCATACCTTTCTGGATTATGGACCCTGATTATAAGAAAAAACGCCTTTGTTTTTAGCTTGTTCTCTATCCATCTATTGCAAAATATGGGCGTATCTTGCCTGGAAATGGCTGGGGTTTTTCATGTTTCTGCCAATTTATTTCACTGGTACTTTCACATATTTGTGTATTCTGTATGTTGCTTAATCACGTGTGTTATAAATTACAACCCAATTCTCTGTTCATTTATTTAAACAAATTCACGTTACAGTGTTGGTATTATCTTGTCGTTTCCGGCGTTATACTCGTAAAATCGGGTGAAGAATCGGAAATTGGATTTCAACTCAAACGGATTTTAAATGAATCCAGATGAGGATTCGGGCTTTTCAAACAGATCTTATAAAACACGCCTTAACATCAGCCCTAGCAAACACACCCTAACATTATCTATCAAACAGACCGTAATATCACCCTATCAAACATACTCCAATATCCCCCTATCAAACAGACCCTACCATCACCCCTATCAAACACACCTTAACATCAGCCCTATCAAACACGTCCTACCATCAGTCCTATCAAACACCCTACCATCAACCCTATTAAACACACCCTAACATCAGCCCTATCAAACACAAGCTAACATCAGCCCTCTCAAACACGTCCTACCATCAGTCCTATCAAACACCCTACCATCAACCCTATTAAACACACCCTAACATCACCCCTATAAAACACACCTAACATCAGCCCTATCAAACACACCCTAACATCACCCAATCACACACCTAACATCACCCCTATCAAACACAACCTACCATCACCCCTATCAAACACACCTTAACATCACCCCTATAAAACACACACTAACATCACCCCTATCAAACACACCCTAACATCAGTCCTATCAAACACGCCCTACTATCACCCCTATCAAACACACCTAAACATCACCCCTATAAAACACACCCTAACATCACCCCTATAAAACACACCCTACCATCAGCCCTATCAAACACACCCTAACATCAGCCCTATCAAACACAAGCTAACATCAGCCCTATCAAACACGTCCTACCATCAGTCCTATCAAACACCCTACCATCAACCCTATTAAACACACCCTAACATCACCCCTATAAAACACGCCTAACATCAGCCCTATCAAACACACCCTAACATCACCCAATCACACACCTAACATCAGCCCTATCAAACACAACCTACCATCACCCCTATCAAACACACCTAAACATCACCCCTATAAAACACACCCTAACATCACACCTATAAAACACACCCTAACATCACCCCTATCAAACACACCTTAACATCAGCCCTATCAAACACACCTTAACATCAGTCCTATCAAACACGCCCTAACATCAACCCTATTAAACACACCTTAACATCAGCCCTATCAAACACACCTTAACATCAGTCCTATCAAACATCAGTCCTATCAAACACGCCCTACCATCAACCCTATTAAACACACCTTAACATCAGCCCTATCAAACACATCTTAACATCAGCCCTATCAAACACACCTTAACATCAGTCCTATCAAACACGCCCTACCATCAACCCTATTAAACACACCTTAACATCAGCCCTATCAAACATACCTTAACATCAGTCCTATCAAACACACCCTACCATCACCCCTATCAAACACACCTAAACATCAGCCCTATCAAACACACCCTAACATCAGCCCTATCAAACACGCCTTAAGATCAGCCCTATCAAACACGCCTTAACATCAGCCTTATCAAACACACCTTAACATCAGCCCTATCAAACACACCCTAACATCAGTCCTATCAAACACGCCCTACCATCAACCCTATTAAACACACCCTAACATGACCCAATCACACACCTCACACCAGCCCTATCAAACACAACCTACCATCACCCCTATTAAACACACCTTAACATCAGCCCTATCAAACACACCTTAACATCAGCCCTATCAAACACGCCTTAACATCAGTCCTATCAAACACGCCCTACCATCAACCCTATTAAACACACCCTAACATCACCCAATCACACACCTCACATCAGCCCTATCAAACACAACCTACCATCACCCCTATCAAACACACCTTAACATCACCCCTATTAAACACGCCCTAACATCACCCCTATCAAACACACCTTAACATCACCCCTATAAAACACACCCTAACATCACCCCTATAAAACACACCCTAACATCACCCCTATAAAACACACCCTAACATCACCCCTATCAAACACACCTTAACATCACCCCTATAAAACACACCTTAACATCACCCCTATAAAACACACCCTAACATCACTCCTGTCAAACACACCCTAACATCACCCCTATCAAACACAAGCTAACATCAGTCCTATCAAACACGACCTACCATCAACCCTATCAAACACACCTTAACATCACCCCTATAAAACACACCCTACCATCAACCTATCAACCTATCAAACAAACCCTAACATCACCCTATCAAACACACCCTAACACCAGCCCTATCAAACACCCTAACATCACTTTCCTTACTTCATGTATATATTAAAATCCTGATACGCGGCCTCAAATCATGAATATCCACCAAAACAGGTGATATAAACTTTTTATTCAAACTAAGTATACAGCAGCAAAGTTAGCGGTGATAATTTATATAATTTGATTTTATATTCACTCTGTTATTGGATGCTCTGGTGCGTCGCACCTCTGTCCACCCCCCCCCCTCTGTCCCCACCCCTCTGCCCCCTTCCCTCTGCACGTCACTGACAAAGATTTGTCAAACGGAAGTGGGAAAAGTAAGAATTGCTGTAAATAGACGACCTACATTTAATCATTTATGAAATCAAGGTAGGCCTACCGATTGAATAATTACCAGCCACAGAACTGAAAATAAATAATAAAAATGGTAGCTATGGTAGCAGGTGTTATCATTATAATATTTACAAATGAATCGATTTTATAATATTCTGCGTGGCTATTTTTACGACGAGGCGTAAGAATTATTGATGGACTATTCTTACGACATGGTGGAAGTTCCGGCAGCGCATGCGCAAATTACACAATGTTTTGCAGTTTGCAAGTGGGAATGTCGTAAGAATAGGCAATGCTTTATTTTTACGACGAGATCGTCGTAAAAATAGCCTGTCTCCTATTATTATTGTTGATTTTTACAAGTTTTTTATAGAGCGTACCCGATACATGACCTATATACAGGCCGCCGCAATGTTGGTGGACAACAACACGCCGCCTCTTCGTAATCATGGTAATAGATTTTAGTACCATCCAACATTGATTGTTTTTCAGAGTAAATAAATATAAATACGCCAGAAAATAATTTACATATTTGAAAAGAGCAATAAACGTGCTTTTCAGTGATACGTAATATAATATCTGGAATTTTGTATTAAGACCCGTATTTTTAATTTAAATACCCCTATTCCCGTCAAATAATACGAGTTTCGTGCCACACTTGACCTTCATCGCTTTTCAAGGCATGTAAATATGACCGTCCTGGAAAATTATTTACATATTTGAAAGGGGCAATAAACGTGCTTTTCAGTGATAGGTAACATAATATATTATGTAATTTCGTATTCGATCTATATCAAATCGAGCAATGTAACAGTGCTTCACGTTTGAGGCGAGCGATCGCTTTCGCTCAAATGTCATTTTAGACGGGTTTTTCATCGCTCTTCCGTAGATAAAATCGCTCTCGTCATTTCTTACAAATTTGCCCCCCCCCCCCCAAAAAAAAAAACCAACAAAAAAACAAACCGAACTCCCAGACTGCAAATAAAGCCCAAGTAAACGAATCCTCGAATATCTTCCAATGAAAATTTTATTTGTGGCACCAAAAATAAGTAGCCTATCGCTGAATTCGATACTCGGTTCAGGAATCACGATGGGCCTAAAGTAAAAATGTGCTTGAAATATTTTTGTTGACGTGAAATTATTCTATTAGTTACTTATTGTTTTTGTATAAGCCTAATGGCAAATTATATAGCAACTAGCCTACACACAATATAGACCTACGGTACAACATATTGGTCATTGAGGTTTTCGATCTAAAATTAATTCCAGCCAATAATACTATAAAGTATGCAATATGCAAATAAGATTGTTGGCCTCCGTGCTGTTAGCTAATTTTCCCGCGTTTAGACGGCTCTAACCAATGATAAAATAGTTGGCGACGTATCGGACAGCTTGCATTTTTATGATATTTTCTCTTGATGAAAGATGAATAACAGAAATAATAAAATGATGATTATATCGAATCAGTGAATAATTATGAAACCTTAAATTAAAATTTACAAAAAACAGAAAGAAAATATATCCAGTAATTCAGAAAAGTTTTTCAAACGTTCGATTCATCAGCCTACGTACGGTATCGAGCTTCTCACACGATTTTCTATAATAAGTATGTGTGTGTTTAATTAATGGGTTTGTTAAAAAAGATAAATAAATAAAAATAAAAACTGAATTTACGAAGTCTCGAAATGTCGCGTCAGCAACTAACCTATATAACTTATAATTTTTCACGTCAGACATTATCCATGTACAAGTACACAAACACGATGCAGCTAGTTCGCCTATATAAATAAATATAATGGTAATTTTTTTTTTAAATACTTAACGCCGTAGAAACAGAATTTTATATTATTTCATATAAACAAACACCGTTCTGTCGCTATAAACGTTTTATCTGCCACGATCGAATTCGGATTTTAAATAAACAAATTATTTTATACCGGGTATAGCCTATAAACAAACATGGTTTTGTCGCTATAAACGCGTTATGTCACGGTCGAATTCGGATTTTAATAGAAATTAAATGAAAACTTTAAAATACATAGACAAAATCTTTATTCAACATAAAAATCACATATGACAAAAGCGCAACAATCATAATTCCAACTGCAATCACATAGTAACTATCGGACCACGTGTGTCTGGTTGTCCACCAAGATGGCGGCGGCCAATGTGTGTGACGTCATGTGAATTAACTCTATTAACTTTGAATCTAATCCACTCATTGTAAATCATTGTTCTGATTCTTACTAATCTTAGATTTGAAAAGTAATTTCCATAAACCTTAAAATGGGCCACTTTCAAATGTCAAAGTCTGAAAGTGCCAGTACGCCCCTTTCTTTGATAAGGCCCATTTTACTCTATTAAAATGATTTATTTTTTTCCCAAAGCAAAATACTTTTATCTTCTGGAGCTTCTCGCTGTGTGCT